ACTTGGGGGTAAGTGATATTAAGGCTAGAATTATATAAAAACATCCCTTTCTTATTTAGCACTATAGAAGTAAGAGTAAACACTACTATGTATCACTAGTGCTGTACTATGAATAGCTGAACAAAAATTATACTATTAGCAGATAGAACTAGAATTAATCATCTGAGGCCAAATGGATGGCAATAGTGAAGCTTATAATCTCCTCTTCTGTAGTGCTAGAAAAGAAGGGAATGTTTTTGCCTAATTCTAGCCTTAATATCACTTACCCCCAAGTCACAACATGGTGTCTGTGATGTAATAAGCTGGTTCTAGATATCATACAGTCTTTTTGTCACTTGAGCAGCATTTTCAGGCTTGTCAGTACTGTTTAAGCAAATAACATACTAAATAGTAGAGGTAAAAAGCATAGAATGGTGATCACCAATGAACTTCTGAAGGCTTGTATAGTGTCAACAGCAAGTTTTATTTATAATACTTTAGTGGACACAAGTATAATGTGAGATATTCTATAAAAATTTGGTTGAATTGTGTAGAAAGAGTGTTGAATTGATTTGTGTAGTCAGTGATAAAAGATGCCAAAAAAGGTTGATGTTTGGCTTTATTTTTATTATTTTTACACTTTCACATCCCATATAATATTCTAAGACATGTGTCATTGATCACATCATGTGTAGGTGGTCTAATTCCATGATTTTGATATAAAGTCAAATAAGTGTCTCAATGAGTCACTAAACTAGAATAGCCATATCTCCGCTCCATGACATCACTTTCCCACGCTGCATATCTTAGATTCAAGCCTGGATACGAGGGATTCAGACATGTTCCTATAGCCCTATTATATTTCTACACTCTGGCTCACAATGATGCAATTATATGAAAATGTGCAAACATTGAGACACTTTTTTGAGCCACTGTATATTGATCTCGAGCATTTCGATACAACCAGCCATATCCTGCAAACTGCCATTAGCCGTCTGCATATGCATACAAATTTCTTTATTGATCGGGGCTTGAATCTTCTTCCAGACATCTTTGCAAATGACGACAAGCTCCGACCCTTCATCTAATAATCCCATCTCCGTGTGAATGCCGTTTAGCATGACCATGAGCTCGCAAAGGGGGGTGGCATGTTCGACTAGGGGTGGCAGTATGGAAACAACGGCCGAGAGTGCATTTGTGGATACTGCTGATGGCATAGCGATCCGATGGGTGCAGCAGTGTTCTACAGCTTCACGGTGAAGATCTGGGCTGATTGCAAGAAGGTCAGAGATTGTGACATTGGGGACAGCCGTGCTGAGCATGTTCTGATAGATACAAGATGCTGTGTCTGGGGTAGCCACCTTGGATTCGTAAGTGAAAGCTGGAGCCTTCTTAGCATAGGCATTGGAGGGTGGAGGTTCGGCAGAACAACTTTGGCTTCATGCACGGGGTAACTTGGTGACTTCAGACTTGATAGATGGTTCTGGGGTTGATCCGATTTTATCTGACGCTGCAGGCTTGGCCTTGGAACACGTGATAGCTAGTGTTTCGACTCTGGATTCTTTGTCTTCAATCGTCGTGACCATAGTGTGGTTCTCGGCTATCTGCATGCATTGAAGAAAGTAAGACTCTGAAATGAATGCGCTGGAGGGAATAGAAGGTGCGGATGGCATGTGCGGAGGTGCTTCACATTCGAAGGGCTTGTGATTCACTGGAGCAGGTGGAGCTGGAGTTGTGCTTACACTGTACTTATCAATAAGTTGTTGCATTGTCTCATTGCGTCGTCAATAGATGCATGAGCCATCTGGGTATGCATAGAAATGGTTCTCACGAATAACACGTCCCATGTGAATATACTCTGCCGCCATAGGGCAATTACGAATCAGATGCTGTTGTCCACAGAAATAGCAGAAGAAGTCGTCGTTGAATGATCAGGATGGTGCTGCATGTGTCAGCATGACTGTGGGGACGTTGTTTGAGATTTGACAAGTGTGCGGAGGGGCCCAAGCTTGAGCGGCTGCAGGAGCGAGACAAACAAGACGGGTGTAACATGACAAATAATTGATGTCTGCAATGTCGAGTCCATGCATCTGCCGTGTGAGAGAGTCAACTTGGTCTAGCATAGACTTTTGCATACTGGGAATGGGGGGTTCTGGGCTTCTAAAATGGACATTCCTAGTCTGAACTTCGCATGGAACGTCTCAGAGTTCATCTTCATCGTCCAAATCATAACTTGCCCGATTACATGCATGAGAGTTGATCGTTGCACTAGTCGGAGTACGACGGTCTCGAATGGATTTAATGCGGAGAGTGATGGGATCATTGAATTCGGCATTGAAGGCTTCATCCGAGAACACATGATGACCAGCTGCTAGAACCTTCTCAAAATCAGCTGGCTCATTGCGGTCAAAGTTAGGATCCTTAAGTTCCAGACACTGGAGGATCTGCCGACAAGCATGGATGGATAGTCCTTGCCAGAAGTACTTATTGCAGTCACATACTGAGATTTTGTTGTTCATGACGAGCCAGACGGCAATCACACGAAATGGACGGTAGTACTGAATGAGCTTGGTCTCCATACAAATGTCATTATCCACTTGATTGACGACAATCTGTTCAAGATCACGAACAGTGTAGTGCTGCCCCTTGCTCGCACCGGGGTACTGATCTAAGATATTCTGCTTGAAAATGGGATAGTCGCGACTCTTGTGGCCAGCAAGCGTGATCCAGAAATGCTTCATCGGCAGGTCGACGTATTGTACTAGACACTTGCACTTGTCAGCATTGGTTAAGCCATAAGTAGTTGCAAGATCTTCAAACAGTTCTTAAACAGTTCAAAGAACTCTGAGAGTTCGGACATCTCGCCATTGAACAATGGCGCTTTGCTTGAGCTGGGACCAGGCATGGCGCCTATGCCTTGAAGCGCATGCGACATCATGGTGGTTGGCTGGGGTGCGGCTGGTAGTGTAGCATTGGTGAAGATGGCGAGTCTTAGTTGAAAGGAGGGTTGAAAGTGCGGCTGCGGCTGCAGAAGGCTGAAGAGTGGTAACGAGGGTGTCTTTGTTTGTGAGATGGTAGTGGTGATGGACATTGGGGAGCTGGGTTTGCTGACGATGGGCGCGAATGGGTTATCTTCGTCGCTGGATTCCTGATTATTGAGTCGGGGACGGATTGAGGTAGGTATTGTACTGCTAGTGGCGACTGGATTCAACAGCGTTATTGGGATATATGGTACTGGATGGGAAACGGATGGGGCAGTGAGGGAGCGGCTTTTGTTTCTGGTGACAGCCAGCATGGGCAAGTCTTCTGCTAGAGACTTCTGCAGGAGTCCTCCATTTTGAAGCGGAATGGTGATAGTCGGGAGTGAAGTAATGATGGTATGGAGTTGGACAGAGATCAAATCACCCCCTCGCGGTGGGCTCCAATGTGTAAGTTAGCTATGACGTGCATAGCTAGAGGCGATGTGAGTGTGAAGGGGGTAGATAGACCACTGAAGGAATGATAATGATTAGTGTTGGCTTCAAATGAGGGATGACAGATGCGAGAGATATCGTGAATTGGTAAATGAGAGTGACCGCATTATAGCGATGATAAGAGAAGGTAATGAGACGGGTTCTTTGGGGCGTTCTTCTGGGGGATCTACTGTTCTATTCTGCTGTTATTAGGAATGTACATGGACTACTTATACTGTAGGATGAGGAAGGGTCGTCCTAGAATAGTTAAAGGCAAGGGCTCGGTGTACGGTTGGTGAAAGCGGTAGCTGAAGGGAGTGGCATTGTATTTGATAGTGTAGCGAGAGAATGATATAAGAGTTGTTGACAAGGTGAAGACGGCGGTATTATGAATGGAGGAACAGTAACGACAGGAAGGGTTTAGCGAGCAATAGGAATTGAAAGGATAGGTACTAATAAAAGGGATCGGGTATCATGCTTGACAAACGGTCCAGGCGTTGATGTGGTGGTTGCGGTGAGAGGAGTATCGGCATGTTCCGGTGATAAATGTTTGGTAATCCTTACACACGTCACTCAATAACCCCCTCGAGTGCAAGTCGATCTGTAAGTTTTGTCTTACTATTCAAATTATATTTACTGAAGTATCTATTAAGAAATTACACAAGCTGCAGCCTGTCTAAAACTTGCACAGATGGAAGCTGAAGAACTTGCTCGCAGAATTGACTTATTTCTGCACCCCGACATCTCACCAAGTGTTCTTATCGCAATCAGGATTAGACCTCGAGGAGGAGCAGTAAGTAGCTTTACCTAAATGCTACCAGACAAAGGCAACTAACACCTGGGACAGACATTGTGTGAGAGCAGTATCTGAAGGGATGGGTCTCCACGTTTCTGATACACAGAAGGGCACACTCACATGAATGAGGAATGTCCTGTGTCATAAAATCAAGACGTGGAGAAGTGCGCAGGTTCTGTACATGCCTGCAGTGCGGATTCTCACTGCTACTGTGGTTCCCAACCCTTATCAGCCATTTGAGAGTGCTGAGGACATCTGCCTGTGGTTACCGTCTAATCTGAAAGCCAAACCATGTGATCCCTGACTTTGAGATCATGAATGGGATTTGCGGTATGCACAGGCCCACAATGCACTTGAAGAGCTTTGACAGTGCCTTCATGTGCACTGCTCTATGCTTATGTTCAAGCAGGAGTGGGTTCATGGTCAAGGTGCCAACACCCGTGCTCAGAATGCACTTGCTCATGTGCACGCGCAGCAGGTGGCATGCATGAAGAGATACAGAGTTGTGTGGGAGGCGCTGAAGACCTTGGCACCCCTCTTGAAGAAGGTGGGATGGTGAGGACGCCTGCAAGACCTGAAGGATGAAGACGTGAAACCATTAGTGGACCCTTTCACCAGAGAGACCAAAGGTCGCCATTGCCTGATGTGGATCTGGATGATGACGGGTGTGAATACAGGTAGCGATGGAGGTGATGTGGATGGTTAGTTTTTATTTGATCTTTGCAAGCTGTAACTGACAATGGTCTCTGAATCTTTTGCTAGGAGTTCATGCGGAATGGTGCAAGTCCCAAGCAAGAGCAATGTGCTGGGCAGAGGAGATAGAATTGTTACAGGAGGAGATGCAAAGGGTGCTACAGTTTTTCAATTGGCAAGCCAACTGGTGGGACAAGCAGCAGGACCAACTCGTCTGTGAGACAGTGGCTCAACATGAGGGCTTGATAGCATATGCTAACAAACAGGCACACATTTGATGTCAGCTTGCATCACACTTTAGAGTGCTGTGGGCTCTGTACATTCCCCAGATATCCCCTCCAAGATAGAGCCTCATATCAGGTGCCATACCCTCACCGGATGACACACAATTCCCCGACCTCATGCTGCCTACTTCATGTGCCTAGTATAGTTGACCTTCTGTAGTGTAATTAATCTTCTGTTGTGCCTAGCACTTTGTTGCAATTAATGGTCTTCTGTCTCCAGATTTTAGTTGCCAGGGAATAAAAATATGTAGTTGCCGAGGAACAAGAATATATAGTTACCGGAGGACAGGAATACATATGCAGACAGCCAGTGTACTGTGTGAGCTTACTATGGAGGCAGCTCTGATGGCTAGCATGTTCTAATGCATTACAGACAGGTTAGCAAGCATTGTTAATGCAATACAGTTGTGTAGTAAGTAACAGATTTAATGCATTATGGTTACAGCATATTGTGCATCAATGTCCATTTTGGCTTGGGCTCGGACCACCTGTCACTCTCCCTCCTCAACCATTTCGGGTCAGTCAGTCTTCTTTGTCTCTGATCACTCGGATTTTTGGACTCCAACAAGATTTTCTATCTCTATGCAAATTAGTATAAAAGTCTTCTGTGCACTGTATGAGTATCTCAGATTCTTCTACAAGACTGAGATGTGAGTAATGAGTCTATTCATATTATAGATTAAACTGACATGTCATAGTTACTTGTTTTACTAGGTACACAATCTGTCCAATATGAGTTCCTTCTATGAGACTGAGATTTACTTGTTTTACTAGTTTGCTTATCTCCTGTCAGTCGCCTTATCACATAAGGTTATGAGCCCTGCCTCAACCATGGATTCCATGCTCCCCAGCACCAGATCTAGTCTGTTTAATGTCCTGAAGCTTGCCAAAGACAGCTTGAACTGGATCACCTACAAGGAATGGACATTAACAGCAATAGGTGCTTGAGGTTTGATGTGGTATACTGATGGTCAGGCACTCAAACCAATCCCCTTTGTGATTGACCTGACAACGGGCGTGGTGAAGAAGCCTGATGGCTCTACACCTATACAAGTAGACTTTGATGAGCTTGATAAGAAGATCAATGAGTATTATCAAAAGAACTTACTTATTAAGCAGCAAGTCTTCAGCATGATCACCAATTGGCTTCTGCTGCACATCCAAAAGCTCACATAATGCAGTAACATATACCCATCTCAGACGGGCAGCTGGGCGTGACAATGTGCCGATAGAGACGGGTCACCCGGTGCCGGCCCATGGCAATAATTGTACTGTGTTAGATGAGTGGGCCGAGGGGGTGGAGTGTCCAAGGCAAATGGATGGGCCAGGTGTATATAGTATAGATGGTAGTATAGCAATGTACTATATAGGAAATTATGAATAGTAGTAGTGAATCCAGTGTGTGATAGATGAGTGGGCCGGAGGAATGGAGTGCAATATAGACGAGTGGGCCGGGGAACTGGGGTGTGATGGAGATGAGTGGGCCAGTAAATGAGGTGCAATGGAGATGAGTGGGCCGGTACATAAGGTGCAATGAAGACGAGGGGGCCAGAGAATAGGGTGCAATTGAGATGAGTGGGCCAGTATAGCAGGTGCAATGGAGACGGGTGGGCCGGTAAAGGAGGTGCAATGAGGACAAGTCGGCCGGCATTATTGGGTGCAATGAAGACAAGTCGGCCGGTGATATGGGGTGCAATGAAGACAAGTCGGCCAGTGATATGGGGTGCAATGAAGACGGGTGGGCCGGCATGATAGGGTGCAATGGAGACGGGTGGGCCGGTATTATGGCGTGCAACAACGACCGGTATTTATGTAACCGGTTGCTTGTGGTAACATAGCACTCAATCCGGCGATTCCACCGGTGGTCTGATCATGTAAAATGGTTAAGATTTGACAAAGTTATGAGCCCTACAAGGGAAAGCCATAAATTTAGAGGATATTATGATATATTGTATCTAGACCATTGCAACCGGTATTTTTTGACCAGTATTTATGTGACCGGTTGCTTGTGGTAACATAGCACTCAATCCGGTGATTCCACTGGTGGTCTGACCATGTAAAATGGTTAAGATTTGACAAAGCTATAAGCCTTACAACAAGAGAAAGTGACAATTTCAGAGGATATATCATGTCTAGACCATTGTGACCGGTTGTTTCTAGTAACAGTACTCAATCTGGTGATTTCACCGGTGGTCTGATCATGTAAAATGGTTAATATTTGACAAAGTTATGAGTGCTACAAGAAAAAGTCACAAATTCACTGGCAGAGGATATATGATATCTAGACCATTGTGACCGGTATTTTTTGACCGGTATTTACATGACCGGTTGCTTGTGGTAACATAGCACTCAATCCGGTGATTCCACCGGTGGTCTGACCATGTAACATAGTTAAGAGTTGACAAAGTTATGAGCCTTACAAGAGAAAGCCACACATTCAGAGGATATGTTATATCTAGACCAGTGTGTCTCCAGCTCTACCTTAGGGTAGTTTACCTCTGTTCCATTTCTACTCCAGACTTGTCCACAGCAGTCTTACTCTGGGTTTCCTTGAACCTCTGGAGTTCCGCCGAACTCCCCTAGTGTCTGACCTCCGGAAACCTCTGGACTTTGTTGGACTTCCCTCCTGCCTCTCATAAATTAAGGGCACATACTCGGGTAAGGGGTGCAGCACACAAGCTGAAGTCAAGCCCTTTGAGTTCTCCTTCCTTTGAGCATGACCTTAACATCCACAGACAAAACCTTGTGATGCTGTGTACTCACCCTCTCCTGGTGGTCCATCCTCTGGGAAAGGTTTTCCTACAGGAACACAGCTGCAGAAAGATATGGGGACCATTCCTAGACATATTTAGAGTATGTACACCAGGTTGGTACATCAGGATACCTACAGAATCCTTCTATACAGGCTAAAACTTCTAAGATTGCAGTTGTCGCATTTTTGGTGTTTTCCCCTACTTTACCATTGCATAAATGATCCAGACTACTCATATATTATCCTTACTACATATATACCTACTTCTTATCCCAAGGATCAGTTAGAAATATAGTATAATATTGTTATCTAAGGGAAAGGGGGTATGTGTACTGATAAGGGGCCTACATTCTCCAATGGACACAATCTAGTAATCAGATGCTTGCAATATATTCTAAGCATGGTCAATATCATGGTCTCAGATTTATAAAAGGATCCACTAACAGTTGAGAGCTAGGGCAGTGAAATATCTCTGAAATAGAATGTGGGAAAGTCCAAAAGCCCAAAACATCGAAACTCACCAGTTTGGTGTATATGTAGTGGTTGGACTTTTACTTACCAATCCTAATATTTCCTCACCACACTCTTCTACAAAGACTTTACCTTCAGGGCAATGTGTATTTTAGGTTCATTATGTAGTCTACTATACATACTACTGCATTTTTAATAAAATCTTTGGTGTGTGTGATATATGTCAGTGACTTTCAGTGACAGGGGTAAATTGTCATATGTCAAGCCTATGTTGTTTTACTTATCTTACCGTCAATACTTGAGGGATCTTTCCAGAATTTTAGGACCATGACTAGGGATATACATGGGACATATCCCAAGTGTCTGATTACCAATAACATCCTTGATAGTGTTGGAGGGTTCTTATCAGTTATGTTTTCATGTATATATGCTATATTGTTTGATGTAGCCCTTCAGGGGGTCAACTAAGTGGTGGAATATGTTAATATATACTCCTAAATATGTTTTGACAGTGCTAGAACACTCTCCTATCAAAGGGGCAAAATGGAATCCCCTGATTGAGTGCTACATTACCACAAGCAACCGGTTGCAAAAATACTGATTACAATGGTCCAGATATAAGCTGATACAACACTGTATTCTTTGAATTTATGACTTGGTCTTATAAGGCTCAGAACTTTGTCAAATTTTAACCATTTTACATGATCAGACTACCGGTGGAATCACCAGATTGAGTACTATATTACTGCAAGCAACTATTCACAAAAATACCGGTCACAATGGTCTAGATATAACATCCTCTAAATCTGTGGCTTTATCTTGTAAGGCTCATAAGTTTGTCAAATATTAACCATTTTACATGGTCAGACCACTGGTAGAATCACCGGATTGAGTGCTATGCTACCACAAGCAACTGGTCACATAACTACCAGTTGAAAAATCCCGGTCACAATACTGTAGATATCATATATCCTCTAAATTCATGACTTTCTCTTGTAGGGCTCATGACTTTGTCAAATCTTAACTATGTTACATGGTCAGACCACCGGTGGAATCACCGGATTGAGTGCTATGTTACCACAAGCAACCGGTCATGTAAATACTGGTCAAAAAATACCGGTTGCAATGGTCTAGATACAATATATCATAATATCCTCTAAATTTATGGCTTTCCCTTGTAGGGCTCATAACTTTGTCAAATCTTAACCATTTTACATGATCAGACCACCGGTGGAATCGCCGGATTGAGTGCTATGTTACCACAAGCAACCGGTTACATAAATACCGGTCGTTGTTGCACGCCATAATACCGGCCCACCCGTCTCCATTGCACCCTATCATGCCGGCCCACCCGTCTTCATTGCACCCCATATCACTGGCCGACTTGTCTTCATTGCACCCCATATCACCGGCCGACTTGTCTTCATTGCACCCAATAACGCCGGCCGACTTGTCCTCATTGCACCTCCTTTACCGGCCCACCCGTCTCCATTGCACCTGCTATACTGGCCCACTCATCTCAATTGCACCCTATTCTCTGGCCCCCTCGTCTTCATTGCACCTTATGTACCGGCCCACTCATCTCCATTGCACCTCATTTACTGGCCCACTCATCTCCATCACACCCCAGTTCCCCGGCCCACTCGTCTATATTGCACTCCATTCCTCCGGCCCACTCATCTATCACACACTGGATTCACTACTACTATTCATAATTTCCTATAGTACATTGCTATACTACCATCTATACTATATACACCTGGCCCATCCGTTTGCCTTGGACACTCCACCCCCTTGGCCCACTCGTCTAACACAGTACAATTATTGCCATGGGCCAGCACCGGGTGACCCGTCTCTATTGGTACATTGTCACACCCGGCTGCCCGTCTGAGACGGGTGAATTCACTGAAGGGGCTCAAAAGCTCTAGGGCACATCCAATGTCTGGGCAGAGATATGTCAGATCCATGAGGGCAAGATGGAGCTCATCCAGATAGATTTGTGACACCAATTGCAGAAGTTGAGATGTGACAATGGAGGAGATGTTAAGGCCCACTTCACAGAGCTTCTAAGGCTCCATGAATCACTTGCAGGCATGGGTGCAGCACTTGATGAATGTGATTTCCATGCTATCATCCTAGGGTCACTCCCTAAATTGTATCACCCCCTCCTATCATCCATTAGTGCAGCCACAAAGATCACCAAGAGTCTGCTTACCCCTAATGAACTCATCAGTATCATCACTGAATAATATGAGCACTGTTAACTCACTAATAGATGGACAACTAAGAAGGGTGGCAATGCTGCACTTGCAGTCAAGGGTGGCCAAAGTAAGACCCATGGGTCCACAAGCACCAACCAAATGAACACAGAAGTGATGTGCTTCAATTGCAATCAAAATGGACACTATAAGTCAGATTGTTGGAGACCTTCTGGTGGGAAGGAGGGTTAGGGACCCAATCAGAAGCAGAAAAAGGGCACAACCACAGAAGCATGCAGCTACTGAACCCAAATTGAAGGACAATTACACTTTTGTCACATTGAACTTGGCTAGCATAGTCAAGGACCTCTCCATACCCATTGAGTGCCATGGAGCCATCATGGACTCCAGCACCACATCACACTTCTGCCCTGACCAAGCCAGGTTCTCAAATTTTGTCAGCATCTCATCACAGAATATCCATACTACAGATGGTTCAACTCTCAGTGCCATTGGTAGAAGCAATGTGAAAATAGACCAACCTCTAGGTGACAAATGAACCACTGTTATGCTTAAGAACACCCTCTATGCCCCCAAAATGGCTTTCACCCTTATCTCCATGAAGATATACTTTGGTATTGTGCAAATTTTCACTATCAACTTCATCCATTCCCCACCATGCCACAACCCAACTTGTTGGCTGCAACAGCTAAACAGATAAGCAAGATGACAGGCAAAGCAAAGGCTGCTTTTGAAGAGAAGACCATGTAAACCTCATTGAAGAAACATAAACCTGAAGTGAGTGGAGAAACCATTAATCCTCTGCTGAAGAAAACTAAAATCAACCTACCTGCTGATACCACCCCCCCCCCCCCTCACAGATAAAGATAGAATGACATTGTTGCTGCCATTAACATTACCAAGTCTGACACTGATGACATCCATTACACCAATCCCCCCTCCAACTAACAAAAGTCACTGTGCAGTCGGTCATACAAAGGAGGAGGAAGAAGCTTCATATGCAGATAGCAATGATACTGACCCAAAAGAGAGTCATGAAGAATCACAAAGCAGAGAGAAAGAAGAGGATCCACAAGATGAACTAAGTACATTAATAAATCTGCAAATCAACATCAATCTAATGTAATATCATCAGAAAGTCTCAGGCAAGAGTGGGTCTCACCAGTCTATGCCTTCTTCCATCTAACACCAAATATTGTCAAGATTCAAGGATGATGGGTGCATGAATTCAAATGTCAGGTGAAAGGATGCAAGACCAAAGTCTGATGTTTCCTGGATAAGGGGGATACCTGTTCCACTGGAAACTGTTAGGTACTGTGCTTGGACGGAGAAGCAGAGGGGTTGGGGCTTGGCTTCAGCTCTTGCACTGCACCCTTAGCCGAGTATGTGCCCTGAATTTGGAGCGGGACTAACAATGTCCAATGATAGGATTGGTGAACCACTTTGGTCTACTTTGCAGGTTGGGAGGTAAAAGCTACTAGCAGCAGACCAACTAGAAGCAGGGCAGGTGGAGTGGGGGAAGTGAGTTGAGGTGGAAAGGAGTAGGGGATTGGTTGATTGGGCGGAGAGGTAAGAGTGAAGACTTAAAGCACAGCTCTAAGTCGGAGCAGAGGATCAAAGGTAACAACAAGATAAACTTGTGTCTTGAGAGAGCAAAGTCCTACAGAGAATTCCCACTAGTAGAAACTGCAGAAAGATAAGTAATATTAAGACTAAGGAAAGTAGCTAAGTACATGATGTGTTTTATATACTTCTAAGCAAGGAGGCAGTGACCAGTAGTCCATAGTATGAGGCTATGTACTGAGTATACAATTTGTAAGTGTTAAATGATAACTTGTTGGCAAGGTGTGAAGGGAGTGGGAAAGGTGTTCTGTGTGATGGGCCAGACAGACCATTTAGGAATGCATGTATCTCGCTGTGCGAGAGTGGGTCTGATATGTTGATTACCCCAGGAACATGTTCAACTTTGAGTTGGAAACCATGGTGAGCCTATATGTTGTGGTGTGATCAGAAATTTAAGAATGACAAAGACCACATGTAGAGCAGAACTTACCTGCAGTAAGTAGATCTCTTTCAGGACCACATTTGTGGAATGGTTGCATGAATGGCCCTTGTTTATGGTTGTCATGACTCCAGCATTGTCTGATTGGACCAAAACTGAACCACCCTTCATCTCTAGTTGCTCAGCTAGCCCAAGGTGAAGGACCAACCTCAAACCCAACTCTACAGCAGTGGCTTTGGCCCAGCCGATGTCATTCTTAAGGCCAGGGCCTACTTTAAATCCTTCCTTCCATTTCCAAGCTGCCCAGTGCTAGCTGATGACTACACCTATTCCAAATGATGAACTTGCATCTCCCCACCATTGCAAGTTGATTGGTTGTTGTTTTTGCAGGGGTTTCTTGCATGGTGAAATCACCAAAATCTGTGTTACCCACTGGAGGTCGGCCACTAGGGTACTTGGGACAGGGAGCCAAGGTCGAAAGGACTTGAAATGATTGGCAAATGTTGCTGTAGATTGAATGAAAGGGCGGATGAGGGGGAAAATTAATAACACATGGACTAGCTTGCCATGTAAGCTTGTGGCTTCATTTGCTGTGAAACATGAGCCACTCTTTAGCTAGTCCTGTAGCAGCACTAGAATCTTCTCCATTTTCTCCTGCAGTAATGAGACAGTTCTCTGAGCCAGATACCAGTTGAATCTGATATACCACTGTAGTGTAGTGAAGGCCTGTAGCTTCTCCAGGCTCCATGACACTCCAAAAAAGGCAGATAGTCAGATGAATTCTTCTTCCGTCCAGTTTTGATGTGGCAGGCGGATGACAAAGAAATTGTCTACCCATTTTTGGATGGGACCAAAGCCAGCTTTCTTGTATATGGCCACCACCATGTCTGCTACTGAACCAAAGACTCCAGCACTGGAGCTTAGTCTGAACATGAGAGCCCAATCAACATAGACACCACCATGCCAGAATATACATAGAGCCCACTGTTGGTTAGGCCAGATGGGTACTATCTGGTAGGCTGATGTAATGTTGAAGGTTGCTGCAACACAACCATCTGGTAATAATAGGATTAGGTCTACCATGTTGTCAAATGTGCTCCATTCTGTGGGGAAGCAGTCTGGATCCACTCCTGCATTGACAAAGGGGATATCTGAGTTGTTGCAAGGGAAGGACATGTCTTGCACCAGCCTGAACTTTGTGGAGTGTGGCTTTGGTACATGACCAAGTGGCAATGTTTGAAATGGGCCAATTAAGGATTCCAGCTCCAGGACTGAGTATACATAAGAGTAATGTCCTGTGCTCTGCTTACTGATTATATATTGGTCTATGAAGTCAGTATTGAGATGAGATGAAGTGTGATTTTCAAAAAATTAAGGTGGCTGTAGGGGTTCTGCTGACTCCTATGTTGAAGCCATTTCTGATATTGGATAACATATGCACCCAGTCTTTGTATATACTGAATTTACAAAGAGTTTCTTCAAGTTTCAATGTGATGAGGGGGGTGACAACTTGTCTAGGATCTAGGCTGGGCTGATTTGCAGGAGCTGGCACTGTGGGAAGTGTCTCCACAGATGCTGCATCCATGGTAGTTGATGCATGCATTTGCAAAGTGGCAGCTGGAGAATTGGGCCCAGCTGATGCAGAAAATCTTTCCCCCTGGGGCTGTGAGTGCATGCTGTAGCAGGGGTTGCCAGTGGGAGGAGGAGCAGGCAGGAGGAGCAAGGCAAGGAGTGCCAGAGGTCTCAGGAGTTCCCAGGGTCTCACTACATACAACCACATAGTGCAGTAAGAGTAGAGGCAAGCAAGCAGGTCAACATCCTCATCCTCTCTAGAGCATAGCACCTAAGCCAGGTACATCTGGTAATGAGAGTAGGATAACAATCCACTGCATGATGGAACACACAAAGACAGTAACAGAAAAAACCAAACCAGAATGACTCATGTTAGAAGACGTCACCCACATACAACAACTCACATCACAAAGCTTTCTAATATCCAGTGTATCATCTTCTTCTTATATTTTACCAGAACCTACTATAGGGGAGGAAGGCCATAAAGCAATAGCAATTACCCCCCTATGTCTATGCAACATTTCTGCTCCTCCACATTTAGAGCATTCTACTTGTGTGGGATCATCACCAGAACACAAACCAGATAGTCCCATAACACGCCTACAACTAGTGCAGTTTACACTGTTGCAACATGAGAGTGAGACAGACACCTTGAGGTCAACAACATTCTTCGTGCCCACCAGACCCACCCTATCATTTCGGCTACCAATACCAAACATGAGTGATGATAATTTACACCCAATTCCACTGTTTCATGGCAACCATAGAGAAAAGGAAGAACCATCACTCTGGCTTGTGCAATTCCAACTCTCACTACCAGGCAGTTACACAGATATACATTCAGTACAATGATTCAAAATGCAACTTGCACCAGGAGGAATGGCAGACCAATGGTTCAACAACATTGCACCTAATGGTGCAATCTTGGTCAGCTGACTGCTAGGAGAATTCACATTACAGTGGCCCCCACTGAGGACACCAAGGTATTCTCGGGCCAAACAAAAGGAATGTGTGTTAGCACAGGTGTTGAAAGAGGAGGAAATAGGAGTATGGCTGCCAGACAAACCTACAGGAAATTACAGCCATGTCATTTGGGCCATGAAGGTTATGCGGCTTGCCATGGGCATGGGCAACAGTGCAGGGCTTTTGGTGGAATATGCGCTGGAAGGAATTCCAAACATAATCAAGGACCACATGACTTGCTCTTATACATCATGGAAGGAATTTGTGGACAATGTAGAAAGCGTACCAGCAACCAAACTGAAGAGAGCCAAGGAAGAGCTAGACAAGAATTGAATGCACAACACTGACATCACACAGCTCAAAGCTTAGAGCTCGTCAGCTAGTGCGACACTATTAAGGTCATGCTCAAAGGGGAGGTTACTCAAAGGGCTTCAGCTTCAGCTCATGTGCTGCGCCCCTTACCCGAGTATGTGCCCTTAATTTCTGGGGGCAGAGGGGAAGTCTGACGGAAGTCCGGGATGTCCAGAGGTCAGACATTGGGGGAGTTTGGCGGAACTCTGGAAGACTATGAGGGAAACGGAGTGAGGCTACTGCGAACAAGTCCGGAGTAGAAACAGAACAGGGGTTAGACTACCCTAAGGTAGAGCCGGAGATTTAGTCCTAAGGTTTAACCCCTAAGACTCGGAGATGGACAAGAGCTGAGACTCAAGTCCAGAGAAGCAGGAATGAGCAGAACTAAGATGATATTCAAACTGAGGAGTTCTGGAGTATTACAGGAGTTTATATACTGTAGGTATCATGTAAGTAAATCAGTCAGCAAAGGTAAGGGCTATGTACGAAGCATGTGGAAAGTCTATTAGTAAGTGTAACAGATCAAAGCAGTGAAGTCGGAAATGAAGTAAGAATGGATGGATCAGTAAGCATAGCGGAAAAGGACATAACCAGTAACCAGAGCAATAGCTATTCTAAAGGGAGATAGGGGTGAGTCTGAAGATGAGAGTGGAGCGCCGGGCGAAATAACAGGACGGAGGACCGGACTTTAGTGGTGGGGTTCCAGAATTCCAGATCCGGAGGTACGGGATATGACAGACACTTCCCTTCCAGTCCTCACAACTATCCATAGACAACAATTGACCATCGCAGCCACCATACCAAGCATCACGTGCATACACACCTACCAACCCCTTCCTGCAGATACCAACAGCACTAACACCTATCAGCAGACCCACACAGGGCACAGGACTAAGCCCTATGGGATGGCAAAGTAACCCACCTGCATGAGCACCACCCACAAGAGCACAAATCATGGAAAAACTGAGTGTGGTACCATAGCATCAAAACACAGAGGCTGAGTTATGGCAGTACAAAGCAGATGTAGATATGTGGCATTGCATGCATGGTACTGAAGGAACACCATCCCTGGAACGACCATACCCACTATGACCAGGCACAGCAGTCATCAGATCCAGAGAATGCTATAACTGCAGAACAGTTACAGATCCTATGCACCTCAGCATGCAGTGCATCACAACAGAAGTACTCTGCCTGCAAGAATCAAGATGGTGCCAGTATGTCGCAGCGATGTTATGCAAATACAGGCACCAGCATTGACATATACCATAGCACCAGTCCAGTACACAGCACAGATGATGCAACCATACTATCAGCAATATGGAACCCCAACATCATCACCTGTGTTCATAGTGCAGGAAGAACAAGGATGGTGGGATCAAACTAACACTTGTGGACAGCAGGAAGTCGGTTATGAGTGGGGTCTGGAAAACTACGGGGGACCACTGCCTACCATGGATCAGTAGTAGTCCCATGAGCACATACTCTGTCAGTACATATTAATGTATCTCCAACACCATTATACACACCATCTACTGTATATAACCCAACCATACCTAACATGCCCTCCCGATCCTTTCATCATCTTATAGAACACACTAATGAGATTAGTGCCACAGTTTCCTTAACCACTTCTGTGATGGATGAAGCAAATTTCCCTACACCTTCATTGAATACTTCCTTTGTTGTACCTTCTCTCTCGCAAGATAATTCTATCACTGATGTTTATATGGTGGATTCATCAGGAAACCCAATACAAACAAGAATGAGCAACCCATTCCTAACAGTCCCATTCCTACATGGACCACAGGGAGAGAAAGTCCAATTTCTAGCCATAGTTGACAATGGCATAATGATCAATACCATCGATGCAGCAGCATTCCAGCGAATAGCACAATTACTCTCACCACTAAGTCCCTTGCAATGAACCTTATGAATGGCTGATGGCTCACTAGTACCTTCAACAGGTGTTTGGATGGGATGTGTCACATGGGGGCCCATACACCTAGAAATAATGTTTGAGGTCTTTCCTAGTGGAGGATCATGGTGTATGTTAATAGGCAAACCATTATTCAAATAGTCCCATGCCATACAGGATTACAGCAACAACTCAATCATTTTCACATTGCACAGACCACAACACCGCATTCATAATCTCACACCATTTTGACCACTTCCTCTGCTGTGTCTTCCAATGGCAATAAGTTTCCTGTCTGCAGCTATATTTTCCCCTCCTTCCTCTGTACCTAAAGACCCTACTAACTTAGTAAATACAGAAAAACAAGAAGCACCCCAGTACCAAGAGACCATAATGCAAGTAGACAATGCAGAGAACAATGGACCCTTTTGTGAAGTACCAGACTTCATACATCCTAACCCATTAAATGATATGTTCACTAGATTAACGTCACCTGGACCATTCTACCCCCCACAGGTAGAAACAATCGTGAATACTGTTCATTACAGACCACAACTTACAGATGATCAGCACACCACAGCAGGTAACCTAGTTGTAGAATTTGTGGATATATTTGCACTACCAACTAGAGAAGTGAAGCAGGTCAATTTCATCAAGTTCTGGTTGTCAATACCACCAGACATAGTCTTCTCCAAGAAGATCCACCAGTGTCCCCTAATGCAACCACAATGAGAATATCTGTTCCCAGTTCTTGATGAGATGAGGAAAGCAGGAATCACACGGTTCATACCAGCAGATGAAGTAAAGGCAGTGGCATCTACAATGCTCATGCAAAAGACCCACTCAGGCACTAACTTATCATTGGCACATAATGCAGTGACATATTCCCTTACTTATAGGACAGCCCATGTTGACATTTCTCCATAAGAGTCAGGCCAACCCACCATGGGCCCACATGTGAGATTATCACTGCATATACCAGGTGGGCCTGGTGGTAGTTAATACCTGTGGCTCAGGGGTGGGCCTGCACTATACACTTTGTGGAACCCAATAATATAATGGATAGTAGTGTTATGGTATATGCTATCACTGTTGAATGTTACCCGAGGGTGAGGGGTGGGCCCATGAACTCGCCGACACCTAAACATATCTGTGTCATGGCCAACATGGTATATACCCATTTCTATATGAACATATCTGAGTCAGTATATCGATATAAATGACCGCCAAAAAATCTAAAATCACTGGGATGGGACAACTGTTGACAGTGATGGCTGTCATTCCTGGATCGCTGACAGCAGAATTGTTGGGATGGGACAATTGCCGATGGGTGCTGACAGCAAAATTGCCAGGGTGGGACAATTGCCGATGGGTGCCAAATCCCCCAATTGATCACTGTCCATACTGGGACCGCCGAGAGTATTTATGACCACCATTCCGGTCACCAACAGCATGTTGCAGTGGCAAATATTTGGGGGTGGCAATGAGTTAGGAGAGTGGTCTTTCTGGGCATATCCCACATGCAGTCAAAGCCGGCAACCTTCAGTAATCTGTATGTATTGGCAACTATTGGTTTGCTAGGGACATCTGTTATATATGCATTTAAATGTTAGAACCTCTCAAGTCCTGATTTCGGTGCTGCTGACTATTGAGTTGTACTGTGAGTAGTCAGCTCGGGGCATATCTACAAACTCATGTACATCAACCCTCATATACCACACCCAGGCTATTCAGCCAGTGTCCATATCCACCCCATGCCTGATAATGCTCCTTGAACCAACAGCCATGGCGCCTGGACCATACACAATTTCAATCCCTATATTCGGCATCTTCATCCTTGCCGCTCCATAATTGCTGACACTAGTCATGACATTGAACCATTGGGGATGGGACTAAGGATCCCGGTGCAAGGGTGAGCGCCGGTTGCATACAACGGCGACAGCTGTAAATACGGATGCCCACTCTGAGGCGAGCACCCATTTCATCCAATTTCTTTTCTGCTGCCCCGAGGCCAAGGGCCAGCTGTGTTGCTAATGATGCCCGATAGAGGTCAGGGTGCATGACTCTCAAGGCGGCAGCAATGAGCACCGCCGGTCTCTGCATTGCCTGACAAAGACCTTCCATCTCGTTTAAGAGTCGCCGAGACCTGCGGGATGAAACTTAGGAGCCTGGGATGAATGAGCATTGCCGAGGCAAGCTGTTGGGATGTGAACCAAGCTTACTGGATGGGTTTGCGAAAATCATGCTGGAGACAGGTTAATGCACCCCAGGGTGAGTCCATGCTCACTGGGCTCAGTTGGATTCATGGGTCCTCCATTTACTGCCGGTCTCTGCACCACGTGACACTTGTAGCCAGCAGGGCCGACATATTTGCAGTCGCCGCCGCCATGTCATTCTAAGATTTGTCAAAACAATCATCGGCGGTGATGGGGGCAACTGACTTGTATGTCTATATTGATAGCTCCAGGGGAGATACCAGAGGATGATGACACCAAACTTATCGCAAACAACTGTAGGCCGATCGAGGAGGATTTGACGGTCTGGCAGATATCAGGAATGGAGGTTTTCTTCACAATCGGGTTTTGTGCTGTTCTCCATCATCTGCAATGCATCTGCATACCTGGCAACATCGAAGTTTATTGTAACTAATGCCAGTATATAGCATGGATGAACATCAAATAATACACTAAGAAAAATGTACAATGTAATGAAAATAAATGTCTAGTTCTGGGGGCCCCTGCCCAATGCTGACTCGCCAAAGGCATGTGCACCTGCGCGAGAACTGCCGGTGATCTGATTGTGAGATTGACTGGCAGAGAGACTGCCAGCTCCATTCCAGCCAGAACCACCGGCAACATTGCCTACTGATGGGCCTCCCATGGCGGAAGCACCTGCAGGCAAGTTGAAGTATAAGCCCTCCATTGCTTGCATTTGGCCCATGCTGACCGGCATCATACTATGATTGCCACTGTACTGTTGGTTGGCATGATAGATTGGGCCGGGAAAGGGGGGAGATAGTGACTGGTTTTGACCAAGTACACAATGGCGAAGAGCGTTGTAGGCATCCTGAAGGACGGCGGTGGCTTGTTCTTGCTGGGCCAATTGCACCTGAGCCTGCCGGACTGTCTCATCGCGGGTCACCGACTCCTGTTGCATGACCTTCATTTGATTTTGAACTGCCTCCATGTTGGCGCGTACATCTTGCAGTGCACGGATGTCAGCATCTTGAGCAGCGAGCCAGTCGTTCAATGCATTCATGTTGGCGCGTACATCTTGCAGTGCACAGATGTCAGCATCTTGAGCGGCGAGCCGGTCATTCAATGCATTCAATGGGTCGGCAGTGGTGGTCTGCTGAGCTTGCAGTTTGACAAGTTCAGCCCGGGCACCATCGGCAGCGTGCTGGAGGCTCAGCCACTTTGAAAGCGGCGCGGCGTTGTCATTCATCACCAATGTCATTGCCCTCAAGTCATTGACCATGGCATCTCCCTCAGAATCCACTTCCATTGAATGCTGGAGGGAGGGAACAACTGACTCCCTTGGGGGGCGAGGATGACTTGGCAGGATCTGAGGAGCGACTATCGGGCGATAAAGTCACAATCGGCGGCACAGAATATATGGGTGCATGGGGTGCTGCAGCATCACCTTCCATAAGGATATCTGGAATTGTCAGCGGCATGCATACAAAGGCAGAGAATGATATTACCTTCTGTAGGGGGATGGCGGTGTGAACTCGAATGTGGCCGGCTAGGCTTACCCTTCAGCACTGGGACGGTCTCAATCTTGGAGCGGGAACACTTAAGCTTCAGCCTTGAGCACCGGGCACAGGCTTTGAGTCCGGCACTGGTGGCACCATATCCCTGACGACAAATAAAGGATCTGGAACATGGAAACTCAGCAGATGACATCCAGTAATCAATTGGGAACTACATACAATTTGATGCATTGGTCACATCGTGGCACCAACTCCGGAGCATCCATGGTCTACAGTGCCAGGTTGAGATCAACCAGAATCAGAAAACTCAGCACTTACAGTGCCGGAATCTTCCTGTAGCCCAACGGCCGGTGATGGCAATGGCACCTTCGCGACCTTTTGCTTCTTCGAGGTTGTTGCCTGTTGGGTGATAATCAACATGAACTTCATCTATTGAGCAAATAATTGGACACACCAGCAGTGGGGCGGAATTCTCAGATGATGATTCACAGTCACCAGGCAGTGCTGGTGGTCGACTGGAACTGGAGTCCCTTCTCCTCTTCTCAATGGCCAGAGTATGGCCTCGTCCCTGAACGTCTTCCACATCTTCTGGCGGCGGCACCACTTCCTTACCCTTACCCTTGTCTACTTTACCCTTCGCCAGCTTCTTCTTCAACGCCGGCTTGGGCTTTGGCCTTGATGGGCCTGGTGCTGGTGTCGACTTTGTGACCCCGGCGGTGGATGTTGATGGCACCGGCCTGGATACAAAGAGGGTGCGGGCCTTGTCTTTCAATGGATGCTGCTGGACCCAGGGATCATCGGCGGTGATGTTCTTCCACATCGGCACACTAACAAAATGTTGCCGAGTGCGGTCCAGGTGTTCTAGCATCTCCATGGCTGCTGAGAGCAGGACCGGGGGGACCACAGTGGCCGAAATGCCATGGGTTTCAAAAACATGGGACTACTAGAAATCAGTATATCACCCGGTGCTAATAGGGAAATACCCACCAAGATATCCCCCACCTGCATAGCCAACCGAAGGTGTTCGGGGTTACTGTCCTGCAACGTCACCGCACCTGCCAGTATTTGAATGACCTGAGCGGCAGCATCAATGAAAGCCTTGTTGGATGTCTCAGCAGAAGGCATGATGGGAGGAGGGATAAACTTGAAAGATGGGCGATGGGCGATGAAAGGACTGGTAATATGCCGGTAGGAAGCAATGAAATTTTAAAATGAGCGGTTCTTGGCACGGCAGGCAACTCCATGCGGCAATGTCTCAATTGAACAGAACCCATTTTGAAATCATGTGTCCAACTTCTGGCACCGACATACTTTGTTTGGGTTGCTAAATTTAAAGTTCCGCGAACTTCCAGTCCACAAAATCAGATATTTAACACTGCTGAATCCATCTGTTGTCACTTCATTTTTCATCCTTAAACTTTATTGAGAACGCCATGTCGCCACCAGTGCAACGCCAAGTCCGATTCAATATTCCAATGGATACCGATGAGGAATCTCAATACAATGGTGAATCTAGATCACCGACATCCAATGCCGCTGTGGGTAACACAGGTAAGTCTTGTCACAGTCAGCCCATCTCATCTTGCCAGACTTCAGCATTCTATTTTGGCTTTGGTGCGCCACCGCCACCGCCACTGCCACCGCCGAGGTTTAACTTCGGCATGGACATCCCCATGTCAGCGGTGGAATCCGCATCTCCCACAATGCAGCAGCCATTGAATGTGGGATTTCAACTTCCCATCCAAGTGAAAACTCCACTGCCATCCTCCACTCACCAGCCATTCAATTTGGGGTTTCAGCTCCCACCTCCCTCCACCCTGGCCCAAGCAGCACTACCTGCTGGTCCAGTCCAACAGCTGTTTAATTTGGGCTTTCAGCTCACCGCTTCCCCCACCCCGCCCCAAGCAGAACTACCTGCCGGCCCAGTCCAACAGCCATTTAACCTTGGCTTTCAACTCCCCATCCCCATAAACCAACCACCGGCAGCAGCAAATGCTGCTCCGGCATTTAACTTGGGGTTCGATCTCCCCGTCCCGGTGACCCAGACACCAGAGGAAGAATCTGCTGCCATGGTGCCGGCAGTACAAACCACAGTCCGGCATGTGGGCTATGCCACCAACAACAGATGTAAGTTCGCTTCACATATATTAATCAATTCTGACCCTCCAGCAGTGTTCCAGTTCAACTGTGAGCCTCTCTCACCCATAGGAGATTGGAATCTGGTGCTGATCCAAGCACCATCGCCGATTCACTCCGATGGCCCATCTGCTACCATGCAGCCGGCACCTGTTGCACTGCATGTGAGGCCAAAATTGGCATCTTTAGTTGGCGATGCCAAGCAAGCGGCAATCGACACTGTCAGATGCCTCCAAGGAGAGGAATGTAAGCCACATCTCCACATAGTTGTATAAAGAGTTTAACTCATCTTAACCAGTTGATCAAGTGGCAGCGATGATGGTCGGCGGGTCCTTAGGTGTCAGCGAGAGCATCCAGGACCCTAAGCCCGACGAGGTCTTGGACAGCAACCGGATTCTGATGTCGGCATTCTGCGAAAACCGAGACAGGCTGACCAGGATCTTCAAAGACATGATTAGCTTGCATCATATGGCACAGGTCCAGGATCAGGTCGCCCCAATGGTGACCGCCCTATTGGCTGAGGTGGAGAGAGCAGAGGAATTGATTTCCGACTCTGATGAGTAGACAGATACCATCTCAATTTGTTAAATGTATTCTGTACTATATCACCGGTTCACCAGTGACTCAATTTAAATGTACTATATTACCATACCCACATGGATCAGTGAAATGATCGGCGGCAGCACCTAAAATCCCATTTTAAACAAGCAGGTATATCATGCCACATGGCATCAATCCAGCAGCAACATCTCTGGATTTGATACCGGCGGTGCTCACAATGGGAGATAGTATAAGATGCTGGAGGTACTGGTATTGACAGGCATCTAGTGCATTTATGGAGCTGGCATAGGATGGTATTTCGATTGTAGCTCATATACATGATCATTATGATAGGCGGCAATGATCACTTCCTACTCCGTTTGGCCTTTGGAGCTTCAGCAACCACTGCCTTGCTCCTGGTTCTCCTAGCCGGCGTGTCACTGATAGGAGTGGTGGTACGGCGTTTTGATGCCTTGGTTGGTGGCTCATTCTCAGCGGCGGCACGGCGTTTTGATGCCTTGGCCGGCTGCTCATTCTCCACATTGGAATGAAGACCTTGCCTTGTGGTGTGTGGACCTGATTTTGCTGGTTCATGCGCTGTGTTGAGTGCAACTTCGATATTGCTGGTCACCTTTGACCTGACTGGAGGTGTTGCCTTGGCATATCCGCTGGTGGAATCATTGATTTGAGGCGCAAGGTTATCAGATGCCAAGTCATCGCCAGGGCCGTCACTGGATACCGGCGGCAGGCCTCTCTGAGTTACCTTTGGAAGGAATGATTCATCCCTGTCATTGGCAGACATTGAAGCCTCCTGATCTTCATCGGCAGATGACTGATGCTCCTCATCACCGCTTTGCTCATGGTGTGTTGAGGCACGTTTGCGCTTACTGGTGCTCTGGCCATGCTGAGTAGCTCGCCGCATTGCCTTGTGGAAAGATTTTGCATGCGTCTCCATCTCGCCGTCAGTGTCTTTCCAAGCTTTGAAACAGAAGGTTGGGCAAAGCTTCTTTTCCTGTTGGTGATGCCAGAAATACAACAGAGCGGTGGCGTCTGCTTTGTCGATCTTTGAAGGTTCCACCAACTGCACGTCGGCGGGCCAGTAGGTGTCATCAAAGAAATCTGATTGGCTCTTCACAAAGTCACCCCATGGCACCGCCGCCGCTGCTTTGTCTTTTCCCATGCACATCCCTGTTGAAATCAATACGCGGCAGCATACCGAAGGAGACTTAAACTGACTGTAGTGCCTAGTGAGGAACGACCGAATGATATGCTGTTGATCGCCGCATTTCCAGCCTGTGGTGTCGGGGAGCATTGGCCACCCATCATCGTCCTCCTCCAGTTCGAGGAGTTTTCGCAGCACACGTTTCTTGGTTGTCACCACCTGGGGGACATCTTCATCCTGGACGTCTGGATATTTGTTAATTAGAACGCCACTTCATTCTCTTGAATTGGCATCTCACCGAATTGCTTGCCGGCATATTGCCACCAGTCCGACATGAAGTTCCCTTCCCAGTCCCTTGTCTTCAAAAAGCTTTCGCCGCCGCCAAACTGCTCATTGAAGTCATGTCTTTAACAAGCTTAGATCTGGCTGACCGGCAGTAGAGTTCAAACAACACTCACACTCCTAACATTAGTTTGCCTTCCCGGTTCTGCCATGCCGACATCACGAAGATCCTTATTCCAGCCTGCTTGAACATTTCCATCGCAAAATGCTTGATCATGTCGGCGCCTTTGGTTTCGGCGACATTGGCTTGGATGTCGGGCGGTGCAGCTTCATTGTTCCACTTCTCTGCCATCATTCTCGCCTCTTCCTTCTCCTCTGCTGACAGACCGGCGAGCACAGTCTTTGTGGCCTCCGGCCACTTGGTGATCATCCCCTCACTCCCAGGAGTTTCTCCAGTCTCCTCTTGTATCTGGGCTTTGTTCTGCTCAATCAACACCTGGTGAGCTGTCCATTTCTTGCCATACTTGATGAGAGGCTTTGGAGCCTTCCGGCGACACTGGTTGTAGAGCCATTCCTTGTAGGTCTGTTGTCCAAAATAAATAGCTAGAGCATGTATATATGTACACTGGCACATACCTTTTTCCGGCTTTTGAGCATGGCTTTGTCATGAGTGGGAGCTTGGAGGCAAGCTTCCCTGTGGATGGCATTCAATACATTCTGTCTCTGTTTACCTTTCACAGTCCTCCAGTCCTCGAGGTGGGTCTTGAGGACCGCAATTTCCACCTTGATCAAGGGAAGCTTTGTCTGCTGGGGGACAATGACAGGGGATTCACTCCGAGCCATTTTGTGAGATGATTGATGGTCTGAATGGTGGGATATTGAAAATTGTAGGTTCCCATGACCCTTACTCAGATCCCTCGGTTCCTATGACATTTCATCTTATGTACATATAGCTACATGATAACTATCAACACAATGCATCAGCCTGCTATTCACATACCATTGGCTTTAGTACATGAGGGGCTCTAAAGTGCAGGAGTGGACTCCTACCAGCAATATTCATCTGGTGGAATGGAAGAAAACAGTTCAGACCAGGAAAGCAACAGGGAAATGGGTAGAGAGACCCAAGATTCGAAAAATTCAATCAGTTCTGGCCACCCCTACCAAGTCATCATCGAAGCAGTGGCCATCCGAGGATATGCTATTTCTCGGTGGAGATGATTGGGTCAGCAACCTCAACCAGCAGGATTTCATACCCCTGCCGCTACCAACATCCATGGTAAGCCCTGCCCGGCAGCCATAGGATCTCGTTCTGTCCCTCACTCAGCTTGTTTCAAGAGTCAGAATGACTATCTTCAGTAATGGGTCCCAAGGACCAATAGATATCTCAGCATACTCCTTGAGCGAGAAGCTCCTGCTGACCAGTCTTGCATCATTTGCAGGTCCAATGGTGTCTACAAATGTCACAACTGCTTCAGTGAGCCTCTATTTTGCACAAATTGTTGCAGGATGGAGCACCAGAGGCTGCCCTTCCATCGGATCAGTCAATGGACCGGTAGTTTCTTCGAGGACTGTTGCCTGGTGAAGACTGGTCTAGTGATTTCACTCGGGCACAGCGGAAATCCTTGCCCATGCCAAGACTATGGGGTTGATGATGCTGGTGATGAAGGATTTTTTGCTGCTGCCGACACCGACACCAACACTGACACCAACACTGACACCAACACCAACACCGAGCATGCAACAACACCAACCGCCAATGCGTCAAAGAACAATCATGATCTGCCTACTGGAGTGCCATTCATAAAGAATGACAAGACCATGACGACAATAGTGGACAAGTCTGGAGTACACACTCACATCATCAAGTATTGCATGTGTGCCGATGCTCCAAGCGCCGACCTACAGCTGTTTCAATTGGGCTTGTTTCCTGCATCCTTTACCCAACCAAAGACCGCTTTCACTTTTGATGTATTGGACGACTTCTTACTGGATAATTTGGAGTGTGGCATGTCAGTGATGAATTATTACAGTAAGTTGAGGAGGATGACAACCAATGTTTTTCCACATTTGGTGCCGGTGAGAGCATTCATCCATCAGCAGCCTTGTAAAGTTAACAATTCAGCAGGACCGCTACTGGGAGCTCATGAGGGTGGCCAGGCAGTGGCGGCAACTGAAGCTGTTGAAATGGAACGGCTTTGGCCACAAGGAAAAAGACGTTGAACCCAGCGATCTCGCTCTCTTCTGCCCAGCATGTCCCCAGCCGGGAATTAATGTGACATTGCCGACTGAAGAAGGTGCGGCGGAGATCAACAGAGAATCAGATCTGGAGATGCTGAGTTGGCTCTATTCAAGATCACTGGTCATGGATGGCAACTTCAAAGCAGAGCATATGCATGCGGCGAATCCCATTGATGAAGTCCCCCTCATGGATGGACACGGTTTCATGGTTGGTGATGGCAAATACAAGGCGCATCTGGCACTGGCAAAGGATGCCATTCAACGGTCCAAGTGCAACAATCACCGCGCAGTGAATCAAGCTAATGCATCCCGTCACAGACTGGAGGCAACCGGCATCGGTGGATGTGCCTGTGCAAGGCATGGCTGCTTCGTCCCGCATGCAATGGTGGATTTTCAGAAGGGAGAAAGGTACACAATTAGTGTATCTATGGCTTGAGAGCCTCGCTGATGCTCACCAGGCAGATAAACATGGACTATGCTTTGTGCGAGGCATTGAAACACAATGCCGGCGGCATCCGGTGCACACTGACATTTTATGATGTTAATTGCCAGTATAATAAGTATCTAAAGGATCGGGTAGCTGACAGCCCCTATTTGCGAATTCAAGAGCAGATGGAGATAATCCCGGGGATAGGTCTATGGCATGTTCATGGCCACCAAGACAGCTGCTATGTTCGCTATGCTTCTAACTTTATTGCCAGCACCGCCAGAATTGACAGCGAGATCATGGAGACCCTTTGGGCGCCGTTGAACATAATCTCTCCTTCGGCATGGGGGATGGGGACCCCTCACCGCAAGGAGTGCCTGGATTACCAAATGAATGATTGCAATTTCATGAAAATGATCAGGATGAGTGGGTGCCCCCTTGGTCCTCAATCAATTTGCTCACCGGATCATGCAGGCAAGGCCCTTTGCCAAAAATTCAGGCAAGCTGTGAAAGGGCTCGCCGACAGTAGGGAAGCCTTTGAAAAGCTGGATCAGAGTGCCGACGAAAACAATGTCAGGGACTGGGGGGAACAGGAGAGGCTGGAACAGGAACGGCGTAGCACTGATCCAAAGGCAATGGACATTTATGAAGTCCAACTGCAGAAAGGTATGAGCCGATGATATCGCCGAAATCAAGGCTGATGGCAAGATAGCTCCGACCAGGAAAGAACAGGAATTGAGGTTGCTGGAGGAAAATGGCCAGCAACCTGCTCCTGCCCGCCGGAGGGGAGTGGCGACATGGCTGGCAGAAGGGCTTTCCATTGAGGAGGCACAGGTGACTCTCCACATGGACATTAGGAGGCTAGGGCAGCATCTGACAGAGAACCAACAACTGGAGATTGGGCAGCATCATGAGAGACTGCAAGGAGACATTGACCATTGGTTGGCGACGGGTTTGGCGATGCCGACCTCCACATGATGGAGCACGAGCTGCTGATCCTTCAAGAAGACTCAGATGATGAAACAGCTGATGAATTCAGACTGTTTGAGCCAGAAAAGGTTGTAATACCATTGCCGTCCAATTTGGGCCAGGGGAGATGCGCCGAGCTCGGCACTGCAGATATGATCCATCAAGAACATGTCCTCCGCGAAGGACAGGCCAATGACGCCTTGCACAACATCAGAGTGCACTTGGCAGACAAGGTGGTCATCTTCCGAAAGACAGTCAGAACGGCAAAGTCGCAAGCAAAGTCCACCAGAGCTTGGGCCCAGATCCATGCAGTGGACCGGGCGGTAAGCATCAATGCAAGCATCTATTCCAAGTGCTGGTCTCAACTCGGCAAACTCGGCGCCGCCAACATTTTGCTGAACAGATACCGGCCATTGCTTAAAGAACATCTCCAGGTCAGCACCGCCGTTGCTGATCCCAATGCCAGAGGCCAGAGAAACTCCATGTTGGCTTGGTTCTGGTCTATGGATGTGGAGGGAGACTCTGATAGCAGCGATTGGTTGAATGAATGTGAGGTCTTCACATGTCCTTCGCCGGGCGCCGCTGATTGTGCCAACAATCTTCAGTTTACCGGGTGCATTGGCTCCGTGCCAAGGCTCTAAGAGACAGGTGGGAGGAGGAAATGCTACTTGTGCAGCATGAAATGAATTGGACATGCAACTTCTTCTTGCACAAAGCCGAGCAATGGATCCTTCTGGCTACCATCTCAAAAGCCACCAACAAGGTGGGACACCTTGCCTATGCGGCACGGTAGTGCAAAATGTATTAGCGCCTGTATGAGGATTCCCGGGATGCATTTGAAGTTGCAAAGGCAGCCCGGAACCCAATGCATATTATGCCGGCGGTCTTATAGTAGACTTCAGATTGATGCGTATCATGCCGGCAGTTCTATAGTAGACTTCAGATTGATACCGCTGACATCCATGTAGCAATAAATGATCAAATTCAAGTGGTTGCCGCTGGCATCAATCAATGGTTGGACACTGACTTTCTATAGTGTAGTCTAATGATCCTAGGGCTAATCTTGTATGTAAAGTTATTGTAGGTAATTTAATCTTGTTCCGCTTTCAAATATTTCACTAGGAGTTCAGTGGCTGCGATGGTGTCGCGTACATCTTCACCCAATGCGGTCTCCATTCTCATCAAGGAGGCAGCTACAAGCCTTGCCTCCACTACCTTGTTCTCCAACATCGTGATGATGTGTGCCCTTCCTTGTGTGACCCCAGCTTGAATGGTGGCCAATTGCTGTGCCACCGGCATTGATCTTGCCTGCACCAATGTCGCCGGGGTTATCAACATGCGGCCTTCTGGCTAGATTGCACTGTAAGGCGGCAGCATAGTTGAAATGAGGATGACTTACCAATTGCTCAAAGTGGTCTGCAACCATCTGCACGACTTGCTTCCAACCAGGGTACCGGGACGTGAAAGTCCTGTAGTCTACCGCATCGAAAGCGGTGTTCCACCAGTCCATGGGATATGTGTTGACAACCCAACCTGTGACCCAGGCGCCGGAGGGCTCCACTGGCAACTTCATAAAGTTGTCATAGAGCTCTCGGTAGGTCAGGAGCTCCATTGAGCTCATGCCAAGGATCCCGATGAACCATCGGAGGTTGCAGGACAAGGGAGGGCAGATGCTCAAGCCTTCGCAATAAGTGACCCAAGGCAAGAAAAAAACCTGACTGGCAATTGATAAACTTAGATGGATAAAACAAGAATTTGAAGACTTACCTCGCCCTCCCACATGAGGTACTTGCTAATAATTAGGACTGTCGCTGATGACAGCGTGGTGTTCTCCAGGGATCGGCGTATAGCCAGCAAGCGGGACCTGGCGAACTCAAATATGTTTGCCATGTCGGCGAGATCGAAAGTGGGATGCTCGCCGGTGCTACTGTCGCCGGTTGAAGAGTCGCCGGTTGGACTTAAGCGCTCGGTGGCACCGGTGATGTTGGACATGATTGGATATTTGGAATATGATGATTGGCGAATGGGAATTTATATTGTTTGCTGTAATCGGAACATACCGAAGTGAATTGCAGATCATGCCGAAATTGTGATTTGCAGATTTCCATTGTCCATTAGCCTGATATGGAAATTTATTGGATGTGTGACATAATCAGCCGCCACATTAGTTCACGTTGGACTTGTATTTCTTCATCATCGCAGTTCATCGCCGCCCCTCATCTTAACACCATTACCACCATTACCACCATGACCGCTGTAGTTGACTGGGCCGCTAACAAAGCCAATGCTGGTTTCCTCAATGCAGCCAACAAGGTTGAACATCTTCTGGGGCAGGCTCTCCAATTGAAGCCTGCCAATCCCAAACACATCGCAATTGCGATGGAGATGGCCGCATCTCTTGTAAGTCTTGTTACTTTTAAGTTTCAAATTCTCTAATCTTCGTAGAGTTTTACCTTCAGCAGCTACGCCTATTCGGCAACCTCTGTGCCACCCATGGTGCTCTCTACCGCTGCAGAGATTCATGAGCACCTGGATGACTCCTCCTGCAATGTTGTCAGTGCCCCGGTCTGGTCCAATATTTGCCCAGACGATCTGCGGAGCCAGCATAGCCCGCTTTACCCCCTCACTCTTGCCTATGGCAAACCCTCACCACCCACCAATCCTCCTGTTGCCGGTCCATCTGGATCCAACACCGCAGTCGCCCAGGATGCCAATGTCCTTGCAGGCAAGGGCAAGGGCAAGGCAAGAGAAGATCCTGAGGCCGAACCAACAGAACAGCGCAGCCGCGGTATGGAACGCAAGCGACTCCGGTGCATGAGCGCCGCCTGCAGTCAGAGTCGCGCGCCGAAGGCAAAACGGCCACATGCCACCTCCAAGGCCATGATCACCAGCGAGGACGAATGGGAGTTGGACATGGCCGACATTCCCCAACAGCAACTGGTGCCAGAGGCCAGGAAGAAGGTAAGTATTCCTTGTTGACTTTGTATATGTGATTTAACCTCCCCGGCAGGCATCCTTGCCCACTAGACTTCCTCCCACCCTCAAGAAGACCCGGTCGCAAAGCAAGTCGTTCACCATCACCAGCGACAATGAGGAGGATGCCGAGCCGACACCCAAACCTCCACCAAAGAAGAAGAAGATGTATGTGGAGATTGACAATGAGGAGATGACGACGAACGTTGGCCCGGCGCCAAAGATGGGCACACCATATGTTCAGGTTCCAGTAAGTGTTTCCTCCCATCTGGCATTCACCTTCTAATGATATGAAATGTAGCCCGCACCATCGGCTATTGCCGATCCCAACACATGGTTGCCAGGTTGCGGCCCCTGCGTCCACCAAGGGCTTATATGCCTCCAAGGCTACAACAACTCCGGTGCAGCGCTGACTGTGTGTGAAGCCTGCCACCGCCTCAAGCATAAGTGTGGTGGTAATGGTTCCGCCATTCCTACCACCAAAGCGAAGAAACCGGTGGCGACCACAACTCGGCAGGGGTGTTCAAAATCTCGCTGCCGAGCATCACCGGTGCATGTCTCTCCAGAGACAGGTGAGTACTCAGTTTTATTTTTATTTTTATCTAACACTAGATGATTCAGCCACTCCAGCAGCAGCATCTACATCTGGTGCACCTGCACCGGTTGTTGCTACCACCGCCGCTCCCACTCCCACTTCCACTCCCATTCCCATTCCTACTCCCACTCCCACCACCACTCCCATCACCGCTCCTGCCACTGCTGCTGCCCCCACCGCCGCCTCCACTCCTGATGGGCCAGCAGATGCATCTGTTGTTGCCCTGAAGGAGCAAATCGAGGTGTTACAATCCACCGTCACCTCATTGGAGGCAAAGGCCAGCATCGGGGAGAAGCGTCTCCTGGAAGCCAATCAGAGATTGGCCGACCAGGAGGCGACTTCAAAACTCCTCGCCGAGCAATTCGAAGAACTTCGCCGGCAGTTGCTCCCTCCCCCAGTCCCTGCATCTCCTGTTGCAGCGTGCCTGCCGGTTATTATCGGCAACCTCAGCGGCAACAACAAGAATATTGGCGCGGCAGAAGATGGAGCTGAGCCCGCGTCTGGAGCTATTGCCGAGGCTGAAGAAGTAGCTGAGTCCGCATCCGGTGTTGTTGCTGGCCTTAGCGGCAACAACATGGATGTTGAAGAGGATCTGGCTGAGTCTGCCTCCACATCTGGCGGCAACAACATGGATGTTGCAGAGGCTCCAGCCAAGTCTGCCCCCGCATCTGGTATCAATGCCGGCCTCAGCAGCAACACCAATGATGTTGCAGAGGCTGAGTCTGCATCTATTGCATCTTCCGCTCAGGAGTGAAATGTGTATTGGACATACTTTGTATTACTTTACTTTGAATTGGACTCTGTACTATAGATACATGGCTGCAATAAGCCTGTTACATATGACCCTTATGATAATGACCCTTTATGACAATGACTTTTCTTCTTCCCCCTACATGTGTATGCCGGTCAGAAATCCGGTCCTCAATGAATACTTTTGCCTGATTGCATTTGCTGCCGCTGGCATTGAATGATAATATGGACAGCTTTACCAGTGAAGGGCCCTCGCACCGGTAACCAGCTCACTAGTGGAATAGATATAGGTACCGGCGAGAGCCAGATACTTCTGCCAGGGAGATGTATGTACTGCCGGTGCTTGTTCTAACTGCAGTATTGCCCATGGTGTCGCCGGTGACAGTGGTGTTGCCAGCAACCGAACATTGCGCCGGTGAGATACTGGTGGAATGGGAATGGAGGTGTTGGCGAGACATGACACGTCTGGTTATGTATCAACTCGTCACATCAGCAACTTCAACATCGGCAACATGTAGACCCAGAATGCCTGAAGTGCCAGTGTCGCCGAGATGCAAAGCAGCATTTGGCATGGCTGAATGTATACTTGCCTGATGGGCCTAATGTTATGGCACCACCATTCATTCCTCAATTGTCGGTGGTCAATCCCCATATGCATTCCATCACTGGTAACACCCGCCAATTTTACTGGACCCTCGCCAACAATCATTCCCAATATATATTTGCCGATCCACCAGCCGATGCAGATAGATCATTGCCGGTAATCATTCCCGATATTTATTCGTGTATCCTACTTCCCAGCACACACTCACCGATGTTATTGGACCATTGCCATATATCATACATTCCCTGATATGTCTCCTAGGATTTCCTCGCCAGAGCTAATGGGCCACATTCCAAATGCCCATTTATCACTGACCCCATTTCCCAGCATACTGCCACCGATACATATCGATCCAGCCGATGCAAATAGACCATCGCTGGCAATCATTCCCAATGGTAATGGACCATTTGCCAGACCTCATACCTGACATCCATTCCCCGATACTACTTTCCAGGATCCCCTCGCCGAAGCTAATGGGCCACATTCCAAATGCCCATTTTTTTCACCAACCCCATTTCCCGGCGTGCTGCCGCCGATACTTATGGACCATGGGCCCACCCGACAGTCGTGAGGACTCAATTATGTAGGCCCACCCCTCAATACACATACATTAATTCTGATACCCATGGGCCCACTCCAAAGCATCGAGCACATTCTACTATGGGCCCAGCCCTAACAGTCGGCGGTACTTATGGACCGTGGGCCCACCCGAGGGTGATGAGGACTCAATATTGTAGGCCCACCCCTCAATACACATCTATTAATTCTGACACCCATGGGCCCACTCCAAAGCATCGAGCCCATTCTACTGTGGGCCCACCCCTAACGGTCGGTAACAATGCAACCGCGGGCCCACCCATCAACATCAGACGACAATCTAATGTGGGCCCATGGTGGGCTGGCCCTACACCTATGGAGAAATGTCAACTTGGGCTGGCCGAGTCTATAGGGTCAAGTCACTGAAGGGGCTCTCATTGGACAACATCCGCCGCATCGTAAATCAACAATGTATAGAGCTAGGTGAGCCGCCAGATCCAAAAGTAGAACCAAGCTCAACACCAGACAAGATACTAGAGCCAGTTGACACCACCAAAGTGAAATGGCAGATCTGCCAAAACTTTAACAAAGTCAACAAAGTATCCAATGTGGCACCCACACCACAATGAGATATTAACATGAAGCAGCAACAATTAGCAGGGCATGAGTATATTTGTGTCCTTGACTTTGCAGCAGGATTATACGCCATCCCAGTAGAAGAGGAAAGCCAACCCTACCTCTGCTTCTACACAGAATGCCATGGGTATGAAGCATATTGTCACATGCCAATGGGAGTGCAAGGTGCACCATCGTGCTTTAGTGACCTCACAGCCCAAGCACTACACAACATCATGCTCAAACTACTCCTCAAATTATATGTGGATGATGGGTCAATGGCAGGTGATGATTTTATGGAGTTGCTGGGACAACTACGCATATTCTTTGAACACTGTCATGAGCTTGGCCTATCAATATCACCATCAAAGACTATGCTTTTTTCACAGAGCTCATCTTTGGTGGATCACATGTAGGACACAATGGCATTAAACCGGACATAGTGAAGTTGGCAGCAGTAGCTGAGTGGCCAGTCCTGAAAAATCTATTGGAATTGATGCACTTCTTAGGTCTAACAGGGTACTTTTGGACTCTCATCGAGGACTATGCTAGAATTGCAGCTCCTCTTACAGATCTACTTCAGAACCTGGATTTACCACCAATGAACATCAAAGGAATGAAACAAAGTACCAGCAGTTTCTGAGAGAGTGCAATCTTACACAATTTTGGGAGCAACACCATATGCGAGCATTCCTAAGACTCAAGCAAATACTCATCTCAGAACCCATCCTCAAGGCACCAAAATTTGATGGAACTCCATTCATAGTCACCAGTGATGAATGTAAAGATGGATTTGGCGCTGTTCTGTCACAATGCTTCACAACGCAACTTCCCTTGGGTGACACAGTGACCAAAACACACGCAGTCAGATTTGCTTCAAAGCACACTTCACCAGCAGAGGAGAGATATAAACCTTACTTACTGGAATTCACAGCACTCAAATTTGCATTCAACCACTTTGGTGGGACAATCTGGGGATTTCCGGTAGAGGTCAAGACAGATTGCATCACTCTTCATGATATGTTGTCAGATGACAAGGCATCTCTTGTACATGCAAGATGGAGAGATGGCATTTTAGCATACCAACTCACCACTGTATGACATCAAGTGGGCACTACAAACACAGCAGCCAATGCACTAAGCCATCATATGTCAGGATGCCCATGGGAGGATGGAGATGGCAGTGCATGGTCCATCAACAAGGATTGGGAGTTGGCACACAGCTTGGTGAATGATTTACTACATGTTGATATCACTGATACATCAGTCACAGAACTCAAAACTCAGTTTGCAAACAAACCATTGTTCACAGAAGTAATTGAAGCCATGTGCAACTTGGATGGCACCAAGTCAGAGTGAGACTGCAGATGGGCATGTCATCAGGCATTAGGATATAGCATCAAGGATGGACACCTTTGGCACATCACAGACGGAAAATCCATTAGAGCATGCCCACACTTAGAGTGCATATCCCAAGAAGAAGCAGTAGAGATAGCCAAGCAAGACAATAACATGCTCATGCCAAAGATTATGTTGAAACAGGTGATGGAGCTGGACTATATGCCAGCAGTGTTGCAGCCAACAGCCCTGGTGCCTCAGCAGGGGAAAGGACAAAAAAAGGTCTGTCTGATAATTTTCTTACTTTAGCTTTAGTGAGTCTTCCCTTTGTACTAGGTGAACAGGAAGGGTGTGGTCACAGCTGATTCTGCCTGCTGGTGAACTACCTGCCTGGTGAGTCAATGTGGCCCAGGCTGGGCAAAGTTCGCGTGCATGGATTTGAATTGTTGTTATTTTTCTGATCACAAAGCTATCAGGGCAATGCCAACCTCCCAGTTGCAGAGGTAAGTTTCCCTCCTGAACAACATGAGACTGGATGATCAGACTTTATAAATCATTCCACGGGCAAAAAAAGTCGAATCCAATTATAAAACGCTTTGAAGCCACTACACTGAAAGTACACTAGTTTCACTACGAAATAGTACTGCCAATCGACGCCTCAAGAAACTTCCTTCTCGTCCTCGCCAAATCATGATAACATCATTGATGCGAGTTCATTGCTTCCTGGCTGAACCTCCAATCGAGTCACTTTCTAAGTCTTGTGTGCCTTCTGTCGACTCGAGTGTAGAGAACCTTCGTCCGCGTTGGGGAAGAAACTGCCGGGTGGCTTCGTCTTCCTCGTCTTCGTGAACAGCGTGAGACTCGGGATTAGTGGATGTATCAGTCTCCTCCGGGTGACTGTCTAAATGTTTCTCGGGGATCTGCGCCACAACCCCATCAACAAAGATCTGAAAAAAAGAAAACAGGCTGGAGACGTACTGGTAGTCGGATAATATACGCCACCAATGTACAGCACGTAGCAAGTGTGAACACGGCGCGGAGACTTATGGCGTATGAATCTCTTGCTGCGCGTTGCAAGTCCGGTGGCAACTTGCTCACGAGGGTGATAGAATGCCTGATCTGGCTCACAATCTAGATGCGGACAATGTAGTATCGAGATGGACTGCTTGAAGGGTGGCGTTTTACCTCTGCTGCGCCATCACCGTGTATCCTTGATCGAAGCTCGTGGTCAAGTTTGAACTGAAATAGCGCAGATGAGATCGCAACGCCCGCTACTTGTCCTGTGCCCGAGTGGTCAACATTGACGACAAGGAGCGGTAAGAACAACTCACCCAAGCCTCGGAAAAGATTTGCGAAACCAGTGCCAACGGCCATCGAACTCTCTAGGATATTTTGCACCGTTAAAAACTTCAGCATAGAAGCCATGATAACGCACCTGGGATATGTGCGAGTAGTGCAACTGATTATTTGTACGCAACACGATTAGCCATCTCAAGCACAATTGACCATTGACATCCGACGCACTGAGATTCGTCTGTACAACGATGGCATCGCCAAACCCGAGTGGAATCTGATAAGGAGTTGTGATCCACACATCAGTCGAAGAATGCAAAGCATCACTCACAATGCTCAGCCACTGTTGCAGTGGCCCGGAGTCCTCCCGCATCAAAGTGATGAGAATCATCCCGATGAATGGGAATAAACCGAAGATAAGGTTGATAAGTCTGTACTTCCCGGTGCGGTGGATCATCCATCTGGCTTTGATGTGAGTCAAAAGCGCCACGACGACGACGAATCCACCTACCCGGCGAACAAGGCACCGATGGACATACATATACTGTTCGGAAACAGATGCAGGCCTAACTACAATTAACGTTATTTATGAAATAATTTGACGGCGACATACCCGCCGTGGATGCGCTTGTGAGAGCCACTGTCTGGAACCACATCGGAAAGAAATACATCACGGAGAAGCTGGCCAATGACACAAGGACGTTGCTGGCTCCAACAAGAGCAGGGACCTTCTGTTTCAAGAGGGATGGCGCCATCATAGGCTCGGGCGCGACTAACAACTCTACCAAAATAAAAATTATGAAGAAAATGCCAGCGAGAGCCAGCGGCGCGTATACCCATCGGTTCGACCACTGGTCGAGGGTCAACCAATTAGATGCTTCACTTGAATAATCACTCACCGGGAGATCCTCGTTGTATTTCGTACTCAAGAACAACAAACATGATCCGACCTGAAAGGAGTCAAGAACATTCTGCAAATGAGAATATTGACTTACAGAGACTAAAAGAGCAAAGCTACCACCGTAATCGATTCTCTTCAGAACCTCTTTGGTGCTTCTGCTTTTACCCTAACAATCATGAGTAGGTGATAAGTTTAAGATCCTTCCAAGTGCTTACGGGAGTGACATATCGCAAGTTGTAGGTCGTAAGAGCGAACGACATTACCCAAAAGGGCATTTGAATCAAGAACGCCCATCTCCAACCAAACCTGGAATGCATGGTAGATAGGAAAAGATAAGGCGCGGGCGCTTACCGGTCGCTGATGAGACCCCCTAGAGGCCCTCCTAGACCCATGCCAAGCTAAACACAATAAGTTTACAGGTTCAAAAAGTTGTGGAACCTGACGTACGCCATTGAACATACTTGCTGCCCCTTGCGCAAGCCCTCTCGACTATACGTATTCTTGAGAAAACGATAACGGCGAGGGTGGACAGAACAGAACATACCCGCAGGGAATACATGTCACTCGTAGCGATCCTGAAGTTGTCATAGTGGAATTTAGCAATAAATTGGATGGTTTGTCTGACAACGGGTCTCACGTGCAGGTCGTTATGATACCACCACCTCCCATGCCAGATAGCTGCAAGAACACGTCACAAAGAGTGAAACGGAAACGATGGATGAACGTACAAACCGTGCCACAACCAACATCTCCATGCTCGTGGAGAATCCACACAAAAGGGTCCCCAGCGCTGCAATACAAACAGCCAACTGATTTGCACCTCGTCTCCCCATGATGTTGCATAACCGTCCGTACAAAGGTGTAAAAGTGCAGGTAGCAAGCATGTATCTAAGAGGGAACGTAAAACGGAATTTTTGGCCAAAGGGAAACGTATTTACGATGTCCCAAGCCAGCTAGCTTCATTTGACCTGTTAAAGTCGGAGGAAATGGATGCTAGCACTGTGCCAGAACTGTCAAATCAGCATTCGGCAAAAATTCAACAGTCGTACAAGTCGCGACTAGGGTCACTGGAAACGATTCCGGGCGTTTTGGTAAGAATTGGGACACCAGACGAGAAAACAGAAACGTACTGTTCAAAGACTAACAACGAGTCAGAACATCCAGAAGAACTGTTACATGCAAAGCTCACCGAAAGGAAATTTGCAGACCACAGACCAACCAAGATTCCGAAGCGCGTCGAGCTTGAAATGTCTCGAGGGCCGGGAGGGCTATGTTGCGTTGAATGTCCTTTCCCTCCATCCACAAGCAGCGGATCTCTTTCCGTTGCCATTTCGTGTGTGCACTTGGAGTCAGAAGTCAGAAATTAGAATGCCACGTAGTAAATTAACCAGTGTTGGTAGTATATAACACTACACTGGCGCCAGGCCCGGATCCTTGCCATCCGAACTCGCTTCCGAGCCCGATTCAACTGGGCCGCCACCGTTCGGCCCCAAGACAACGCAAAAACTACAAGGTCCGAGCTACAGTAGGCAAGTACTTCCAATGAAGGATGTCGTTCCTTCTTTCAAGTTCTTTGTTGGTACGAGCAGCGTAATGTAGGGACGTAAAATAATCAAAAGACCTCGAAAACCCATTAATAACGATAATATTTGATCACAGTACTTACTCCCACCTTGTCCTTCATCATCGTTCCCCCTCCTGCTTCAATAATCCAACCAACAGTATTCCACAATCACCACCCAGCCCATATAATACATCGAGCATGAAGATTACTTGTTAAATCGATCGAGTTGCATGGTACAGAATCAAACCACAACAGTGGAAATATAGTCTCCCCTAATAAGCAGACTTACATTACCCATTGAAGTTCTGCATGTGGCAGGATAAGTACTAGGATGGCTGATCTAAGTGCGATGCGCACTGCGCGGGATGGAGTGCAGTTATATATTGCCCTGTGGGCAACAGCACACTCTCGTGCCAGTCAGCGTGGTGTGATCTCTTGTGCGGGTATGCGAATGGAACGCAGGAGTAGCGCAAACGGCGGCGGAAGAGAGAATGTGCGGTAAGGCAGTACTACATAAGTATAGACTGCAAGTTGAATATGCTCGCCGAGCGGTGATTGAGGTCTTCGCTTCTGAGCCCTGACAGTATCACCGCTCCGCAGGCAGTTACGGTATTACCTGTGCATTCTATCGTCGAATTTCATTACGTGATCAATCAAATTGATTGATATTGAAGACTTGGAGCAATGAAACTTCATTACCCCAAGTTTCCTTCTATGACATTGTATCGTGGTCAAGACTAGACACACGTGCATACTCGAGGACAGACAAGCACACGATAACCCTACAAACAGAGCATGAATCAAACAAAACGAGTACTCTCATACAATTATTGTTCGGGAGCTTTGGGCAGAAGTGAATTCGACGTAACTTTAAATGCCCTGACGCATCCGTTCTCGTTGATGGCGGCCCGTGCATATATGTTCGAACGAATTTCCAGCCGGAACAAAAGAGCCGGGTTAGTCTTCTACGCGAGTCAGGTGTGCTAGAGGCCCCTGGCGACTCTGCCTCATGGCTATCCACAACTCGTAAACAACCCAATCGGAGGGCCATCAGTACCGATAGCAGCTGATCGAGATTTACTCCCTCTAGAAATAGGCAAACGTAGGAGAGTCCTAACATCATTTCTGATTGCAAGGAAGAGCGCTCTTAAAAACCACCTCCTTGGTCAGCGAAATTACGAGTCCACCATAGCCTGTGGGTGACTTACTTCGCCGAGATACATCAAGACAAGGCGTCAAGCCATGTCGGATCCTCCCGTGATTTCCATAACAGCCATGAGCACTTGCTTTCTGCGCTCCAGCTTCTCAGGTGGAGAAGGATGAACACCGTCAGCGATAATGATAATCATGGGGACATCGCCAGGACTCACCGGATCAAGCACCAGGTGATGTATTGCAGACCCGTTGGCGCGTTGCAGGATTATGCGCAGGCCTTGCATAGGAAATAGTGTTGTGAGCGTGCGACTTCCCTTTCAAAATGTGTTATGTTCTAGAGCCCATTGATAGAGCCACTGGACGGGTCGTAATGTATCCAAGGACTTTGGGCCAGCGGATGACACGGGCTGCAGCTGGGGTTGTGATGATTCAGACGTTGAAACGGTATGAGGGTCGGGTTGCCTGCGCAGATGAAACAAGCCTGAGGTTATGCTGAGACGGAAGGAGTCAAGGTCGAAGTGGGTGTGACCTGATTCATCTCAACCCCCCAAAAAAGTATCTAAGTAAGTATTCTACCCCTTCGATTATTTTGACTGTGCTCAACATCTTGAAGCACGTCGTTCATCTCATTATTGTGCCACTTCGATACAGTAAACGAGGCCAAGTCGCTTGCGGTGGGTGTTCATATGTCCGACTGCAACCTTCTCGCACAAGTTGTGCAAGCTGGAGAGGTAGAAAGCCAGTCGAGCCTCTCATGTCGTTATGCTCGACATCTTGAAGCACTCATTATTGGACTACTTCGACAATGTGGACCAGGCCAAGCTCCTTCACAGCCCGGGGGTGCGCCACTTCAAGTCATCAATGGTCACGTCTCATTTTGGAACGGCTATGATATCTGATATCGCAGAGGAATTGCGCTGCCATATCTTTAGTTTTCTTTCATACCCAGAAATCACATGCTGCGCATTGGTGAGTCATACATTCACCCCTGATAGGTATTTTGTTGACTCGATGTATTCATCCGCCCCGTTAAAGACTTGCCAAATGTCATACAACACAGTTAAAAACTCCGTTGAACTGCTATACATCATTAAACTTAGTGCTCAAGGATTAATACCGGTTCATCCACGGCCGCCTACTGCCTCCATCGCGGAGTGCTTGTGTGTCCTCAGAGACAAGGCAAGCGCGTGGAGCTCCTTCGAGCTCATGTGATGCAATGGCTTCGTTTCATGTTCACCACCAGTCAACGACTCCGGCTTCATCCATTATTCTCGTTCATTATCAAGTCCATCACCCATCAACAACTCAGCATCTTCACCCGGACTTTGCATGATTTTAATCTGGCAAAGTTATTGATCTCAGGACGTGCCCGCCTGAATCAGCGACTGCCTCTCCCTACACATGGATGAAGGATGGCCCAAATCCAATTCCTGGCACATTTTTTTGCGCGGATGAGACGCAAGACCTTATAGTCAGCACTGACGTGGAGACCTACATACTCGCATCCGACTTCTTCAAGTACGAAATATACCTTCACGCCGATCTCCACGGGCGAGGGACATCCTTTGGTCCATGTATGCCATCAAGTTCTCGATAGACCCACTTTCGAAATCATTGTTAGTGCCCCTTACGATGCAACCTTGCTGTCTAAACATGGGAAGCCGCCGTCCTTGGCGATCGCCTTGCTTTCTGTGGTACTTTGACAGGGCAAGGACATTAGAAGTACTGGTCGCTGTATGTATGGAATTGGCACCAAGGCAGTCCGACACCTGGTGTAGGTGTCTCGTTCCGTTCACTACTCAACTTGAAAGATCTGATTTGAGCATCAAAAGGTATTCGTGTGCAGCGAAGGCCATGGGTTGTCTGATATCCGATTTCTTACAACGGAGAAGCTTTTATTTCTCACATCACATCAGCATATACAACTATATAACTTCGAGGGCTTGTTAAAGCCACCGCAGCTTCAGGCAAGTTTTGTGCTGCCCATTTCTGGACACACTGGCCAGTTTCGATTTCCTTCGGTGTCTTATAGAACCTCAAGTTGTGCACGTCTCGCTCCAACAGATGAACATCAGATCTGTACAACAAACCCCGCAGATCGAATAATATCCGTGGAGGGGGGCTGTCCCTAGTCGATTCTTCTCATACGCGCTCGCATGGATATCCCTCCGACATGGTTCGATGCGGCCTCAGAAGATGGACGAACTGTTCCATGACCATCCTGGGGTCCACAGAATGCTTGCCATTTTCTTCCAGCTCCAGAGAGGAGCGCAACAATTGGTATAGGAGGATCTCGTATTGTATGGGCGGTTCCCGTCTCGGCCGATCCTTATTCCGAATTGGGGTTCCGATTGCATATGGCCGACTTCAATCCCTCAGTTGTCACGCGTGGCATCGGCAAGGTAGTTCGGGAACCGTCATAACCAGACTTTGTGGACGTGGCATCATGGCTCCCTTACGTGGATGTAGTGAAAGATCGCGTTTTTACTGACCCTCTCGATGATATCATAGTGGACGAGGAAAGGATGTTGGTGTTCACCCGAGGCCGTGCTGATGAGAAGGTCGTGAGTGTATTTCCTTCCTGTCGAGCTAATGAAGGTAATCATCTATCTGAATAGGAGCGGGAGGACGATCTCATTGTTGAGATAATTGACATGTAGTAGTCCGTGTCTCACCGAAGTCATCAAGCATCTACACAGAATTTTCGGTTAGTGTTATGCAATCCTCGGACATAATGGACTCAGTCACTCATGACCAGTATCTTATTCTACAATAGATAGCGCTTATATTGCCTGACTACTACTGGGTTGGTGCACATGGATCCCCAGAGCCAGCCGACTCGAGGGTACTACGGCAGAAGCCCTGCCTGCAGCACAACCCGAACGAATTTCTGACGCGTGCCAATGTGACACAACCATCCAGGCTAAGTACTCGCCCATCATGTGGTACGGAGACTTGCTTAATATTTTCCGTGCAATGCTCATGGCATGTCTAATTAGAATTACTCAAGTACGATTAACGTGGACTTTCAAATTAGGATTGAATATCCAAGTGACGCAGTACTGCACAGTACTCAGAACGAGCCTAGCTCGCTGCCTGCATGACAACTTAGCTCATGAGCGTACATGGCCTACTTGTTAATGACTACCGCAGCCAAGTTAGAAAGCACTACCTATGGATGAGAACATCAATCCTTGACTAGCTGACACAAAATCCCGCTCCTTCGCCTTCGCATTCTTCCTCATCTTTTGTACAATCAACACACATGATATAAACACCTTTTCGCGTATGAGATCAACTTCAGGTCTTAAGTCCAGGTGAGCACGATAAGTCATTCTTTTCCGATCGTGCGTCAGAGCGAAATTGGATGGATAGAAGCGAGCGATCGCATTTGTGCTAGCGCTGCTTCCTTTGTATAGCTATTCGGATATCATCAAATTCGTTCCCGTTTGTTGCAGATCATAGTGGACCTACAACAATCCCGCCGTCCTGGCCTCCCTTCCAGACGTACGTTTCTCCCCCCTCGCTGAATGACACGGGACTGGATAATCAGACCTTATAAACAATCCCGCATGCAACAAACGTCGAATACAACATACAAGGACGAAAACATCGGCGTCTTGAGCCAGCTGCTGAGACTCATAGTTTCGCCGCCCAACGTGAGCGAATCCGGGATCATGTCCCTGCGCTGCACTGTTGCCAGTATCCTTTCCCCTTGGCTAAAAACGGTCTTGGGGTTCATTCCTACCAGACCAGCCCTGACGGTCCTAACAGAGTACCGTATGTGACTCTGTCCACGCACTGTCGCGTTGATCGATATCATCACATCGCGGTCAAAGTCCAGTATCGTAGTTGCACCGAATGCTGGATCAGGCGCAGCGAGTTCGGGTTCGAGTTCGCCCCCAATGAGAGTTACCCGGCTGTCCATGAGGGTGTCCAGAATCAGATGGAGGGATGCTAAGCGCTATAGGGCCCATATATATATACGTTTTAGATGAATGGCGTGTGCACAGAGGGTGCGCGGTCGCCGGGTTTGTAGGCAAAGGTCTCTATAGTTGGAAGATGCTGTACGACATGCACACAGCCTTGTTAGCATGAAATGGAACGAATACAACAAGCCGGTCGTGCCGGGCAGATTTTGGGAATACGGGTACTGTCAGACTCAACAGCGAGTCAGCTGACAACAAGAGGGACCTGGAAATTGTACTTAGTCTGGTCCTTACTACTGTCTGCACCCGTCCAGTTCGTCATCATTGTCAGAACAAAATAATTAAAGTGAAAACTTTGTTGAACTGTAATACACCATCGAAACTGGCGCTCAAAGATTAATCTCGGTTCATTCGCGGCCACCTACTGTCTCCGTCACGGAGTGCTTGCGTATCCTCAGAGACAAGTCAAGCGCGTGGAGTCTGGTGATCAGAGGCGAGCGGGGACGCGGAGAGAGCTGTTAAGACAAATATATTATCTCAGTCTTCGATAAGAACTCGCGTTGTACGGCTACGAGTATGTTTCTGCCCCCTCACGCGCTGAACGACACGGGACTGAACTGGGAGATCTCGATCAGGCTTTATTACAGCTCTTTGCATAAAGGATAAAAACATCTCAACATGGAAAAAACTAAGCGCTTTGAAGCCCCTACACTAAAAATCATGTCACACACAGATCACTAGTTTCACTGCGAAATAGACTGTACCACACAGCGTCCCCTCAGGAAACTTTCTACTCGCCAAACTATGTATAGCAATATCGATGCGAGTTTATCGCTGTCTGGCAGAACTTTCGATCGAGGCACTTTCCAAGTCTTGTGTGCCTTCTGTTGACTCAGGTGTACGGAACCTTCGCCCGCGTTGGGAAGGAAACCGCGGAGTGTCTTCTTCGTCAGAATCGACGGCGTGCCCATTGGCAGGAGAATCGGGACTAGTGGACTTATCAGTCCCCCCTGGACGACGGTCTAACTTTTTCTCGGGGATCTGAACCACAACGCCATCAACAGAGAACTGAAAAAGAGAACAAGCTGGAGGTGTACCGGTAGTCGGATGATATACGCCAACAACGCACAACACGTAGCAAGTGCGAACACAGCGCGGAGACTTATGGCGTATGAGTCTCTTGCTACGCGTTGCAAATCCGGCGGCAACTTCCCCATGAAGGTGGTAGAATGCCTGATCTTACTCACAATCTAAACGTAGAAAATGTAGCATCGAGATGGACTGATTAAAGGACAAGATTTCACCTCTGCTGCGCCATCACCGTGTATCCTTGACCGAAGCTCGTGGTCAAGTTTGAACTGGAATAGCGCAGATGAAATCGCAACGCCCGCTACTTGTCCTGCGCCCGAGCAGTCAACCTTGATGACAAGTATCCGTACCAAGCAACTCACCCAAGCCTCGGAAAAGCTGTATGAAACCAGTGCCAACGGCCATCGAACTCTCTGGGATATTTTACACTGTTAAAAAACCTCAGCACAAGAGCCGTGAGAACGCGCCTGGGAGGTGTGCGAGCAGCGCAACTGATTATTTGTACGCAATATGATTAACCATCTTGAGCGCAGCTGATCATTGACGTCCTACGCACCGAGGTTTGTCTGTAAAATCACGGCGTTGCCAAACCCGACTGGGATCTGATACGGAGTTATGATCCCTATATCAGTCAAAGAATACAACGCATCGCTCACAGTGCTCAGCCACTTTTGCAGTGGCCCAGAGTCCTCCCGAATCAAAGTAATGAGAGCGATCCCGATGAATGGGCAGAAACCGAAGATAAGGTTGATACGTTTATACTTCCCGGTGCGGTGGATCATCCATCTAGTACTGATGTGAGTCAAAAGCGAAACGGCGACGACGCATACACTCACCCGGCGAACAAGGACCCGAGTGGCATGGATACACTGTACGGAACCATATGCGAGCCTATCTGCGGTTAACGGTGATGTGTAAGTAAAATCACAGCGACATACCCGCCGTGGATGCACTTGCGAGATCTACTGTCTGAAACCACATCGGAAAAAAATACATCACGGACAAGCTGCACGATGACACAAGGACGTTGCTGGCTCCAATAAGGATAGGGACCTTCTGTTTCAAGAGTGATGGCGCCATCATAGGCTCGGGCGCAACTAACAACTCTACCAAAATAAAAACTACGAGAAAAATGCCAGCGAGAGCCAGCGGTACGTATACCCATTGGTTCGACCACTGGTCGAGGGTCAACCAATCAGATATTTCATTTGAATAACTGCTCACCGGGAGATCCTCGTTGTATTTCATACTCAAGAACACCAAGCACGATCCGACCTGAAGGAGTCAAGAACAATCTACAAATGATAGCGTAGACTCACAGAAAGTAAAAGGGTAAAAATACCGCCATAATCAATTCTCTTCAGAACCTCTTTGGTGCTTTTGCTGTCTCCCTGACAATCAAATGAGTACATGTTAAGTGTATAATCCTTCCAAGTGCTTACGGGGGTGACATATCGCAAGTTGTAAGTCGTAAGAGCGAGCGACAGTGCAAAAAAGGGCACTTGTATCAAGAACGCCCATCTCCAACCAAACCTAGAACGCATGGTAAACAGAGGCAAAATAGAAGGTGTGTGCGCTTACCGGTCGCTTATGAGACCTCCTATAGGTCCTCCCAGACCCATGCCCAGCTAAACACGATGAATATTCAGGCTCAAACAGTGGTGGGGCCAGACGTACGCCATTGAACAGACTTTCTACCCCTTGCGCAAGCCCTCTCGACTGTAGGTGTTCCTGAGGTAACGATAACGGCGAGAAAGGATAGAACAAAACATACCCGTATGGAATACATATCACTCGTAGCGATCCTGAAGTTGTCATGGTCACATTTAGTAACGAACTGAATGATTTGCCTGGTATTGGGTCTCACGAGGAAGTCGTTTGAATACCACCACCTCCCATACCAGAGAGCTGCAAGAACATGTCACAAATGAGTGCAATGAACTCAGGGGATCAACGTACAAATCGGGCAGCAACCAACATCTCCATGTTCGTGGAAAATCCACACAAAAGGGTCCCCAGCGCTGCCATAGAGATAGCCAACTGACCTGCACCCCGTCTGCCCATGATATTGCATAACCGTCCGTACAAAGGTGTAAAAGTGCAGGTGGCAAGCAAGTATCTAACAGGAATGTAAAGCGGAATTTTTGGCTGAAGGAAAACGCATTTACGATGTACCAAGCCAGCTAGCTTCATTTGAGCGGTTGAAGTCAGAGGAGATGGATGGCAGCACTGCGACAGAACTGTCATGTCAGCATTCGGATAAATGCAACAGCCGTACTTACAAGTTACGACTAGGGTTACTGGCAATGATTCCGGGTGTTAGTAAGAGTTGCGACACTAAACAAGAATCCAGAAACATACAGTTCAAAAACTAACAACAATTGACAAGTCAGAAAATCCAAAGGAACTGTTACATACAGAGCTCACCGAAAGGAAATTTGCAGACCACAAACCAACCAGAATTGCGTAGCGCGTCGAGCTCGCAATGTCTCGAGGTCCGAGACGACGATGTTGCATTGGATGCTCATTGCCTCCATTCACCAGCAGCGGATCTCTCTCCGTCGCCATTTGGTGCGTATGCGGCACTTGGAATGCTAGTGAGAACTTAAGTCAGTTAATGCCATGTAGTACATTCCGGTGCAGTAATACGCACTAAAATTGGCGCCAGGTTCCTAGCCGCATCCGAACTCGCATCCGACACGCTATCGGAGGAGTCTTATCCTTGGAAATGGTTAATGAAGTGTCAATCCATCAAAACGCTTCTCCGTGTTACGAACGCTTACGGTAGCAACGATGAGGGATATGATTGGTGGGTTAGTAGAGTGCGATCATCACGTAGGTTCTCCGAGGTACCTTAGTCCGATCGGATCCATTTGTTAATTGCACGAAATTTTTGCAACCAGCTCTAGGACATACTTAGCAGCACATCCTGTACAGCTCCAGAAGAGCAAACGGCCTTGGGGTAGCGGTAGCCCCCTGATGAGAGCTTTAAAAGGCTCGAAACTGCTGCCATCTGCTTCTCTACTAATTATCTAGCCTCCTTAGGCTGGCCCTAGTCGTCGGCCCTCGGGGACATTGGACTACAACGAGCGCTGAGGAGGTGGTCTGCCTCAAGCTGGTGACGCTCAGCGGCAGGATACTTCGAACCGTGACATGTAGGTGTCTTCACTTCACAGTTCGTTCGTTACGGTAGTGTACAGAAACACAAAAATAGCACTTACGTACCGACAGTTATGCACACATTTTGCCGCCAACTTGGTGTGCTGTACTTGCCACTTGGGATCGCTTCAACAACTGAGAATTTTCACCCCGACCGTGAATCAAGATGTTATATCCAAGTTATTGATCTCAGGACGTGCATGAAGCATGCCTGAAATGCCTGACGCCGGCAAGATGAAACGAGATAGGGATGACCTGTCTGTTATAACACTTATCTTGATCATGATCCACATTGACAATCGTGCGAGATCATGGAGCTAAACTCGGAGATTAAGAATCTTTGGACTAGCCAGCGGAAACATACGTACCCGTTGACCCGAACCCACAAGCGGAGGATACACCCTGATAACACTACATTGCCGGGTTTGTCTTTCAGGCATCGCTACGGTTATGGACAATATTGCGAAAATAAAAGGCAACTAGATTAAATCCTTCATAATGATTCCCGATCCGCCTCGGACGGGTCGTGTCAAGGAGAGTTTGTTTAATCTGTCATCTCGACTTGAGACTCAAATGTCTTTTTCTCTTGGATCTCGATCTCGCCCTCGCCCTCGCCCTCGCCCTCGCCCTCGCAGTGCGTGAGGCCGGCATGTGTGCCAGCCACGTTATGAATCTGGGCCATGTCTGTATCACCATCGAAAATGCTGAGGAAGAAGTCGTGAGTAAAAGATCGCAGTCAGTATCACTATGACATACACCGCAGTTTCTTCGAGAGTGTGCTGACGATAATTTCGTGAGCAGAATGTACGAGCAACAAAAATGTTATACGCACGTTCTTCGTCTCAATGATGAAGAAGTAACAAAACACACATTCGAAGCACAGCCAGAACAGGTATACCAACTGAGATAGAACACCTAATGAATAAAATCATGCCAGAAATATGCGAGAAAGCTCACGTAGTACTTCCATTGCAGACTGAGCAAGTTCAATGTCAGCGGCTGCAAGGAGAAGGTTCATATTAGGGACATACGCTTCAAGGGCAATGGGGTTGACGTATCTGCGTATGTGAGTGGACTTTCAAACAGACGAATGGGATGGACCATACTGGTTGAAGATCAGAGACACAGATATCATGAAGTTGAACACGATAAAACCCTTGGCACGGAGGGCGAAGGGGAGAATTTCGACAGTGTATCTTTTAGAATATTTCAAGGTGAGGCTCACTCCAGAAATTCATATAACGCACGAGACAACGAGGGGCGAGAACGCAATCTAACGAATGTTACAAGGAGTTAGCCAGAATGAATAAGAGCATCAGTTAGTAATACGAACGCTATCTATATGGATGTGGTAGGTTAACAACAACAACAACAACAACAACACGAAAGCATTAAAATACTTACAAAACGCGAAGTAAAGGACTGCGCTCGCTTGTCAGTGCCAGACATTATCGGCTCTCAGGTACTACTCACAAATGAAAGCAATGACTGCATCGCCCGCTGCGATGCTACCAGTTTCTTGGTGGATGGCGAAGCAGATCGTCTGCGCGGCCCAGAAGACGATCATACCTAACAACATATACCAGTTAGTTGTGTGCGTATGCCTGAGGAACATGGCTGACCAGCACAAGATGCGAGGAACAGTGGACGTCGACCCACACGGTCACAGCAAAAGCCGGCAGTTACGGCGAAAAACAAGTTGAAGGTGTTGAGAACACCATTCTAGAAAATTTGGTGAACGGGCAAGTATCATGTACTTCGTCCAAAACCTACAATCAGCAACTGGGTCTCTGGGTCCGTAACTAAGTGGCAATGATAAGCTGGCTCTATGTCAAATCACGATTCACTCACTTCCAATTGCAGTGAAGACTTTGTTCAGATCTGTCAACTCCAACCATTAGCATTTGCATCATACATCGATGAACCAGCTCACAGTAAGAACTACGAATCCACGGGTCATCAGAAGGATTGCACATATGAGACAACACCGAACCTACACCAAGCCATTACCAGACCACTGGGAGAAGACAGCAAGCGCGATGATGATGCGTAAACGTTTGCGGTTTCCGGGGTATTTGATCAAGCTTAGCCAGCCAACATTCGCAGCTACTTCCCGATCAAAAGCAATGGCAGCTTTAATCTCTGCGAATTCGTACTCCACAAGAGGATCTTGTCTGCATGATAGGCTTGTCTCGAGCGCTAATACAGCAAAGAGATTTAGCGCACTCACGCATTGCCGTCGGCGTGATAATAAGCGAGGACTTGGAGAGCACGTTCCTCCCTAAGCGTGAAAGTTTAAGACGACACAATTTTGGAACGTCAAGTATCAAGGAGAGTTATACTCACTTTCCCTTGCTCACAAGCCAACGTGGAGACTCGGGGACGAACCAGATCAACAAGACTTGAATCGTTGACGTAAGGGCTTGCAGTGCGGAAGGAATTCTCCACGACCAACTGGTAGGGATAGTGAAGGTGCCATAAGTCTGCAAAAAAGGTTACCTTAGTATCCACTTCGAATGACAGAAACTAACAGTCCACGCCGCACTACGTGGTGGCAACTGGTAAACTGGGATGGAACTCTTATTTTGTTCGAAAATCTTACATGATACTTCCAAGGTACCTGAAGGATGATGATTTGAACACGTTCTCATAAATTCGCCAAGACAACTCACCATAATGCGTTGTACAGTGAAGTTGCTCGACCGCGGTGGGAAGGGTATGCGACCTCAGTGACGAGGAGTGGAGCAGCGGTAGCAGCAAATGTTTGACCAAAACCGATCATGAAACTGCGGAAATGTGTCAGGGTAACACTGCGATTAGCTATCGGTCACCTACCGGGCTCCAATGAACATCTGGATTGAATGACTAGCAGTCTGGATCACGGCAGCGACAATCATCAAACTTGCACCAAAGATGATTGAGAACCGCCGACCCATGCCATCAGCCATGTAGGGTGCAAACGGGTAGGCACTCAAGGAACCGATGCTCTGAGGTAGTCCTACAGTTAGGCAGCATCTGAGACCGCTATGACAGTTAGCTTACCTGAATGGCATTGAGCAATCCGAGCTTGCCGGCAGATAAGTATGTTGTAGCCCATGTGCACTAGTAGACATACAGTCCCACCAGCAGGATAATTGAACGCTTGATTCCACTGCGTCAAAGACTGCAGACCGTCTGTTCCGCGTTTAGCATATCATCTCGGAAACCGCAAGGTCACCTACTCATCATACTACCTAAAACGAATTAAGATAGGTTTTTTCAATGAATAAATGTAGAGCCCACCGTCATAACCATTTGTACAGGACGTTATGAGCCTGTCAGTGGTCATCTAACTGAGTGTAAATCAGGATGTATTCTGGAACTTGCATGATAGCGATCCAAAAGTTCAGAATGATGAGGCCTGTTATTTACCAATGTCGTCAGTTCTCTTTCCTCGTGTTGTCTCCATGGGGATTGAACTTACGGGTGTTCTTGTACCATGGTCTCGGATCGAGAAGGTGAGTGTAAGTAGCAGAGCCTTTGGTGATGAAGGCGGGACCAGCACCCATGTCTCGTTGCGAAGTGAAGGTTAAGAGGATGTGACGATACGCCGATTTTAAAGAGTGACTTGATATTAACGAGCGTTTGTTTTCAGTTTTCTTAGGTCCGCTTAGGAAGCGAACAAGGTGTGCGGTGATGCGACCAGGTGATGTTTGTCCGCACCTGATCAGCGAATCAAGAAGAAAACAGGCAGACGACCTAGAAGATAGCGTGTTCAAGCCAGAGAACGTTTGGCTGAATTCAAGAAAAACGGAGCTTATAGATACAAATGTTGAACGTAACAAACTAGTCACATCCAGAAGCGAGATGACCGGATCTGTCCCAACTCCCTAGGCTCTCAGCCCCATCGTTAGTGTATCATGGAGTATTGGCGGGCCAGCGATACTGACTCACATTTAAGGTGGTTTGGCACCTACAACTAAAGGAACGATAGCCTGAGCCTCATTCGATTGAGTTGACCGTAACTTCAAATTGTCAAAGCGCGGCGTCCCTACTACTATTTATGAAATGGGTCGCAACATACTTACATGATCTGCAAGGGTAAGAAAGATTCGACGAGAAGGTCATTCTCTAGACAAACATCAATCGATATTCCATTCGGTGTCCAAGAAACTCACCGCTCGGGGGGCTCACCAGGAGTCCGGAAATCAATTTATGACCTAAACGTTGAAGCGAGTACGAACGAGCCCGAATGACGAACAATGTATTACGTAAGAGGAGCTTCGAACTAACAAGGATTTTGCCACTAATGTATAGTGAAAATGCCAAATTCATCAATAACATTTTGAAACAAATCTTGCATAGCGAAAAACTCCCAAGAGGTAGAAAGCCAGTCGAGCCTCTCATGTCATTATGCTCGACATCTTGAAGCACTCATTATTGGACTACTTCGACAATGTGGACCAGGCCAAGCTCCTTCACAGCCCGGGGGTGCGCCACTTCACGTCATCAATGGTCTCATTTTGGAACGGCTATGATATGTGATATCGCAGAGGAATTGCGCTGCCATATCTTTAGTTTTCTTTCATACCCAGAAATCATATGCTGCGCATTGGTGAGTCATGCATCACCCCTGATAGGTATTTTGTTGACTCGATGTATTCATCCGCCCCGGGGACCCTTTTGTGTGGATTTTCCACGAACATGGAGATGTTGGTTGCTGCCCGATTTGTACGTTGATCCCCTGAGTTCATTACACTCATTTGTGACATGTTCTTGCAGCTCTCTGGTATGGGAGGTGGTGGTATTCAAACGACTTCCTCGTGAGACCCAATACCAGGCAATCATTCAGTTCGTTATTAAATGTGACCATGACAACTTCAGGATCGCTACGAGTGATATGTATTCCATACGGGTATGTTCTGTTCTATCCTTTCTCGCCGTTATCATGATCTCAGGAATACTTATAGTCGAGAGGGCTTGCGCAAGGGGTAGAAAGTCTGTTCAATGGCGTACGTCGGGCCCCACCACTGTTTGAGTCTGAATATTCATCGTGTTTAGCTGGGCATGGGTCTGGGAGGACCTATAGGAGGTCTCATAAGCGACCGGTAAGCGCACACACCTTCTATTTTGCCCGTATTTACCATGCGTTCTAGGTTTGGTTGGAGATGGGCGTTCTTGATACAAGTGCCCTTTTTTGCACTGTCGCTCGCTCTTACGACTTACAACTTGCGATATGTCACCCCCGTAAGCACTTGGAAGGATTGTACACTTAAAATGTACTCATTTGATTGTTAGGGAGACAGCAAAAGCACCAAAGAGGTGCTGAAGAGAATCGATTATGGCGGTATTTTTACCCTTTTACTTTCTGTGAGTCTACGCTATCATTTGTAGATTGTTCTTGACTCCTTCAGGTCGGATCGTGCTTGGTGTTCTTGAGTATGAAATACAACGAGGATCTCCCGGTGAGCGATTATTCAAATGAAATATCTGATTGGTTGACCCTTGACCAGTGGTCGAACCAATGGGTATACGTACCGCTGGCTCTCGCTGGCATTTTTTTCGTAGTTTTTATTTTGGTAGAGTTGTTAGTTGCGCCCGAGCCTATGATGGCGCCATCACTCTTGAAACAGAAGGTCCCTATCCTTATTGGAGCCAGCAACGTCCTTGTGTCATCGTGCAGCTTGTCCGTGATGTATTTTTTTCCGATGATCATAACTCCGTATCAGATCCCAGTCGGGTTTGGCAACGCCGTGATTTTACAGACAAACCTTGGTGCGTAGGACGTCAATGATCAGCTGCGCTCGAGATGGTTAATCATATTGCGCACAAATAATTAGTTGCGCTGCTCGCACACCTCCCAGGTGCGTTCTCATGGCTCCTGTGCTGAGGTTTTTTAACAGTGTAAAATATCCCAGAGAGTTCGATGGCCGTTGGCACTGGTTTCATACAGCTTTTCCGAGGCTTGGGTGAGTTGCTTGGTACGGATACTTGTCATCAAGGTTGAACGCTCGGGCGCAGGACAAGTAGCGGGCGTTGCGATTTCATCTGCGCTATTCCAGTTCAAACTTGACCACGAGCTTCGGTCAAGGATACACGGCGATGGCGCAGCAGAGGTGAAATCTTGCCCTTTAATCAGTCCATCTCGATGCTACATTTTCTACGTTTAGATTGTGAGTAAGATCAGGCATTCTACCACCTTCATGGGGAAGTTGCCGCCGGATTTGCAACGCGTAGCAAGAGACTCATACGCCATAAGTCTCCGCGCCGTGTTCGCACTTGCTACGTGTTGTGCGTTGTTGGCGTATATCATCCGACTACCGGTACGCCTCCAGCCTGTTCTCTTTTTCAGTCCTCTGTTGATGGCGTTGTGGTTCAGATCCCCGAGAAAAAGTTAGACCGTCGTCCAGGGGGGACTGATAAGTCCACTAGCCCCGATTCTCCTGCCAATGGGCACGCCGTTGATTCTGACGAAGAAGACAATGACACTCTGCGGTTTCCTTCCCAACGCGGGCGAAGGTTCCGTATACCTGAGTCGACAGAAGTAGTGATATTCCGGCCCGGCTTGGCTCGAAAGCCGCGGCTTCGGCCTGGCTTCAGACGGCTTGGGCTTGCAAAAATTCCAGGCCGGGCCAAAGCCGCCAGTGACGGCTGGCTTTGGCTCGGCTTTGGCCTGAGCCGCGGCCCAAGTACTGAAAATGGAGAAAAGCATTCAGAAGATAATTTTCATCATGGAGTCAGCATCTGATTCTACAAAATCCTCGTCTCCCTCCAGAAGAGCATCCCAGCCCTTCTCATCCCCATCTTCGACATCACTCAGCTTCTCATTAGCATCCATCTCAATATCAGAGTCCTCGAGAGCTTCCTCAGTTGATGATGAGGGTCCAGGCTCGCGGAAGAGTAGATCATGGCGGAGGGCGCATTTGACGCACTGTAGTGCCTCAACAATGTCACCTTTGAGGTGGTTGCAGCGCTTGCTAATGGTAATACCACCCTGTGAGAACGTGCGCTCACTCGAAACTGATGATGCCATAATTGAGAGGTAGTCGCGAGCTAGTGAGGTCCATACTGGCCCATATCTGTGTCCATTAATCTACAACAAAGACTGGTCAGTATTGAGACGAGATAGACTTGGATATGTACTTACGCCCCACCATTGAATTATGCTCATTCCTGGCAGAGGTTTCGTCTCTACAGCATCGACATAGTTTCTAAAACTGGCATACCATGGTCTAGATGGATCTGTATGAGTGATGACAGTCTCGTCATCATCGTCTTCATTGGAGCTCTGCGCCTCGCAAATTAACTTCTTGAGTCCGCTAGCCTTGCCTTTCTTGACAAGTGAAGGTTGCGACATGGATGCTGCCTGGCCCAATTCAAGATAGCGAGCCTCAAACTACATGACTTGTAAGTGATTGTAAGCTGGTGAATAACTTTGTCCAACATACCACTCATTCCACGCAAGCAAGAACTTCGTCTTGCAAATCCTTGGGCCAGTTCTTCTTGAAGTACAACATTTTACCCGTTGGATCAAGCACTGCATGGAATATGAACATCACAGATACATGGTAAATGAAACAGGGAGAACATACACATAGTCATGACATAGGCCAGGGAGTCAGTGGTCTTCTCGTAATACTCGTCAAGCTTTTGTGCAGTGGCATGCAATGCTGGTGCAAAATGTGAATATTTTGGCTGTTCCGCATGTGAAGACCAAGCTCGATGGAGAGTCTCGAGTGCAGGGATAGCAAGATGTAGTGTAGTAGTTGATTCTGATGAGAAGGCCTGCTGGGCAACGTCTGCGTACTGAAACATCAAATCAGCAGCAGCACAATATCAAATGACAAACGTAACGTACTGATAATAGATCAGCAAATTTACCAATGTGGGTCCATTCAGTTGATGCCAATGTAAGGAAATCAATCTTGGCCTGTTTGGTCAAGTCTTGCTCTTGTAGACCCATCTCGTACACAAATACATTGACATGCTGTTGTCAGAAATCAGACATTGCATTATTGAACACTGCAGACTACACTCACCTCTTTATTGCTTTCCGCACAGTTGACCATCACATAGGTTGAGGACCAACAAACCTTCATATCCAGAAGGAGTTGTGTAGGGTGTGAGACACCAGCCTTGACTTGCACCATTTTGTAAAGCTCCTTTCATTTCACAGATGATTGCTCCTTTGAACAATTTAGTAAAACGTAATGTGTGAAGAGAGATCAATCACCTTTATGCATATTGAACGTATGAGTCCAATCTCGTCACAATTATGATGCTTGGTGGTATCCAGCTCATGAGCATGGGGGTTGTGAGGTTCATAGTGTGGAGCTTTGCTGTATGTACTGATCAGTACTTGGGTGCCAAGATTAATCACATGAGCGAGACAGCTGAACACTATGTGAGCACATATCAACTGCGAAACAAGCATCTTACTTGATCCTTCGTTCATAGCAAGGGAACTCCTTTTTGTGTCGTGCTTCATAGAGTCGAGCAAACTCCTTGAGCATTGTGCCATTGTTAGAGGCATTATCACAAGTGACATGGCCCAACAATATATCATGATTAGACTAAGCCAAGCAGAATGCAAAGATGACATGCCTTATGTGTGATACCAACACAATCTAGAACTTTGAACAGTGTGCCACCGAGATGCTTCCCATTGTGTGTGTTGTTGAGCTGGGTAAAGCCAAGAAGTGCGCTTTCGCACTCCCATTGCATCGTTGACTTCTCTTCGATCCAGTGGCCAGTGACAGTGAAATATCCATCAGTGTTGGTGGCTTGCCATGCGTCACAAGTGATATTGATTGCTCTGCTAACAGCAGTGCTCTGTGTTGGCAGATGAGATGTGGTAAAGCACACACTGGATTGTGACATACATTTAACGTTGTCTGGAGTCACGTCAAATGATTCTTAAATATTCGCATGATCTCAGCATGAGTGGCTTTGCGACTGGGGATTTTGACACCATTTGTCGCCCGTGAAGCAACATCGATCATCTCCTGGAACTTCGGGTGTTCGAGGGCTTGGATGGGCTAGATGAAGGCGTGTCAATGGTCATACTATTAGATCAAGCAAAGCATACATACTTGGTCCATTGCAACCAACCATTCAATTGCAGCTCATTTGAATAACTTATCCGAGTAAGGTACGACTCGTTCAGAGAGTTTGCATTCAGTCAGATGCGAATTAATGGTCTGCTGTGCCTGCTTGGCCTTCTCCTTGCAGGCCTTGATGTCACCCAGTAACATAGACTCAAAAGAGTGCTCCTTCACCTATTGTCGATACTTTCCCTACAGTATAATCATATATATATGCACAATGAATATATGAAAGAAATTTACGCACCGCAAAATTAGCTTCGGCATGACGATGAAGTGTTGTAGATTTGTTCACAAGTATACACTGTTTCCTATTAATTTGGTGTGAGTGAGTGAGCATGATCATGAACTTATAGACTTACAAGCATAACTTGCACTTTCAGTGCTTTTTGACCTTGCCATTGGTTCCCATATGATCGAACCTTGCACCAAAAAATGCATTGAGATCAGCAGTCTTGCCTTTGCACATTGGGGCTGTGTCAGTAATAGGTTGGACATGAACATCAATAGGAATGCCATCATCATCAATCAAATCTACATTGATTGGCGCTGATTTGCGCAATCTTTTGGCTACCAGGTATCAGTTTTGGTGTTTGCAGATGGAAAATGAACTTATGTCGTGGATTGGTGCGTGCATCTTCATGTTCCTCGGTGTGTGCATTGTCACATTCCTCGGTGCATGCATCTTCATATTCCTCTCCATCAGATTCATCAACAACTGCTTCAACACGCATCCATTTACCCGTTTTGAGTGCTGCTGAGGTTGCCAGAGTTGAACCTGATGGTGCGGTGTCACCTGTTGAGCTGGGGGTGGTTAGATCTGTGTTGGAAGCGCATTGAATTTCAGGCAAACACTTTGTAGCCTCAGCTGCACAAAAGGCATTGATAGCCTTGGTTTGTGATGGGAGAGCTGCCTTCTCTGAATGTTGGAGAAGGGTGGCGCTGGGCTTTGTTCAGCGGACTGGCCGTGCATGACATTTGTCATCACTGTCTGTGTGGATGGTTCCAACCATTAGAGACAAGTAGTAGGAAACAGATATGAAAAAAATACCATCATAGATGCACACCTTTTGTCCGAAAACAAATGCACTAGTCGCCAAGCTTGCAAGTCGCAAGAGACTCGTAAAAGAGGGCAGATTACTGAAATTGATCTATCCACCAGTGACAAAGTGAGTTGTGTCAAGCTTGGAAAGAACGAAGCTCTGCAACTCACTGTCATGAGCTCATACAATGGAAAGTGAAAGTCTAAAATGAGATAGAAGCGGGATTCTGGGGTCGTCAAGTGAGTGGTGTTTGCGACGCTGCAGGCACAGTTCTGTGTGACATAAGCCACAGCTTGAGCCGCTGGCTTCGGCTTTTCATAATCTCAGGCCAGGCCAAAGCTGTCACGAGGACATCTCGGACTTCGACTTTTCGCCCCATTTGTGCCATTCGTGCCAAAGAAATATATATAATTAATTACACACACAAACAAAGTACCAGATCGTCTAGCAGGGCCAATGATGTAATCACATGCAGGTACAATGATGAGCTCTGAGTCATTACTCCAGTGCTTGCGGGAATTGCAGGGTGTCCTGTCCCCTGCGACCAAGCTCTCACTTGCATCTATGGTCCACTTTGTTTTCCTTGCTACAAACCTTAAGAACAACATAATCCTTGTTCAGCCAGGAGATTATGATCCTGGCTCTCCGCCTGCTAATCTATCACCAAGTATCATCCACTTTCTCTCTGCTAGCTGTCAAATCGTACTGGAGGATGTCCCAGCTTTCTGGACAGCATTAAAAGACATGATCTGGCATGAGGATAACTTCGGGCTTTACAATACACTCCCTCTTTTCACGCAGTATGGGCAGAAACATGGTATCAGTGAGTCTTCTGCTTGTCATCCTCTCAAGCCCGTGAACTTTTCGATGCTGCAGCCATGTCTCCCCTCTACCCACCACAGCAGACATGCGTCTCTCGTGGCTGTACCAACGAGAAGAAGCTAATGAGAGCAGAGCAGCGTCCTGCAATCCTGTACACACTCGATCGCAGTCCAATTGCTATGCACTCTGTCCATCTCAAATGTGATGGTGTGCATCTACAATATCATCTTTGACAAGGTACTGACACTTACTTCGATTTTATAGCTTGTCATGTTGGGTTCCATCATCACTATTCGATTGACTATAAAGTCCCTGCACATGATCGCAAGTGGACCTATTATGTGCAGTTACCAGACGTACTCCACGTCGGTGGTCATCAGTATGTTGATATAGCTGTTGTGCGGATGTGGAGAATACTGAATCTTGTTTCATGGTGAGTGCCGTCAATAGCATCGCTTCAGTGTTCTGACTCGACTTTGGCAGGACATCCATGTCGAACTGTGCACGCTTTTATAATGTCTCTCTTTCAAAGAGCGCAGTCCCGCCACCTGATTTTCCTTTCAAGTTTGGCCTCACAGGTGACCACATCTGGAGCAGAGTTGTCCAACTCTCTCTCATTGAAGATTTACAACTTTGTGGTCAAGTGCTGGAGGTCAAGCATGGAGGTGACCACAAAGATAGATTCACTGCACCGATGCGCACCCGCAACCTACGCATCCACCTCTATGGTCAGGAGGAGCTCCGTCATTATTGTACCAAGTGCACTGTTCTCTATGATGACAACAAAGATGGCACTCCTGACAGAAAGCTTTCCGTCGTTGTTACAGATAGGGTCACTGTAGGCCATCCATGCTGCGGCATCCATAATTGCCATGAACCCCTTGGCAATAATCGAGATAGATTCTGTCCCAACCATCTTCTAACACACCTCCATATCTGTGCAATAGTGAACTGCGAGTGCAGTGTCATACTGTCAACTAGGACGTGCAACGACCCCACACACCAGGCTATTGAGAAGGCGTACACCCAACATGGCCAGGCACACTTTCAACTTCAGGAATGCCTTCAGCGTGCATATGTAGCCATGCCCACCAACTCTGATACTAGCGATGTCGCGATTGCTGACCTTGAGGCCGATGATCCCATGGAAGAGGAGTTTGAGGTTCCAGTTGTTGCTGGTGAGGGATATGTGGAGACAACAAAGCAAACCGAGCCAAGGAAACTTCGCGCAAAGTTTGGTCGTAACCGTGCCCACAATGAACAGTTGATCATTGCGCTGTGTGGGATGATTCTCGCACGCAAGACATTTTATGGAGCAGAGGGTGTCACAAGTGTTGTAGTAAGGCCAACACTCCTCACTCACAATTGCAGACTAACCATAAGCAGATAGGAGATGATCAAGAGAGTATTTCGTGATGAGAGCATCAAGCCCAACCACATCTTCTACGACAACAATTGCACTTTGTCGTATCATGTTCGGAACGACCCTTACTTCAAAGGTGTAGGCCTATCTGTCGATGTGTTTCACTTCCAGTGCAAGCATTCGGTCGAAGATGCATGGTGTCAGAAACACTGCAACCCTGCCCACTTTGACGATCTGAAGTACGCCAGTGGCAACTGGCTATTCAACTCCTCCATTGCGGAGCAGACAAATGTCTGGTTTGGGGGGTACCACTCAATATGCCGTGAGATGCTTGTGGACAGATATGTCTTCTTCTTAGATGAGATGATCCTTCAGAAGAATTGGCTCATGAAAGTAAAGCTACATGCAGAGGGGAGATGTCCTGGCAACTGGCCACTAGTAGAGTAAATGTTCTGTTACATGCTGCTTCTAATGATTCGATTGATGCCTTGATGCAATTCACGTCGACGCGTCTGCTCTCAATAATATTATGAACGTCGTTTGATTGATGCACCGAGTTAACGACACATCTGCTCTCAATATCGCGCGTTAACGATGCGTCTACTCTCAATATCAATGCGTCTGCTCTCAATAATATTACAAACATCATTCGATTGATGCATCATCACAAGTACATTAACGAGTTAATGACAATACTAGTAGAGAAATCATAACATGACAAGAGTACAGAGTACATAACAAAGGAAAAGGAATTAGAAAATAGACTAGTACCTGTGTTCACCCTCACAGTCTTACAAGGCGCTTCTTTGCGGCCTTTACATCCGCACCAGGTAATGGATTTGCCTCCATGAATGCTGAATATAAACCTGCGTCACTCTTGCCTGCCTGTATAAACGTGGTTCGTGAGGATGCTGGTGCACGATCCCATCATTTCCGATGCTCTGAGAAGGTTGAGGGATGGAAGTGTACACCCCCTCCGAATGCCAGTGAGAAGGCAGCATGGGAGGACAGTCCAACTCTGCGGGATTTATTGTACTTCTTGAACCCATCTGCAATTTCACATGCGTAGAAGCTGGTAGGCCAGCGCTTGACATCGTCGAAGGCATCAACATCAACAGCATCCTCAGGAGAGTGGCCTGAAGACAATGATGAGCACTCAGATATAGTAGTGGCGTTGCTAGTAGATCTGGCATCGCTAGTAGAGGCATCACTCTGGCTGCCGCTGTCCAATGATGGTGAACAACGACAACGACTTTGATGTGGTGCATGTTGACGGGGAGTGATGTCGACCTCAGAGCCGGAATGGCTGCCGCTGTCCAATGATGGTGAACGACGATGACTTGGATGCGGTGCATGTTGATGGGGAGTGATGTTGACCTCAGAGCTGGAATCAGAAAATATCTCTATCTCGTCCCACAATGGAGGTGAGTCTGACTTCAAGGATGACTGACGTGGTGTCAGAATGGTGCACTCATGTTTTATCACCAATCGAGGTGAGCAGGGACGAACAGCTGAGGAGCCAGCTGTGTTTGTGCATGCACGGTGAGTATTGCCTTGCGCTGAGTGGCCCAAATGCTTCCGCTTCTGCATATCTTCTGGCTCCTCTGAATCAGAGGCTGTGATGCTAGCAGCTCTGAGCTGTTTGCGTGTGTTGGACAGACGAACAGCAGCACGCTCCACTTTGAGATTGGTACAAATATTGGGAACAGCATGAAGAGAGTTACTTTCGAAGATCTCATCGAACTCGGGAGTGATGGTGACGCCTATGTTGCACATGTACACTTGACGGCTGTCAAGCATAAGCACATGCCCTTGCTGGACTGTGCACCATCGGCTCTTCGAGGTGTTGAAGTATTGGACTTGCACCTCTGCGTCATCTCCAGAGTACAACCCAAGTGCCCGGAATACTCGAGCGGTCACCTTGAATTGCAGCAGGGTGATACCATCTTGAAATTCGCACATGGTCACCTCTGCACCATCCTAAAGCTGCTGTTAGGGTGTATAGTATAGGTCATATTTGGGAAAACACACCTCTGACCACCCATATGCTTCTACAGTATTCTTCGTGTGGTGCTCTAGATCACGCTGCTCGGCAGCTTGATGCTCCATTGCCTTCAACTGCTGTTCTTGTTCGGCATAATGCTGAGTGAAAACAGGTGGGAGTTGCGATGGGTAATGAGGGTTGGCATGTATGTCGACCTCTGATGAAGGCAGTGCGCAATCTTTACCCTTGTTTGAACAGTGGGCAACAGCAGCAGAAGAAACAGCAGGAACAGCAGCAGCAGGAGGCCCCTGCGCTTCAGGAGAGATCGTAGAGGGGCCAGCGGTAGGGGCAGATGTACTTGCAACAGGTCGTGGTGGTACTCGAAGGGCAGGGTCGATCGCCATGTTTCGCTGGATTTTAGCAGGGGTGGGCTTATGGGTCTTCAAAGAACATCCACCAAAGGCAACACAATGCCTGCGGCAACACACGTTTTCGCAATCCGGTGCGATTCGCATGAACTTACATCCAGGCACAGCACACAGACGTGGCTGAGAGGATGCGTCACCAACTGGCAGTAGCAGTGGCCCAGGCTGCGTTGGTATGGTGGTACTGTGGGGAAGGACCGGCGATTGTGTCGGGGATGGTCTGGGTGAGCCCCAGCGGAAGTAGAAACATGTCTCGTTGCTCTCAGGGCATTTATGTCGGCACTGAATCCTCAGCAAGTTAGCCGAACTCAAGAAACATGATTCGATCCACATACCACTGCATACCAACGACCTTGGTTACCCTTTGAATCATCTTTGCAAACCTGCCATTCGACAGGTTCAAAACACGATTGACAGATAGTGGCCCATTCAGGCCAGATGAAGGGTGTTGTAGGAGGAACAGATGACATGAATCCTATGGTATCTTTGACAGCGTGATACAGAGAGCTGATAAAAGGAGCGTGTTGAAGGTAAGCATTTACTATAGTTGTATGCTACACAGAACTCATCAGCACTAGTGCACCATGCAGCAAAGACCAGTGCAACTTACATGGTGCCAATACATACCAGTTATCAATGTGCAGGGCGGGCGAGAAGAGTGGGCGTTGTTGATAGTAGTGATAATGATTGGTGGGATGGTTGTGACACAAAGCGCGAACGGTAGGCAAGTGTGGGAAAAATACATGCCAGTGTATTAGCTAATTAGGTGCGGCACGAACGCGAATGGGGCAAATCGGCAAATCAGGGCGAAAAGTCGAAGACTGAGACATTCTGGCTGTCACCAAGCTGTGACTTTGGCCTGGCTCAGCTTGGCCTATTCAGGCCCGGCTTGGCCTGGCCCACAGCCTGAAGCCAGGCCATGCACATCACTATGCAAGATCATGGAGCTAAACTCAGAAATTAAGAATCTTTGGACCAGCCAGCAGAAACATACTTACCTGTTGACCTGACCCCACAAGCGGAGGATACACCCTGATAACACTACATTGCTGGGTTTGTCTTTCAGGCATTGCTATGGTTATGGACAATATTGCAAAAATAAAAGGCAGCTAGATCAAATCCTTCATAATGATTCCCAATCCGCCTCGAACGGGTCGTGTCAAGGAGAGTTTGCTTAATCCATCATCTCAACTTGAGACTCAAACATCTTTTTCTCTTGGATCTCGCCCTCGCAGTGCATGAGGCCAGCATGTGTGCCAGCCATGTAACGTGAATGGTAACGAGCGGGACAGGATGATCTGATAATAAACAAAGTATATCTCAGTCTCTGAAGGAGCTCTTTGTACGAGTCTAGTACCTGATAATAAACAAAGTATCTACTGTTATGACTAGGATAGTTCTTCTTCAGCATTGCAATAAAGGATGATCAAGGCTGAAGTGTATCACGAGTTCTAAGATCAAAGGTTCAGGCTAGTCGAGTGTCAAGGGCTCGCTAGATCAAGCATTCAGGCTAGTCTGCTTGGAAGGCAGCTAGATCGGTGAACTTGAAGTATCAGGAGAGAACCTAGTAGATTCAAGTTAAGGAATACAAGTACAGGAAACATGATATATATGTAACAAGAAGGTAGTTTAGGGCCGGTCTGTAGGTAGATGACCCTATCAAGAAAGGTAAGTGAGAATAGGAAGACAATATCAACCAATCAGAAAAGGAGATGAGAAATGGTACAATGTTGGATCGACCAATCAGGGAACAGTATGAGTAATCATCTGTGTAAGCATAATGAGTAAGCATATAGGTAAGTGTTCACGTGTTGGACGTGTTGATAAGCAGTCACGAGACTCGATGAGTAAGTAAAGAAAGAAAGAGAAAAGAAAATATAGTGCCATTGTAACATCTACGGCTCGTTAGCAATGTAAAGTAACGGGAAAAATAACTGGGACTTACATCTCAGTCTCTGAAGGAGCTGAGATGTTCATACGAAAGTAATCGACTTCTTATAGTAGGTTAGCATAGAGATGAAAAATATATGTATCGTAGCAAACCACACATTGTAATATGGACGAGCTGCAGCCAATGTCAAAGTGTCGCTCGCTTGGACCACTTTCAGTTTCACTCGTATCTTATGCTTTGGCCGCCTTCACTGCCTCGGACTCTTTGAACTTCAACACTCCCCCTTGAGCAGAACCTAGGCCCATCAATGCTCTCAACTTCTGTAGGCATGGACAAGGTAAAGCCTTCGTGAACGCATTGGCGATGTTGTCATCCATTGGGCAGTAATGGAGCTTGAAGGTACCGTTTTTGACGTGCAATCTGACAAAGGGAAAATATATATCAATATGCTTCGTCCTCGCATGGAACTTCGCATTTGACGTGAGCGTGATAGCTACCTGGTTGTTGCAATGAATGGGGGTGGGTAGCTGAACGGGTTCATATAGCTCATCAATGAGGAGTTGGAGATAAAGGACTTCACATGCGACGGTTGTGAGTGCGATGTATTTGGCTTCAGCCGTGGAGAGGGCCAGCAGGGGCTGCTTTCTAGTGCTCCATGCTACTGGACCCCCATTCAACAGAACAACATACCCAGATATAGAGTGACGGTGAGGCTGCAATGCCCAATCAGCATCAACGTAGGCTTCCAATCCACCATCTGATCCTCCCAGTGTGATTCCATGGGTCGTGGTTCCTTTTAGGTATCTGAAGACTTGTTTAGCAGTATCCCAGTGCGCTCGACCTGGGTTACGCATGAATTGCGACAAAATTGCGACTGCAAAGGTTATGTCAGGCCTCGTGCTTGTGGCCACATACATCAAGGAACCGATAGCACACTGGTAGGATACGTCAGCCATATCTTCAAGTTCTGAATGTGTCAATGGGGACTGGTCCATGGATAAGAGGGTGCTGGAGTCCATAGGTGTGGTGGTGCTCTTGGTGTCTGTGAGATTGAATTGTTCTAGGATGGTTTGGACGTAGGCAGTCTGGGATAGGGTTATGGTCCATGCTGGGCGATTGTGTTCAATTTTGAGTCCCAGGAGCCAGGTGAGCTCTCCTGGGTAGGAAATCTTGAAGTACTGATGCAACTGGGCCTTGAAGCTTTCGATGTGGTGCAGGTGCTTCGATGTGACTGCCATGTTGTCCACGGAAACTGTAATGACCATATGCTCGTCCAATAGGCACTTGTAATAGACTGCCTGGTCGATCTGTGACCAAACGAATCCAAGCTCGACGAAAATCTTCGCTAACTCCTCAGACCACTCAAAACCTGCTTGTTTCAGTCCATAGAGACTCCTCAACAGTTTCAAGACCTTCCCCTTGTCACCTTTCTTCAAATACCCAGGTGGCGCTCTCATATAGATCTCCTCCTTCACTTCAGCATAGAGGTAAGCGCTCTTTATATCTACCTGGTGTATCTCCCAGTCTTGCTGAGCTGCCTGTGCTAGAACTGTATGGATCATTGACATATTCGAGGTAGGTGTGAATGTGTCGAAATAATCGACACCATACTGCTGGCATTGTCCATTTGCCACGAGATGCGTGCACAGTTTGAGCTTCTTGCCATCAGGTCCTCATTTGGTGGCTAAGACAAAATGGCAGGAGATGATGTTAGCGCTGCATGGTGTGTCTACCACTTCCCATGTGCCTAACTTCTCTAATTGATTGATTTCATAATCAATCACTTCTTGCCACTCAATGGCATCAGGACCATTCAAGGCTCGTTGAAGAGTAGGCTTAGGCTCTGCTGCCGCTAGCGCTAAATGACAGGTGAGTTCTGGTTCATCTGCAAAGTCTGACTCTGTGGGTTCAAAGAGACTTTCTACTGCCAGGGTGGCTTGCTTCCCCTGTTGCAGAGAGGCATAGAATCCGGGTGGGGGTCTAGTATGAGTTTCACGGGGTTTGCATGTTGGGATTGTGGGTGGCGCTGGCAGTGATGGAATGGGTGGTACGGTGGTTGGAGGGACGTTCTGGCGTAACATTTCGAGGTCAGTGGACTCCCCCTCATCCGGAACATCTGCAATGACCACTGTACTTGGTACAAAACTCACATTCTGTTCAACAGATACCTGTTGTTTTGACGGCCAGTATACGCAGTAGCCTTTGCTTTGTTCGTCGACACCAACAAAGACAGCTTCCTCTGCCCTTGTGTCAAGCTTCCCCACATCCTGTAAATGGACGTAGACCCTTGCTCCAAACTCACAAGCCCGTCCTAGGTTTGGCTTGGCGCCGTGCACGAGTTCATATGGAGTCTTACCTAGGATCGCTCTAGAAGGTAGGCAATTCTTCAACCAGGTGGTGTAACTGATGGCTTCCACCCAGAGAAACTTCAGGAGGTCCCACTCCAGAAGCATGGCCCTTGCATGTTCGACTAGTGTCTGATTAAGTCACTCAGCGACACTGTTTTGTTGTGGTGAGTCATGCACTGTGAGCTGGTGTTTGATACCCTGCTGATCAAGATATTCGTCGAATTTGGCGCTTAGGTACTCTCCCCCACGGTCTGAATGGACCTTGCAGAGGCGGACACCAGGGACTTGACGTGCAATCCAAGCTTTGTAGTGCTTAAACACAGTCAGTGCCTTGCTCTTCAGCTTCAGGAACTGCAGCTTGGTCTGGCGGCTGAAATCATCTGTAAAACTAATGTAATACAAACAGCCTCCCAAGCTTGCGGTTTGAGCAGGACCCCATAGGTTGGTATGCACGAGTTCCCCATAGGCGCTAGCACAGTTCTGCGTCTTCTCTGGTGTGGGGAACATCCCCACTGTAGGCCCATATCCTGTATATTTTCAAGCCTTACCACCATCTTTCTGTGTGTTCCACTACCATTCCACTACCCATCCGTGTCTTACCCGACCTGTCCGCTACATGGAACCAAGCAGAACAACCGCACATCATGTGCATCATATCCCTTTAGCCTTCGGAACGTCTTCCTCTGTCCTGTCCCTGTCCTTCCATCCTCACTGGTGAGTCCTCACTATGTTCCCCGTGTTACTGACATGTTGCTATCTAATTTCATATGTGTTATGATACTTATACGGATCCTTCCACTACTCGGAACCGGATCCTTATCTCACAACCTCACCCAGTTGTAGCATAGCGCTTTTTGGAACCCCTTCCTATATAGATAGCAATAGATGGGATCTTAGTTTTTTTACCTTTTGATAGACTCGACTCCACTTCCACTTACAGAGTACTTCCCAGTACTCCACTCACTGTTTAAGATATCTTCCCGAATCTATTCCTGATCTCATCACAATGTTCCCGCCTCTGTGAGTTCCACTTGAAACGCCCAACATCAGATCCAATGACTTGGAGCAAGTACCAGACACAAGCCTGGTCTGACTTCACCCAATCTTCCTCATACAGGCTTGTAGTTTCCTTTTCCCTCAGTTTGTTCTGTTTGTTCCATGTTAGTTCCATTAGTTCCATGTAGTTCCACTTGTTGCATGTTAGTTCCGCTTGTTGCGCATTAGTTTCACTTGTTGTGCGCTTGTTCCGTTCATTGTGTGCTGTGTTCCGCTCATCACATACCTTCCACATCTTTGCATTCCCAGTCCTAGTAAGGACCAGAACCCTTCGGGTCGCTAGACAGAGTCTAGTCTTTGCTTTCCTCGCACTTACTTGAGGACTCGCTACCCAGTAGCAATCCCCTTGGGATGAGTATTAGTCTTCCACCCTTGTTAGACTTCTGAATCACCCCAGAGTCTATTTTCCTCACCCACACTGGGAAAGGGCAACGCGCAGCTTTCGCCTTAACACATGCATCGCAGAACTCCAGACCTGAGGTGGAGTCTAGCTCAACACCTTCAACAAGGCCCTTGTTTACCGCCTCTATCATGGCAGTTTAGGATACGTGACCTAGGACACGATGCAGTTCACAAGCAGTAAGTTTTGTTCAGGCAACATTAGCGTGATGCTTCAACTGATTCGCGATGGTGTAGAGACCCTCAACCTGTGGTATTTTGGCGATGACATGGCATTTCGAACCTGCAGAGAGGATCTTACACATTTTCCCCTCAAAAAGGACAGCAAGGCCCACGGCGGTGATGCAATTAGTGGAGATGAGAGTGAACACCATCATTGGGACGTACAAAGTGTTCTTCAAGGTGACATTCGTGCATTTATCACCTAGCGGTAGGTCTAACTTGACATCTCCACGTCCTATGGCACTGAGGGTCGAACTATCTGCAGTGCATACCTCTTGAGGGTCGATGGTGACGTAGTTGGAGAATTTGGAGCAGTCAGGGCAGAAGTGGGACGTGGCCCCAGAATCCATGATGGCTCCACAGCAGTCAAGGGGTACATTCAAATCCTTGGCTACACTCGCTAAGTCTGATGTAACGAAAGCATAGTTGTCTTGCGCTTCCTGCTCCATGGCAGCATTAGCACCATGCTTCTGTGAGTGCCCTCCTTTCCTCTGCTTTTGGTTGGGTCCCTAACCTTCTTTTCCACCTCCTGGCCTCCAGCAATCAGTCTTGTAATGGCCTTTGCGATCACAGTTAAAGCAGGTCACATCCTGGTTGGTCTGACTGGGGCTGCCAGTACCACGGGACTTTCCTGGAGTGTTCTTGACCGTGAGCACGGCATTGCCACCTTTCTTGCTCTTGCTACGATGATCAGTGAGCAGGCAATGCTTGTATTCTTCAGTTATAATGCTGATGAGTTCATTGGGAGTGAGTAGCTTCTGCAGTATCTTTGCAGCTGCATTGACCGAAGATAGTAGAGGGCGATATGATTCCGGGAGTGATCCCAGGACGATCGCGTGAAAATCGCAGTCGTCTAACGCAGCGCCCATGCCAGCGAGCAATTCTCAGAGCCTCAAGAGCTCTGCGAAGTGGGCTTTGATGTCAGCTCCCTCATTGCACCTCATATCCTGCAAGTGGCAGTGCAAGTTGATCTGCACAAGCTCAGTCTTGCCTTTGTGGATCTTACAGATCTCTTCCCATATCTTGGACACACTGTCCAGCTTCTGAATGCTTAGCAGCAGCCAATCCATGATTGTGCTGAAGATCTGCTGCCTGACAAGTCCTTCTGATAGAATTCGTCCGTTTTCTTATTGAGGTCCTCGAGGTCAGCTTGCGTTGGTATCATACCCTCCAGCTTCTTCAACTGGCCCATTTTATTGTCTAGTGGGAACAGAACAGGTCTTGTTGCTCGACCATTGGTATAGCACATCAAGCCTCTCGCACTGATCATGGTCAACGTTCTTTCCTTATAGGTGATCCAATTTGTGCCATCTTCGGCAAGTTTTGGGACATTGAACAACAAAGAGCTGGTACTGGGGAGTGTGGAATCCGTGGCCAAGTCGGGGCTCATAACCTAACATGAATGGTAACGAGTGGGACAGGACAATCTGATAATAAACAAAGTATATCTCAGTCTCTGAAGGAGCTCTTTGTACGAGTCTAGTACCTGATAATAAACAAAGTATCTACGGCTCGTTAGCAATGTAAAGTAACGGGAAAAATAACTGGGGCTTACATCTCAGTCTCTGAAGGAGCTGAGATGTTCGTATGAAAGTAATCGACTTCTTATAGTAGGTTAGCATAGAGATGAAAAATATATGTATCGTAGCAAACCACACATTGTAATATGGACGAGCTGCAGCCGACGTCAAAGCGTCGCTCGCTCGGACCACTTTCGGCTTCGCTCGTATCTTACACTTCGGCCGCCTTCACTGCCTCGGACTCTTCGGACTTCAACACCACGTTATGAATCCGGACCATGTCTGTATCACCATCGAAAATGCTGAGGAGGAAGTCGTGAGTAAAAGATCGCAGTCAGTATCATTATGACATACACCGCAGTTTCTTCGAGAGTGTGCTGACGATAATTTCGTGAGCAGAATGTACGAGCAACAAAAATGTTATACGCACGTTCTTCGTCTCAATGATAAAGAAGTAACAAAACACAAATTCGAAGCACAGCCAGAACAGGTATACCAACTAAGATAGAACACCTAATGAATAAAATCATGCCAGAAATATGCGAGAAAGCTCACGTAGTACTTCCATTGCAGACTGAGCAAGTTCAATGTCAGCGGCTGCAAGGAGAAGGTTCATATTAGGGACATACGCTTCAAGGGCAATGGGGTTGACGTATCTGCGTATGTGAGTGGACCTTCAAAAAGACGAAGGGGATGGACCATACTGGTTGAAGATCAGCGACAGAGATATCATGAAGCTGAACACCATAAAACCCTTGGCCCGGAGGGCGAAGGGGAGAATTTCGACAGTGTATCTTTTAGAATATTTCAAGGTGAGGCTCACTCCAGAAGTTCATATAACGCACGAGACAACGAGAGGCGAGAACGCAATCTAATGAATGTTACAAGGAGTTAGCCAGAATGAATAAGAGCATCAGTTAGTAATACGAACGTTATCTATATGGATGTGGTAGGTTAATAACAACAACAACACGAAAGCATTAAAATACTTACAAAACGCGAAGTAAAGGACTGCGCTCGCTTGTCAGCACCAGACATAATCGGCTCCCAGGTACTACTCACAAATGAAAGCAATGACTGCATCGCCCGCGGCGATGCTACCAGTTTCTTGGTGGATGGCGAAGCAGATCGTCTGCGCGGCCCAGAAGACGACCATACCTAACAACATATACCAGTCAGTTGTGTGCGTATGCCTGAGAAACATGGCTGACCAGCACAAGATGCAAGGAACAGTGGACGTCGACCCACACGGTCACAGCAAAAGCCGGCAGTTACGGCGAAAAACAAGTTGAAGGTGTTGAGAACACCATTCTAGAAAATTTGGTGAACGAGCAAGTATCATGTACCTCGTCTAAAACCTACAATCAGCAACTGGGTCTCTGGGTCCGTAACTAAGTGGCGATGATGAGCTGCCCCTATGTCACATCACGATTCGCTCACTTCCAATTGCAGTGAAGACTTTGTTCAGATCTGTCAACTCCAATCATTAGCATTTGCATCATACATTGATGAACCAGCTCACAGTAAGAACTACGAATTCACGGGTCATCAGAAGGATTGCACATATGAGATAACACCGAACCTACACCAAGCCATTACCAGACCATTGGGAGAAGACACCGAGCGCGATGATGATGCGTAAACGTTTGCGGTTTCCGGGGTATTTGATCAAGCTTAGCCAGCCAACATTCGCAGCTACATCCCGATCAAAAGCAATGGCAGCTTTAATCTCTTTGAATTCGTACTCCACAAGAGGATCTTGTCTGCATGATAGGCTTGTCTCGAGCGCTAATACAGCAAAGAGATTTAGCTCACTCACGCATTGCCGTCGGCGTGATAATAAGCGAGGACTTGGAGAGCACGTTCCTCCCTAAGCGTGAAAGTTTAAGACGACACAATTTTAGATCGTTAGGTATCAAGGAGAGTTATACTTACTTTCCCTTGCTCACAAGCCAACGTGGAGACTCGGGGACGAACCAGATCAACAAGACTTGAATCGTTGACGTAAGGGCTTGCAGTGCGGAAGGAATTCTCCACGACCAACTGGTAGGGATAGTGAAGGTGCCATAAGTCTGCAAAAAAGGTTACCTTAGTATCCACTTCGAATGACAGAAACTAACAGTCCATGCCGCACTACGTGGTGGCAACTGGTAAACTGGGATGGAACTCTTATTTTGCTCGAAAATCTTACATGATACTTCCAAGGTACCTGAAGGATGATGATTTGAACACGTTCTCATAAACTCGCCAAGACAACTCACCATAATGCGTTGTACAGTGAAGTTGCTCGACCGCGGTGGGAAGGGTATGCGACCTCAGTGACGAGGAGTGGAGCAGCGGTAGCAGCGAATGTTTGACCAAAACCGATCATGAAACTGCGGAAATGTGTCAGGGTAACACTGCGATTAGCTATCGGTCACCTACCGGGCTCCAATGAACATCTGGATTGAATGACTAGCAGTCTGGATCACGGCAGCGACAATCATCAAACTTGCACCAAAGATGATTGAGAACCGCCGACCCATGCCATCAGCCATGTAGGGTGCAAACGGGTAGGCACTCAAGGAACCGATGCTCTGAGGTAGTCCTACAGTTAGGCAGCATCTGAGACCGCTATGACAGTTAGCTTACCTGAATGGCATTGAGCAATCCGAGCTTGCCGGCAGATAAGTATGTTGTAGCCCATGTGCACTAGTAGACATACAGTCCCACCAGCAGGATAATTGAACGCTTGATTCCACTGCGTCAAAGACTGCAGACCGTCTGTTCCGCGTTTAGCATATCATCTCGGAAACCGCAAGGTCACCTACTCATCATACTACCTAAAACGAATTAAGATAGGTTTTTTCAATGAATAAATGTAGAGCCCACCGTCATAACCATTTGTACAGGACGTTATGAGCCTGTCAGTGGCCATCTAACTGAGTGTAAATCAGGATGTATTCTGGAACTTGCATGATAGCGATCCAAAAGTTCAGAATGATGAGGCCTGTTATTTACCAATGTCGTCAGTTCTCTTTCCTCGTGCTGTCTCCATGGGGATTGAACTTACGGGTGTTCTTGTACCATGGTCTCGGATCGATAAGGTGAGTGTAAGTAGCAGAGCCTTTGGTGATGAAGGCGGGACCAGCACCCATGTCTCGTTGCGAAGTTAAGGTTAAGGGGATGTGACGGTACGCCGATTTTGAAGAGTGGCTTGATATTGACGAGCGTTTGTTTTCTTAGGTCCGCTTAGGAAGCGAACAAGGTGTGCGGTGATGCGGCCAGGTGAAATTTGTCCACACCTGATCAGCGAATCAAGAAGAAAACAGGCAGATGACCTAGAAGATAGCGTGTTCAAGCCAGAGAACGTTTGGCTGAATTCAAGAAAAACGAAGCTTATAGATACAAATGTTGAACGTAACAAACTAGTCACATCCAGAAGCGAGATGACCGGATCTGTCCCAACTCCCTAGGCTCTCCCCATCGTTAGTGTATCATGGAGTATTGGCGGGCCAACGATACTGACTCACATGTAAGGTGGGTTGGCACCTACAACTAAAGGAACGATAGCCTGAGCCTCATTCGATTGAGTTGACTGTAACGTCCCCTTTCAAATTGTCAAAGCGCGGCGTCCCTACTACTATTTATGAAATGGGTCCCAACATACTTACATGATCTGCAAGGGTAAGAAAGGTCCGACGAAAAAGTCATTCTCTAGACAAACATCAATCGATATTCCATTCGGTGTTCAAGAAACTCACCGCTCGGGGGGCTCACCAGGAGTCCGGAAATCAATTTATGTCCTAAACGCTGAAGCGAGTGCAAACGAGCCCCAATGACGAACAATGTATTACGTAAGAGGAGCTTCGAACTAATCGTCTAGCCCATCAACAAAAGAGCCTGAACCGTATATGTAAATATATGCTGCGGCCTGCCCGAAGCATATATTTATATATATGTCGCAATGTAAGACCTTGTGTACAAGTTGCGCATGTCTTAAAAGCTAAATCACAGCATGCACGCTCATGTAAGCTTCACAAGGCCTTGCCTGCTTCGGGCTCTTTTGTTGGTGACACAGACCGTAACGCACAAACATCGGACACCACGACTTGCAACCAGTATCTTATTCTACAATCGATGGTATTTATACTGACTACTGCTGGGATTTGCAGTGTTGCACACATATGAGTCAAGTACTACTGATACACGAGGACCCAGGATTACTGCAATGAAGTTAGAAAGACCCCATAGCAATCACGTAGGAGAACACCAGTCTTTGCCTAGCTAACTCCAAGTCCCACTCCTTCGCCTTCGCATTCTTCCCCGTCTTTTGCACAACTAGCACACAGGATATAAACACCTTTTCACGTATGAGATCGGCTTCGGGTTCCAAGTCCAGGTGAGCACAGTGCGTTATTCTTCTCCGATCGTACGTCACAGCAAAGTAGGAGGGGTAGAAGCGAGCAATCGCACTTGTACTAGTGCTACCCTTGTATAGCTGTCCGAAGACCATTAAAACTCGTTCCCGTTTATTGCAGATTATAGTGGACCTACAGCAATGCCGCCGTCTTGACATTCCTTCCAGAGGTATGTCTCTCCTCCCTCGCTGAACGACGCCGGACTGAATGATATCGATCAGACCTTATGAACCATCGCCAAAAAATATCAGTGCAACATACAAGGACGAAAACAAAGGCCTCTTAAGCCAGCTGCCAAGGCTCATCGATTTGCTGCCCAACGTGAGTGAATCCGGGAGCACGCCCCTGCGCTGCACTGTTGCCAGTATCCTCTCCTTCTGGCTAAAAATGGTCTTGGGGTTCATTCCTACCAGACCACCCTTGACGGTCCTCACAGAGTATTGTATGTGACTCTGTCCACGCACTGTGGCATTCATCGATTTCATCACATCGCAGTCAAAGTCCAATGTTGTTGATGTACCGAATTCTGGACCAGGTGCAGCGAATTCGGATTCGGAATCGCTGCCAATGAGAGTTACCTGGGAGTCCATGAGTGTGATCAGAATGAGATAGTGATACAAACGCCATAGTACCCTTGCTTTTTAGATGAAAAGCCTGTGCCCAGAGGCGCGGTTGAGTAGGGTAGCTCTCTGGGCAATCATTGATGCTGTTATTTACACAGCCTTCCTAACGTGTAATAGAAAGAGCACGACTGCATCTGGCATAGCATGATGACATTGATGTAGAGTCTGGCAGTTTCCCGCGTTCCTAAAACGTGTCATGGTAGCAACCTGTCAAACTCTATAGTGAACAGCCAAAGTGCTTAGTACTTACTGCTCTGCTTGTAGCTGTTCAGCTCATCACTACCAGAACGAAATAATAAAAGCATGTCGCGGTTCACCCTCGTTCTGCAGATTCCAGTGACTTGACTCACGCAGAATCACGATCCGTGGATATACCCACAGACACAGCTCGTACCCTGAGCTTGCATGCTCTTGGCGTCGACGACAGCCAGATCAGCAGATCAAGGATTGGTTCCTCAATAATGACAGAGAGCACACCAATGAATATTCTCGATGGACGACTTACTCGTCCGATCTTGCAACTGGGGAGATCCGCTGCCAAAGAGACGACAAGATCTATGGATCGAATAGTTGGATGAGTATGATGCCACAGCTTGGAATGAATTAAATGACCTTGGAGGGCACACGCAGAGGAGGGCGAGATGCACGATTACCAGAGAGAGAACAAGATCCACGGACCGGGTGATTAGAGGAGAACGGTGCCATGGTACGACCTCGGGAACGAAACTCGTCATTGTTGACAGGGCCCGATGGAGGATCTATTGAAGTAGTTGCGATTCAGAAGAAATGCTCGCGCGTAGACACGCAGAGGAGCGCGAAGTGCGTAAGACCCAAGAGAGAAAACAAGATCTACAGATCATATAGTTAAAGGAGAACGGTGCGACAGCTTGGAACGTATGACCTGGGCAGCTATAGATTCGCTGTCGGAACGAGACTCGTAAAAGTTGACAGGGTAAAATGAAGGAGCAAACTAGTTACGAAGGAAAGAAACGCTCGCAAACATGCAGAGTATAGCGGAATGCGCGAGAGCCTTACAAGGTTGCGTCTTTAACAGGAGGAGAGAAGACACTAGCAGCTTGCACACGAGAGTAAGGAATCTACATAGATGATGAGGAATGTCACGTGGAATGTCATTCCTCGAATTTATGCAGATCCCATAATCTCACTACACGGCTTGGAATAGGTGTCCATGAAGACCTAGGACGGTGACCAAGGGGAAGAAGTTGGGGGAGGTGTGGTTCCATGCAAGTGAACGATACGGCCCCATGAACATGAACGTTTGAACACCCGCAATATCCTGTGGGATGCATGTGCATGGGACTGCAATCGACAGCACACATCCTCGCACACAATACTGAGAAGAGAAGATAAAGCTCTTCGAAGTGCTGCTTTTATAATGTAAGGTGCGCACGAGCCCGGATGACTTCGCTACGGAAGAAGCACTGGAATGGAGAATCTCCACGTGAGCACTTACAATATTATGGCCTTCTTTTGCCCGTCAACGCGCCGTCGAAGTTCTCGGGCTCACGATCCGCATGAAATTCCATATATATTGTATGAAAGGACTGCGCTCGAGTAGATATCACCCTGCAGGCATTCGTTCAGTCCCTGGCTCCACAAGCAGACTTGCGTACCGGCGAAAGCAAATTACCTATCTTTAGTTGAAATCCCACCCGCACTACACCCTTTCCTTCATACTCGTTCATGCACACTGAGATGACAGCCAACATTAAGAACTTGTTCGAGAATCAAGGGAAGACCTTGTCCGCAGACCACAAGCCGTCCTCCTTCCACTCACGAGATTCTCAGGTGTTATCCCAACGTAAAAGGAGTCACATGCAACAACACAGGCTTATCTGTGCCATGTTATCAGTGAGGTGGCCTTTAATGAAGGTTCTTGAAGGCCCCCTCAAACGTACGTCATTCCGCATACTTAAGTCCCGGCAAAGGATCTCCGTCTCGGGGAAGCGTCTGCCGAGCTTGCGTGTGCTGGACATCGGACCTTTCAAGGAAGAAGGGTCGAAGAAGTGTGATATCTGAAAAATATTTCCTTGTAGGATAAGGTATTATCATCTAAACAATCGAACCGGGTCATCGTTGGCCATGGCCAATGGTGCCTGGATGTTCGAGCCATTCACTAGAGGGGAGTAGATAGGCTTGTCCTCCTCTGCAGCAAGGTTCTACCGAGCAACTTACCACTTGAAGCTGTGTTCTGCCAAATGCTGAGGCGCACGTGTGATATTTTTGCAATGTTATACCGGTACGGGCCTAGAATCGTTATGGCGTTTGATGGGAGAATCCCGTTCTGATGTGTTGGAGCATATATACTATATGTAATTTTTGTGAGTGCTCTGCCAAGCTGATAAGATGCTAGATCGCCATGATGGAGCATAGCCTCGGGGCCGTAAGAAGTACTCGAAGCGAAATACACAAGCGAATTTGAGGTGAGTCGGTTTGAGCAAATAAGAAATGTACACGTTTCGATGATATGGGATGAACAAAAGGCATGAAGAAAACAAAGAAAAGGTTGAAGCTGAATTCGAATTTTGGTTGCTAAATCTTTGTGTTCCGAATTTGGACAAGGGCTTAGGAGGAGGCTGTTGCTTGTGAGAAATGAGTTTGATCACGTTTTTGTTATGTTCATATGTATCTGTCCCTGATCGTGCTAGTTATAAATTCTAGGTCCATAATCGTCTCTTCTCTACCCAGGCGTCCCTCATACTCGTATTATCTCTACTAGTAAACGATATCCCAGCAGTTGCCATGTCTGTACCAACCCACAGTATTCATTCAATCCATGGCACATTCGCAGGCGTATCGTCCTACACTAATCACTCATCGCACGCTGGCGTCGTAATCGAAGGCTCCTCAATTGATAAAATCCCTCCTGGTCTCGCAAGAGTTGCCTGGCGTTCTGCACCTGTATCACTCCCCTCTTCACCAAACACAACTTCTCGTCGGGGCCGGCTCCCATCATTCCCTATAGCCCGTCGTGCACCTCCACCCCCACCAACTCGTGCACTGGCCCCCCAAACCATCTCTTTCCCTTCGGAAGACCCATTTAATGATTCAAATTCATGCATCGTATCCATTCCACAACGACCCATTCCCCAGCGCACGCACCTCGCCTCGCAGTCATACACAGTCAGGCTTCCCGGCTCTAATCATGCTCTCGACACCCTTGTTCGTCAGCGAACCGCACAGCGAGCCGCGCAGGAGCGTGAGACCCGGTGCAGAGTCGTAGCGGGCATATTGCTGAACAGGGTGCATGCCGTGGGGAAGCCTATGCGCCGGATCCCCCAAAGTGCGGAGGTGCCTCGGGCATACAAACGTAGCAGGCTGTCAATGATTACTACTGCAGAGGATGTCTGGTATGTGTATTCGCACCCTTGTGATTATTATTAGCCCTTACATAAAGCCTTAGTTGACAGCGTTCGGCTTTTATTGGATAACTGGGAGGTGGAGGCGCGATATCAATTTTAAGGATATGATGGACATGTTGTATAACAAAATTTAATAATGTACTCGGGCAAATAAAACTATATGCAAGACCAATGCAAAGTCGAAGAGTCGAGTCTAGACTACCCGGTAAGATTCGGAAAACGAAATGATGAACAACCGAATCTAGCCGAATCGAAGCGGTATCAAATATGTCATCAATTCCCAAGCCACCCCATCCAATCAAAATCGCAATAGCACACTGCCTTTGCATGCATCGCAACACGAGTATATGTGGACTTGCTGGGTTCATCAATGCTGTTCTAAGCACTCACGTCGGCCAAGTATCGCTCCCGCTGTCTCATAAATGAAAAAACTTGTGAATTCAACCCTCAATGTCGCGCCCGTGCGCACGGACACAGCTGGCGCCCACCGTGGCAGAATCTGAGCTTCTCTCGGCACACGCTCTCTGACTTGCACTCACAGCTCATACAACGCCCAACTCCCAACTCCAGTGGCGAGCTTCAACTACTAGTCCCCAACATGAACTATTCGCTTGCCATGGACAGCCCGTTTAACACTGCTTTGTTATCCCCAGAAGGTCGAGCTGCGTATCGCATCGATACTTATCTCAGCTCGTTTACTACTACCGTCAAGAAAGTGGCTAATGGGCAGAGTGAAGTCGAGATTGGGAGGGTGGTTTGGCAATCTGGTAGACCTGGGACGGCTGTGGTACATGGGCACGAGATATTCGTCAACAAGAGCAGTTTTTTCAGCTCGTAAGATATTTTTTTCTTGCTTTTAAATCCCGTGTATCTGAGTTTCTCTCTCTCTTCATAGTTCAAGAACATTCACAGCACTAAATGGTCAATCGTATAAATGGACGTTCCATGAAGGCTCGGCATTGGTACGTATCAAGATTCAGCGCCAAGCGCTTTTGAAATTACTAATCTTCGTTCTCAAAGATGGCGAGCAACGACAGCAGACAAGCCCCAGCAGCCACTTACACACCAGCGACCAGATCAAATCCTGGACTACTACATGTAACGCCTCACGGCTTAACCATCACTGGAGACGTTATCTTGAGCTTCGTCTGCGTCGAAGGCGAACGACGACACGCGGTGAGGAAGAGTCTACGATGATGATGTCACGCGGAAGAAATTTCAAACGTTCAACCTCTCGATCGTTTCATGTGATATAATTTTTCATGCTGTGTCTCTTCGTTTATTCATTGGAGGCGGTTGTTGACACAGATATGTACACGTACGAACCATTGTCATTGTCAAGCGCTCTTTTCATATTTCTCATGCTTCATTGATTTGATTTTGAGATTGTACTTTGGTCTGGATACTTTTATACAGTACTAGACATTCACATGTGTCATTTTGATCGGGACCAACGGGTCCTGTTTTACTTCCTGTACGCCCTCGGCGACAATACACATTCCTTCAGATATCGATCATTGAGAGATCGATCTGTCCAATACGGCCCGTACGTGCCATCCCCCTGGTGGATGAACAGTCTTATCATCTGTATCCACTACTTAAGTTAGGTATAGAAGGATTGGTCAACCTAGTACTGAAGCCGCCGGCAGGGAGGTCCGCCTACTAGCGGAATAAACAGCGTGAGCTGATTTCCTACTCCTCTACGCCCGAAGTTCGCGATGGCTTGGAAAAGTCTCTCGTATGCTTAATCAGATACCGACTAAGTATACTTAAGAAAAATCCAATTGAATATATCGTCCATGTCGAAAGCAGGTGATGAAATAACGTTTAGATTCAACTGTCTTCAAAAACACGATCCGCAACCTATCGCGGGGGGACAACAATTTTGTTCAACCTCAAAACTGCTGTTATGACCTTTCATACCTCAAACATACTCCTCGAGTCCGATTATAAAAATACGACTGCAGTTATCTGATAAGTGCGTGTGGACGCCAAAGTTCAAACAAACTCCGCCAAGGCGAGTCAAAGTTAGTCGCGAATTGATCAGGGTCAAGACGTATATAGTCGAAGTCTACTTATACTGATCATTTTTACCGTACATAGTGTGCATACAGGGCCGATGTCTTGGTGCAGGAGTGTGAAATCGGCGATGCGGGATGACTACTTGTTTCTCCAAATCAGGACCAGACAGTGGATGCATCCCAGATACCGCAAGAACCAAGTCTCCCCTAGCCAGACCCAACATACTTATAGAAAGAAAACAGTCACTCCAGTAAAAAAACATGACTATTGGCTACAACAACTTTCGTACGATGTAATGCATGACAATGCCGAGCCACAGAACGAAAGTCAACTGAACCGTCAAAACCAACCTTTGCCAATTCCTCATATATGCCGCATCCAAGGGCAGGCCAATCGTGCCAACCACTACAAGAGAGGTAAAGACAGTTACCCTAAAGAAAATATGTATGAAACCTGATGAAATACCAAAAAGTTAGATTCAAATCCTAATCAAATGGGGTGTACCTACCGTCTAAGAAAACGCCCAGCAGAGAAAGCGCAAACAAGGTGCGTTATGTGGGAGAGAGCGACATAATCGAGGACCTCGCGACGTGACAACTGGAACGGTTTCTGCCTCTAAGCGAATTGTTTGGGTTAGTGATAGCGTGATACAGTGGCTCCGGAAAATTCCTTACCCCCTGGACCAAGTCAGTCTGATTATGCAGTTCGATCATCACGCTGTATAGCAAGAGCAACATGTGGAATAATAACCCCAAGATAGAGCACAGAAGCGACGCGAATATCAACAGGTAGTCATGCGCACTGTAAATATGGTAGAGATACTCACTCACAGGTACCACCAGTGAAAGCATGAGACTCCAAACAAAGATCCACTCTTGCAAGTTGCACTTCCTACGAAAAGGACGAGTCAGTCTTGCAAGACATAATGAGTATTAAAAGTATAGCTTACGAGGTGGAGCCTCCGCCGTTCGCGCTCACGTTTCTTCCAGCTCTCACTACTCCTCTCCCGCCAAAGCTCCTCAAGATTGGGCCCTGCGACAGCGAACCAACAGAGGGCAGTGAAGCAAAGCCGAGTGCGGACCCGGGATGGTGGTTTCCACTCATCTGGCAACAACGATACATGGCGTGCATGGTAGAAGCAAGGGGGGAAGGGTGGGAGGGCTATGGACTGTTGAAGGTGATAATGACACGGCTGGCAGGAGGAGACCGAACGGGCACTTGTAGTTCGCGCACAAATCGATTGAACATCTATAAGAAGTGTTAAGAAGAGCACACATGTGGGTTCTACGTGTTCCACCAGGAAATAAGACTGCGTAGGATGTAAATCAACCAAATGCTGAACCACATAGTCCAACCTGCTGAACACGTCAAGTCCTCTGGCCCATCCCTCGTAAAAGTCGAATTCAAGCGTATGCCGATCGTGAGGACTACCGCAAGGGACGTAAAGGCTTTCGCCCCCAGAACGATCATACAGAGATCTGTTAAAATTCCAACAGATCGCCACCGAAATCAAATCCAAACCGAAGGAGGTGCCTACCGCCCGCGAGACAGGCCAAAGAGTAGGTAAGAAGCAACTGCGCGAAGCGAAGTGCTCCAGGACCGCGTCTCGCCCCAGCTTGGATAGTTTCAGGTCCAGGGCGAATTATTCAGATCAATGACAGCGCTTTACGCTCCGGAAATTTTCTATCCCCTTATCGAAATGTTTATATATTGTAGCGTAGCATGGTATAAACTCCCGCTGGCAAAGTAGTCCCATGACGGACCCAAGGAACGACACGACCATCAGCGACCGATAAAGCACACCGGAAACGAAGTCGAGGTTTTGAACGGGTGATAACAGCAAGCATGCAAGACTCACAACCATAACCAGTCCTTGCTGCGAAAGCGGACATGTCAGTCTTGCAAGACAGAATGGAAATGAACGGTACATTCACGCCCGCTTTGATCCCCACCATCGCGTCGAGCAAGTGCTTGATGTGCTCCTGCCAGCCGTTTTCCTTTCTCGCCTCCTGCCACAATTGTTTGAGATCAGGCTGTCTGAGAGTGAAGCGGCAGACAACGGTGAAGGCATGCCGATCGCGGGGATCTAAAGGAGGTTTCTAATTGTCAGGAATATCCGAGAACGGCTTTTCGCTCTCTCCGTGAGGTGTGGAAGGTGGGACTTCATCGGGTCTTTCGAGATGTCGCTACCCGAATCGAGAGAGGAAAAAATATTGATGAAGCTGTCTGAATCTGTAGTGAACATGTCGAGCTTTAGAAGTGGTCTATGTAGACGGAGAATGATTGAGAGGGAGTCGGTGTGAACAACGGGATACCTACCTCAGCATTATAGATCAACAAGTGTGGTTCGAATGACCAGGCGGGATCGTTTATGTATGGAAGAATGCCTAAGTCAATTGGCATTCAATGTGCCGAGAAGGAATTTACGACTGACAACTAATGGCAGGATATCGTGAGAGGCAGACATACTAATAATTTTGTTATCGTGCAGAGTGCATATACAGGTCTGACTACAGGAGAGTACGAGCGGAAAGTATGTCTCGGCGTCAGCGCAACCAGTGCCAGTGGACTTTGGCAAATTTCATTCCGCTCCTTTAAACCTCTGAGGCACGTCGCTCATTGGTCATGGGCGTCGGTTGTGCCCATGTCGCGTCAGTACTTGTCTGGTGGACCGGCCAGGGTTGCTGTCTAAAGAGGACGAGGAGAGACTAGTTAATGACACAGTGGCACCTAAGAGCGTTACAAGCTGTTACAACCATGTGACGGCGTGTGACAGAGTTGCAGTTGACCCCTATTGACATCGGATGACTGGACATTCTCCGACATTCGAATAATACACCGAAACAATTTGATTCAACATGGATGTGATATAGGATGAGATTTTACACCGGTCAGTCAAGAAACAGAAGAAGTAGCCTTCTTTACGAGTGTGCTACACGCGAAATTGAAAACCCCCTTTAGTGATAGTACTTCCTGCATACTACTTACTATATGCTGGCCTAGTTACTAATTAACAATGTACGAGGGCTAACCAAAAACTCGTTAGTTTTTCTACTTCCGGCGTTGACTGATTTTTTCGCTTTTACAGAGTTCTTAGACATCCACATGTATCATTTTGATCGAGACCAACGGGAATCGTATTTCAACGCCCTGGTCTCTCTCGGCGACAGTGCGCAAACCCTGCTCACTGCTCACTTGTCTGTTCGTTGAGATATCATAATCCGTGCTATTCAATATTATGCCCCTGATCCAACGGTTCAACGCATCTCATGAGCATTCCCGCAGCCGCTTACTATCCACCGCTCGGAACAAAGAGCGTGAGTTGATTTCCTGCATACGCCCTGATTTATTTACTTACTAATAAGGCTACCAGCAGGTACAGAAGAAGGAGAACCATGGTGTAGCGGGCTACTGGAAGAAACACAAGCAGCGCTTCAGCGGCTCCGACGGGACTCGGATTTCACCCAGGACAACATCTTCCGATTCTCCGCTCCGTTCTTCACATTCGCGTGCGTCTTGGCGTCCTTCGCAGCCGCCCTCCGTAGGGATATGATGCCCTCTCCACACGCCATGTCACTCGGTGAGCTGAGTCTGGGGATCCTCATACTAGCTGCGGGAGTCTTGTTGTCTTTGGCTGTTTTGAGAGCTATCATATGGAGCGGAGCACTGGCTATCGATGCATTCCTGCTTATGGAGATCGAGAACATTACGAGTCCGCAAAACGAGCGATCGAAACTCAACCAACGTAGCATCTTGTTCAGTGGATTGTTTTCTTAGGATTCTGAGGAACGATGTTTATATGTACAAAAGCCCAAGAGAACACATACTCAGCAACTACTCTTCTATGCTTGCTAAATGATTTATAATTAATGCGAGTTTATCGCTTCCTGGCTGAACCTCCGATCGAAGCGCTTTCTAAGTCTTGGATGCCTTCCGTCAACTCGGGTGTGGAACACCTTCGCCGGTGTTGGAAAGGCAACCGTCGGGTATCCTCGTCTTCTTCGTTGTATTCAGCAGCGTACATCAGCAGGAGGCAGAGCGCTTGACTCGGGACTAGCGGACTTGGATTGAGTATCGGTTTCCTCTGGTTCAGTGTCTAAACTCTTCTCGGGAATCTAAACCGCATGGCTATCAACAGAGAACTCAAAAAAGTCGGCAGGCTGGAACATACTGGTAGTCGGACGATATACGCCAGTAGTGCGGAGCACGCGGCAAGTGTGAACACAGCGCGGAGACTGATGGCGTATGAGTCTCTTGCTGCGCGTTGCAAGTCCGGCGGCAACTGCCCTACGAGGGTGGTTGAATGCCTGATCTCATCAACAATCTAGATGAGTGATAAGGAAAATATAGTATCATGATAGACCAATTAAAGGGTAACATTTCACCTCTGCTGCGCCATCACCGTGTATTCTCGACCGAAGCTCGCGGTCAAGTTTGAACTGGAATAGCGCCGATGAAATCGCAACACCTCCTACTTGTCCTGTGGCCGAACGATCAACGTGATGACAAAGAAGCTATATAGGCAACTCACCCAAGCCTCGGAAAAGCTGTCCGAAACCAGTGCCAACGGCCATCGAACCCTCTGGGATATTTTACACCGTTAGATTAGAAAACTCAACACAGGAGCCGTGATAACGTACCAGGGAGGTGTGCAAGCAGCGCAACTGATTATTTATGCGCGAAATGGTTAGCACTCCCAAGCACAGCTGGTGATTGGTATCCTACGCACCGAGATTCGTCTGTAAAACGACGGCGTTGCCAAACCCGAGTGGAATCTGATACGGAATTATGATCCATACATGCGGCAATGAATGTAAGGCATCACTCACGATGCTCAGCCATTGTTGCAGTGGCCCGGAGTCCTCCCGCATCAAAGTGATGAGAACCATCCCGATGAATGGGAAGCAACCGAAGATAAGGTTGATAAGTTTATACTTCCCGGTGCGGTGCACCATCCACCTAGCGCTGATGTGAGTCAAAAGCGATACGGCGATGACGCATCTACCCACCCGGCGAACAAGGAGCCGACAGACATGCATATACTATTCGGAAACAGATGCAAGCCTGTCCACAATTAAAGCTGGCATCGAAATAAATTGACGGAGACATACCCGCTGTGGATGCACTTGTGAGAGCCACTGTCTGAAACCACATTGGAAAGAAATACATCACAGAGAAGTTACACAGTGACACGAGGAAGTTGTTTGCTCCAACAAGAACAGGGACCTTCTGTTTCAAGAGAAATGGCGCCATAATGGGCTCTGGCGCAACTAACAACTCTACCAAAATAAAAACTATGAAAAAAATGCCGGCGAGGGCCAGTGGCACGTATACCCATTGGTTAGACCACTAGCGGAGAGTCAACCAATTAGATTTGTCATTTGAATAATCGCTCACAGGAAGATCCTCGTTGTATTTCATACTCAAGAACACCAAGCATGATCCGACCTGAAAGGAGTCAGGAACAATCTACCGATTACAGCATTAACTCACAGAGAGCAAAAGGGTAAAGCTACCGCCATAATCGATTCTCTTCAGAACGTCCTTGGCATTTTTGCTTTTACCCTAAAAATTAAATAAATGAATGAATGAAAAGTTTAAGCTTCCTTCAAAGTGCTTACGGGGGTGACATACTGCAAGTTGTACGTCGTAACAACGAGTGACAATGCAAATAAGGGCATCTGTATCAAGAACGCCCATCTCCAACCAAACCTAAAGTGCATGGTGGGAGGGGGGAAAAAGATAAGGCGTATGCGCTTACCGGTCACTTATGAGACCTCCTATAGGACCTCCTAGACCCATGCCAAGCTAAACATGATAAGTTTTCAGGTCCAAAAAGTGGTGGAACCCAACGTACGCCATTGAACAGACTTTGTACCCCTTGCGCAAGCCCTCTCGACTATAGGTGTTCCTGAGATAACGAGAACGGCAAGGGGAACGGAACAGAACGCACCCGCATGGAATACATATCATTCGTAGTGATTCTGAAGTCATGATGGTCGCTTTTAGTAATGAACTGCGCGGTTTGCCTGATGTTTGGTCTCACGTGCAGGTCGTAAGAATACCACCACCTCCCATGCCAGACAGCTGCCGGAACATGTCAGAAAAGAGGGAAATGAAATCGACGGGGACTTACAAATCGGGCCACAACCAACATCTCCATGTTCTTGGAGAAGCCACAAAATAGAGTTCCCAGCGCTGCAGTACATACAGCCAACTGGTTCGCACCCCGTCTTCCCATGATGTTAGATAACCGTCCATACAAAGGTGTAAAAGTGCAGACAGCAAGCAGGTATCTAAGAGGAAATGTAAAGCGGGATCTTTGGGCGAAGGGAATCGTGTTTACGATGTACCAAGCCAGCTGGCTTCATGTGACTTGTTAAAGTCAGAGGATATGGATGGCAGCACTGTGACAGAACTATCAAATCAATATTCGGATAGATGAAATGAGATGCCGTACAAGTCGCGACTAGGGTTGCTAGAAATGATTCCGGTAAGAGTTACGACATCAGATGAGAAAAAAACAAACTGTTCAAAGACTAACAAAAGTCGGAAAATTCAGAAGAACTGTTTGGATGAAAAGCTCACCGAGAGGAAGGTGGCAGACCACAGACCAACCAAAATTCCGTAGCGCGTCGACCTTGAAATGTCTCGAGGGCCGGGAAGGCGATGTTTGTTGCTTCCATTCACTAACAGCGGATCTCTTTCCGTCATCATTTGGTCAATGGTCGTACGCAGTTGGAGTCAGAAGTCAGAACGCCACGTAGACAATCTAACTAGACTAAATATTGTTCATGAAGGTCTTCTTGCAATCTGAACTTTGTTTCCAACTCGGGGTGGGGCGTTCCGTGGAGCAAAGTTGGAGCGGAACACAATGACGGCATTTCATATTTAGAACAAAAATGGTCACGCGAACAACATAATTAATCACGTGGAATTTCATTGGTCATCATCACTGACAGCGGTCTCTGAGCAAGACAAAAGACGACGACGACGATGAGCACACCGAGATTTGCCCTTTCCGTCCTCGCTAGGACCCCGATATGCATGAGACATGCCGCAGACATTTACATGCGCTTCGGGGCAGTCTCAACACCGATAGCAAGGTTGAGGGCTAGCTCCGCCCTGCGTACGACTCGGTCATTCGTATCCTCCTCTATCGTGCGTGCAGCCCCACCAGCACCCACCCAACTTCCAAAATCCACCGTGTCCATATCCTCTGCGCCAACTTCGGATGAACTACAAGCACAGGAGCTCGATGTGGACATGATACCCCAAGAGGATGTCAAGCTGGAGCTTACAGATCGGGCAGCAGAGGTGTGTCCAGTCCCTTCTCGTCAATCGTAATATTTTCTGAACTGTAATGGAAGCAACTGAAATCTATAGCCACGCGGGAGCACCACTGCAATGCGGGCCTTCGCATTGCAGTGCAATCGGGAGGATGCCACGGCTACCAGTATACAATGGAGCTCGCTTCCGAACGGAACGCAGAAGACTAGTGTGTTAACAGCCTAATTTTTTGTCATTTCTGACTGGTGCCATTAGTCACTTTACACATCCTGCCATATCCCCATCAAATATTTACATTGACGCCGTCTCTCTCGGGCTCATCAACGGCTCTACAATAGATTTTTCTACTGAACTTATAGGGAGCTCGTTTCGGATCGCGGAGAACCCGCAGGCAAAAGGTGGATGCGGCTGTGGGATTAGCTGGGAGATGAAAGATTGAATTTTCATGGGACGGAACTCGGTTACCGAGCAAGGCTATTACAAGCATACACTGGGCGTATTTATATAAACTCATTCCCCTGTACGCCTGCTGCTTCTTTACTGCGTATGTGGCCAGCTGACAGTATTTTCGCAGATATACGTATCACATGACTATGTACTCAGCTCACTCTACGTTGTATACCCCCAAACCTGGGACAAACTTAGAACAAGCGGTGTCAGTCATATTAGCATTGTCTCGGACAATCGGGAGGATCCTAGAATTTAACTGCCATTTACCATAAATCTCGCGATTCTTTCTAACCGCCGCCACGATTCTGGCGCTACATGGGGGCACATAGCCTGTGCGCCCTCGTGCGGCACAGGTCGGAATTCAATGGAAGTCGAAGAACGGGGAAGGCTTTGTCTGACGGATTTCTGACCTATATCACTTGTCCGTACAAGTGTGGGTGATGCACCTCCCAAGATTATCGGCTAAGACCTCTGATAACGTTAGCACTTCCATTCAGTCGAAAATAGACCGAGTGTCCCAGTCTGGCTCTTTCTCAGATGCGGGACAATTGTCAGTTAACGCCATATTTTACAGGAGCAAGTAAGGCGGCCTGGAATCCATCCAGTCGAAAAATAGCATCGCGACTTAGAGGCGTAAGCTTCAGCTGCTCAGCTTGCCTTTTATCATCTGATGCCCATTCTCGGTTGACGACGCGCCGGGGTCGTGGCTCCTCACAATAATAGAAGGGCACTGTCAGTCTGTCCAACACATCCGTTGTCATAACTTACTCTTACACAGTGCACGTGCAATGCCGTTTCCCACGCAAGCCAGAGGCTACAATCGAGGAGTGTGATTCTGAATATCAATCAATGTTGACGGGTCTCATGGGGGCCGGTTAGTCGGTCGACGTATGTCCATTATCCAAAACGACCTATCCGTTCAGGCTATACTCCTGTCAAAGCAAGAGTCAGGGTCGCCCAAAAAGGTACGTAAATCATCTTGTACCTACGTAGTACTCTCTCCATGATACCGGTTCTGACTTCCTGGAACTTCAGTCTCCGCGGCGGTGCAATTAATTTACAGCACTTGCTGTATACACACTGGTAAGGATAATGGTTTTCTGCACAATCATGGTAGCTCACTCCAGATTATCATCACAATCTAGACGGTAGGATCAGTCCTTCAACCAATTCGAAGCAGTCAAAGCAACGGGGACCCCATTAATGGCATTATAGAGTACTCACTGTCACCTCGGCTAGCCGGCAGTTCACGAACGTCCTGAGATACATGTGAATTGGAACATCGAAGGCTAAGTGGGTCATCATTACGGTCTCCAGGATAAGGTTCAACACTTGCAGAGTTCGTGCTAGCTGTCCTTTTATCAATATTGCCCTGTGAGATGAATCTCGTCCTGGTGAAGTTCTTGTAGTCCCTAAATTAAGATGATGCTGGCGGCCGCACATTAACGTCAGTCCCATCAATGCAAAGAAAAATCAACATGCCATGCCCAAATACAGTCTGCCCCGTGCCGTGACTATAAGACACTGATTCAAAGGCCCTGCGTGCACCAATCGATTTAGGATATTTTTAAAGGGGGGAAGCAAAGTGAGACAGAGTGCGGGAACAACATTACTCCACCAGTTGCACACCGGTTGCAACCTTGAAAAAAAATGAATGGGCCCCATATCTTGCCGCTCGACTATCTTGCACTACGAAGATTTTTATTTTTATTGACTCCTGGCTTGATCGACGAACCATGAGGGTCATCCTGTAAGTAAGTCGTCGGCGGACCACCATCCTATTGAGTTAATAAACTGGGCCGAACGTTCCTGGTCCGAGAAACTTTGACTTTGACTAATACCAAATCAATTGATATTCAGTTACAAGATAGTAGAATGGTAGTCGATCCCGATGTTAGGTGATATATACACTAAATAATATGACACATGCAATAATTAACAATAGGACATCCTTAGCTCTAAGAATTAAAGGCGCGAAGTAAACTATTCGCACAGCAATGCGGCGATCAACGGTGTCCAGCCTGTTCGCATCCAGGGCAGAACCTGTTGATGTTGGGCGCTATCATCTCTCGTCAGACACAAGGGCGGAGAATAGTTATAATGAGCTTACAGTATTGCTGAGGGTACTGTCGGCTAATGACAAGACGAGAGATTAGAGTGGTGGTGGTGTCCGAAATGGAAGCGGGGCGGTAGTAAAAAAGTTTCATCGGGATGCGAGTCAGTAATTAGGAGGGTAACCGGATCGTGTGCACGCACTATTGAGAGCAGGTTTGCTTGCAAGTGGGAGGACCGCAAGTGGCGGGGTGATTGGGGCTAGACCTGCATCGGCTACTGTCGCATGTGATCTGCAAAACCTTTTAGACGTCGACTCTATTACTGCCCTGGGATGTCTCACCACTTCGTCAGGCTGACGTAGCAGAGTCCTCGACGTGAGCCTCGTTGCTGAGAGTCATTGTGTGATGCTTACAAGAGTAATGCCATGGCCGCAGCGCAGGTAAACATTGCGAACTCTGAAGAGAGGGTCAGTAAAACTGTGGCGGGGATTCTGCTCCTGCACGTACTGTCTCAAGCAGCACATTGTTGGTAGTAGTTAGAAGTAGAGAAGTTGGTGAAATGATGAGTGCTGTAGAAATGTTCTAGTTGATGGTGGGTGATACTTGACGAAGAGTTGTCTGCCCTTTTATCTGTCTCCCAATAGGCTATGTGGTATACACGGCAATGAAATGAACGCAGCATGTTTGCTCAGGGTGCTAATGCGGATGGTGATTTGAATTTGGTGGCCATCTGTGCACAAAGAGAACAGGTTGCCCAGCCTCCCAAAACGAGAGGTGTTGCCGTGCGTCATCTGATAGCGTTTTCGCAGGACCTGTTCTCGAGAACGACTAATCCTATGAGGAACAAGGTCCAGACGGGCACTTTGAACCCGGGAATCAACTCCAGATTCGGACACCTGCGGCATGAAGTAAAGCTGGTGACCTCATTATATAAGGATAGATTGCATACTGTCAATACCTGAAGAAAGTTAAACTACCTGATTTGCGGGAATGGCTACCCTGGTATAAACATTAAAGACAAAGCCTGAGCAGCAAATTGTGAATTTGGAATATCTCGTACTGTCTGCCTATTAGCGACCCTCTGTTGCCGTTATTCAAGACGCCAATGTCCCCCTGCATTAATCTGTAACGGGACCGCAGATTTGAATAGATGCTGAAAAAAAAGCGTCACATAAACCTATGAATCGTTTCCTGGCAGGTTGTCCAGGGTTGTCCACCGGTTGCCGACCGGAGGTGTTTGTTGCTTTACGCCAATCTTCTGTTGCTTCATATGATCTGACCAGACTCTGTGACAATTGAACTTTGGCGACTGGCGCTTCAAGGCGATTGATTGCGAGAAGGTTGTGTTGCTAGCTCTGCTGACTCATCCGAGTCGGTTCGAATCTTTTCATGTTGATTCCGTGGACTTGGGCGTCTCGTTGGCGTCTCGTCTTTGTTCCGTGCTTCCGTTGACACGGGAAACCCCAGGTCAGTATGACGAGATCAGGACCGCCTGTCGTGATATCCCCATCGTCAACCTTGAAGGAGAAGAAGAGGAAAGTTTTCTATGAACACGGCAAGGTAGGGCGCTCATTCTGACACAGTTCTTGCATATTCGATCGTCTGCCAAAATTATCTCATGAAAGTCTTTACGGCTAGGATTCTGTGGAGCTAGCGGTCTCAATCGGCAAGACACAGGAGGATAAAGCGTTGCTTAAGGCTGAGAAACACCATCAACCACAGGTGGGTCGATCACGTTCGCAGCCTGTAAATTCCCCGATACATCCCTCCCTCATCATAAATCATCACGATTCCTAGGCTGGTCAGCCCCGATCCAAGCGTACACATCAGAAAAGCAGGACAAAAAAGAAATTGGTAAATCATCAGAGACTGCGCGTGGAGTGCAATTATTTTTTAATCGGTTTCTAGGAGGAGGTGAAAGCTACTATTGTGAGCCAGCGGGCTCGGCTGAAAAGGGAGAAAGTAAAAATGCGCAAGGAGCGCCCGGAGCGCGCGGTCTATCAAAAGTCAAGCCCGTCAAGTAACGCACAGGACCGCGCCCCCCGCAAGAGGGTATCCTTTGCTTAGGCTTTGACGTGTATTTTACATTTTTATCGATCAATCAGGTGCAGTGACAACATTTGATCATCAGCCCGGAATGTCTCGCCGTCGCCGCTCGGGCATTTTGGGTTGGTACTGCGGATAAAGACCATCCCCGGCGTGTTGCTGGTGCCATCAAGTAACCGATGTCGTTCAAGTCCGCTGTGTCGTTTACATGACCTCTTCAGTCACGGTGTTCAGCACCGGCATATTTATCACAACCGGTCATCTTCAGTTGGTAAACATAGATGCCGCCTTTAGTTAAACTCAGTGGGTATCTAAGTTCGAGTGGGATACAGCAAGGATACAGGGGACATTACTAGGTTATGGAAGAACCCGAGATCCTACCGAGCGTCAACGTCGACTGTAGTTAGACTGTGTCATACAACCTTGTTCCCAGCTGAGTACATCCCCGTCGAGAATGGCCTTCAGAACTCTATTCTGGTATATGCCTGTCACTGGAACCGAGAGGAAATGCTTTAAAACCCTGAATTTACCCACGGCGTGTTAAAAATTAGATATTTGAGCTCGATTTGAGCTTCGAGGGAGAAGCGGGTATGGGCACCTATGGGCACATGAAGGTATATTTGCCATCAGGTACAAATCCTGTCGCCAATCGTAGTCTAATTACCTTGCAAACTGTTATCTCTTGGTGGTGGAGAGTTACAGAAACCTACCGCACAACTCAGGCACCTACACACCAATGTCACGCTGTCACTGTCAGTGTTCGTTCCATTCTCTTGGGAGAAATTCGAACTCAGAGTAACAAATGCGCGGAGAGCATCTAGGGCCTGGTCGATGATCAGCGAGTTATCTCATGAACAACGAGCTCCGGTCAGACAGACAGGCTATGCCAGGGTTCAATGCGAGGAATCGCGGTGTCGCGGAAGTCGTATGGATGTACTCATCGGACTCGTCAATTACATCTACACGCCACCAAGGGTGCAGATGAAATCCGGATAACATACATGTGGGCGAGTGTAGGCTGAGATGCAGTCGCAGAACTTGCATTGATCGGGGCGCCACAGTGGCGGCGGCGACGACGAGTTAATTGCAACCTTGAACAATTGCTCCAGGACAAATAAACATGAGCATCGATTTCACGTTTCACCGCTGACGGACGGACCTGTTTCAGCATAATGAGGCGGTAAGGTGGAAACGTGTGAGAACTGCGAGGCTCACAAATTATTATTGTACAATGAACCATAGCATGTGTTGTGTGGCGCTGTCCACAAACATCATAGAAGAATTACAAGACAACGCTGGTGATGCAAGCAGACTTGCGTGAGTATGTAGGGCGGTGCAAGGCATGCTCACCCTGAGAAGTGACTCACGAGCAGATATGTAGTACTTGCCTGTGCTGATGGATCGATCCTTGCATAATGACTATAGTAGTGGGACTTGTGGACAGAGGGGTAGTTCATATTTCAAAGTCCGCTGGACCAGTGGACAACATTTCGATCTAATTGCTTGGTTCGCCTTGCACTTGCCTTGCTTCTTGCTGAAACACAACGAGGAAACGAGAGGAGGAAACGCTGACGGGTAAAACCTACAGGGGAAAGTCAGTTTAGTCCCCTTCTAAATGATTCGACTCTAGTCGCATTCATTGGTTCGTGATAATTTCACTGGATTTGAATCAGTCTCGCTAACATTAATCAGAACACTCAGAAACTTTGACAGTGCTTTATTCGAGATTTGAACGACTCGCAATGTCGCTTTATACACCAGTATTCCCGCCATCTCTCGAACGCAGGTCTGCAGGGCGCAAGGCCGCGCTGTCATCCAATAAACCCAACCAACTGTCTGCTACCGAGATACTACGCGACATTCATCTTTTTCTTGCCACCAAACCTGAGGTATTTGCACCCTCCTCAAGACCCAGCTCACCCTCGTTCGACTCAAACGTTGGAAAACTGAAACAATCTGTCCTCGAGGCAATCGACGCCGCAAGAGGAGACACAGGGGACGGGAAATGGAAACAGGTTAGCGAGAAGTTGAAGATGGGGTGTGTCAGGGGACGATATCGCATGACTGGATTAAACCAACGCTGGAATCCAGCTGAGGACGCGGAGTTGATACTACCAGATGACGAAGAAACATGGTTGAAGCTGGAGAAAGATAGGTCAGAGGCGAGGAGACTCAAAGAGAATGCCAAGTATTCTCGTCATCCCGATTGTACGTTTATTACAGCAGTCACACCATTCCGCGGATCCGATCTTGCTGACATTCAGTGCTAGTGGAAATTATTCAAGCGCCAGACACTGTCTCACCCAAGACCCTGCAGAATGTTAAGGAAAAGGTAGCCAAGTGGCAAGCGACGATCTCCACACCTGAAGCCGCATCGGGTGCCGATAACACTGTAACCGTTACTTCAGTACTCAGGGGTGCCTCCAAGTCGGGGGTGAAACGAACGACATCGCTGAAAGATAAAAGCCAAATTTCGTCGCTTGGTTTCCCTGTCGTAAAGCGCAACGTTGCAAACGCGACTGGTAAGAAGGGCAAGGGACGCCCCGATGGAGATGCTTCACCTAATTTTCGGGCCCACGGAGATCCAGAAGGTGGCCATACTCCCGGCGGCTCCAAATCACCAGCGGCACCCAGCGGTGGTTTGCCAGAAAAAGCTAGCTTCAGGACCCCGCTGAGGTCCTTGCACGCTCCCGATGGGGATTTACCCAAGATCACTGACTTTCCGGAAACGGTGAGTGCAACAGTTAGGTATCTTTCTTATCGAACTCATCAGCCCCTGTTTTACGTCCCCTTAGCCGTATCTTCCTCCATCCTTCCCATCGCAGCTTGAAACCTCGACCCCACAACCGCGACGTGGCGCTGCGGTGCCTATCCGGGCTAAGCCTCCGCCGATTTACCCTGTATGTGTAACATCGTCTCTTCCACACCTGTCAACTCCCAGAGATGGCAATCCACATCATCCCGGCGAAGATCAGCACATTGTTGACACATCTTCTTCGCCCCCTCTGCATTCTGATGGACGACAAGTACACAAACGCCCTCTATCTCCGTCCTCTATGCATGACGCAGTGTCTTCCACTACGAAGAAACGACGGGTAAGGTCTCCCACTCCAGCCTGTTGCCCTCGAGCAACGACGCCACCGGCAAATGTGCCAGAGGTGAAGAAGCGCACATTTATGCCAGCCCCTGAGGGTGGACTTCCTACTCTCACTGAGTTGCTGGCAACTTCCCCTCGACCGAAGACACGCCAGAGACCTCCTTTGGAAAATATACTTCGTGCCGAGAGCGAACCTTCGCCCCATGCGGTCAAAGACAATCCTTCGCCTGCGAAGTCTTACTTCTCGACTCCAGGTTCGGGACCATCCGATTCCCCTGCTTCCAATCACAACCTTCTCCTTCACTCACCTGTTAGCCCCATGCGGTCATTTGCTCAGAATCCCAATGTATTTCTTCCTCAGTTTACCTCCACACAAGCTGGGGGTTCGCGTCACGCCGGGAGTAGTGGCATCTTCGGCGTGGGCTATAGTTCCCAGTTTGATGTGGAAAGACATGTTGACCGTGTCAGCGAATTGTTAGAGAAGGATGTCGATTTTGGTGGATGGCTGCGCGATGTGCCGTCAGTGGAAGAGCCGGAAGCTGGCCAGGACCAATGATTAACACACTATATGCAATACCCGCGAACGTGCAAACTGCTGACTAGTTATACTCCACTCGTGTATTTTAGTCACGACTAGTTGCTTTACTGGGAATAAAAACTTCAAGAAGAGTTTGGACCGTAGAAGGCAAGTTGAAGGGAAGAATGCGCCCATCAATGCCTTGAGGCAGCTGAGATAATGAACTTCTAAATTGGGGACGCGTCTTGATCACGTGTGTGTGCTATTTGTTCGATAACAGCGCGTGTTCAAGGACCCAACCACGACCACGACCGGGACAGCCACAGAGCTTGTCCTCGTCGACGCCCACGATGAGCAGGCGAGACTCTCGCCTTTCTCTTAATGTCCGTCAGAACGACGCTCTCAATGAATTCGAAAACTGTATGTTATTTATGTATCCCTGGGCTCAACTAACGTCTGTGGCATTCAGTTAAGAAGAAATTCCTGCTTGCCAATAAGCATATCACCAAGTATGTTATCATGTTAAGTTTAATCTCATACAGAAGCAGCTCACTATACGACCCCAGACTTAACTCAACCCTCAGCGTCCGCATCGAGGAGCTTAACGCTCAAATATCCACCCTATACGTCGAGAACCTCCGACTACGAGCATCCGAGATTGCACTCACGGCACAACTGAAGAAAGAGCAGGAAAAGTCTAGGAAAATAATGGCTGGGGCTGAAGCTGCAGTGAGTATTCCACACGAGGACCCACCTGCCCTTCGCTGAGATCCAGCTAGACTGCTAATTTGGTCAAACATCTGACTTTTTTGCGGCAGTCATTTGGTATTGCACCCGGGGTGGCTTCTCCTCCTAAAGAAGCCAAGCAAGCACCCAGAGCTCGTCGACCACTCGTGGATTCCAATGCGTCGCCACAAATGCCTAAGCTTTCGCGCGCGCCCAACGTCCCAGGCATATACGAAGAAGAAGAAGTCGCGTCTTCCCCGGAAGGAGACGAAGAAGAGGCAGAGCGCATACCTAGTCCTACAATTCGGCGAAAAGTCAAGTCAAGACTAGCAGCATCCCGCCTCCCATTACCCGCCCGAGTTTCCTCGCCTCCGCCACTACCAACGCCACCGCAAGCTCCGCCAGAGGAACGAGGGCCATCGAGCAAGAGGAAAGCGGGGAGGAGAGAGAGCGGGCTTCTCAATGTAAGTACGGATGGTGGGGATAGGATTATACCGCCGAGAGCTGCTAGCCCCGCTTTCGGGTCTCCTGCTCGTAGGGAGGCTGGTCTGGCTGAAGACGATGAGGAACAAGAGATTGTCAGGAAATCGAGACTACCACCTGCCCAGGATGAGGACTACGTTCCAACAGCAAAGAAAGAGAGGGAGAAAAAGATGAAGCAGGTTGAACGAGAGATACCATCAGAAGAGGGTGAGGCTGCCGCTTCCTCACGAGTGCGGGAGAGGAAACGACGGAGACACGAGGACTACTCGGGCCTTAAGGATGTCACAAACTCACCGAGAAGCCGTGCCATGCTACCACCGTTAGACACTAATGCATCAGGTACGGCGCACGTTCAGGCAATGCGAAACGCGCGTGCACGCGTGCCATCGTGTCTTCTCTGACTGATCGATTTGCAGATCGGGATCGACAGCACACGCCTGATACAGATGGAACAACGCCCATATCCGCAGTCGCGTCGCTGGCCACGACCCGGAGCTTCTTGTCCACGCCAGCAACTACTCCTGCTACGACGACATCTCAGATCTCGCAGTTGCCTACACCTCGAGCATCTTCTAGCCCGGTCCCTCCGCCATGTGCTTCTACTTCTGAACTAGAAGCATCTGCGGTAGGGCGCGAACGTCGCACACGGAAAAGTGTTAACTACACTGAGCCAAAGCTCAACACGTGAGTCCCTCCCTTGCACGTGTGCGTTATGACTGACGAGTCGACCATTAGGAAAATGCGAAAACCTGACGCTCCACCCACGCAGCCCACAGCCGCTGCAGCGCTCAAGAAGAGGTCGTCAACAACTAGTGTTCAAGATGAGGATCCCGAGCGCAGACCGTCCTTGGAGGGCTTTTCACAGTCCAAGACTTCCATCCCTGATTCTCGCTCTTCGTCAGGCACATCAAGTTCATCCTCAGCTGCCGCCCCCGCCGTCGTGAAGAGGAAGAAGTCTCGCCCTTACGTTGAAGTAGACGACGACGAAAGTGAGGGCGCCCAAGCTGATGCTGAATACGGAAACATCAATGGTTGGGTCAATGTCGAAGGACGTCGACGGAGCGTACAGCACAGTGCTGCCCGTCGTGCACTTGAAGCTGATGACGGCAGACGGCATAGCTTGGCCGTGTGATTCTGTCCTGATAGTGGTGCTGTATGACCTGAATCGCTTGGTTCCATATGGCATCCGTCCCCGTAGGATTATTTTAAGTATACTATTCATCATGACCGTATGAAACGCTATCGAGACAAACAAGCAGGTGTGCCACTATCATACAAATACCACATATTTCCCTTGTAATTATGCGTTCAAGACCTAACCTTGTCTTCCATATTCTGAGTGGTATACCGCTGGGAGTTTGCAGCCCAGATCAGTGAGAACCGTGACAGTGGCACACAATTAAACCAGCGGGGTACTTAACATCTATACAACGATACAGTATGTAGGGTCACTCGCAACCCTTCGATTGTGTAGCGACAGCTACGATTCATATGACCATGTTTCAACTATGTTTGTTTGACACTTCAACTTTTACAAATTTACACCTCAGCCGACTCGCATGAGCTACCAGGAACTCGTTACAGCTCAGAAATATGCCTATAAACAATCAATTATCAACCTGACAGGGCGCGTCTATGAGAGATACAGTACTCACGGCAGCGTTGGGGGGGCTCGCAGCACCGCCAAGGCTGAACAAGAAAACAGGACACTAATTTCAGCAATGCAACTCCGTACAGAAGGAGATACGACTGACATGTTCAAAGGCCAAGACGTGAAAAAGAACGTATACCGACCCGTCTCTTGGCACAGCTCTGATAGAGCTTCAAGATCAAAGAATTCGCCTATGTCGTGGAACGGCCAAAATAAGTACTGTATTTTGATGGAGAAGATTGTTGTGAGGTACGGACCGATAGGCATTCCATATAGGCTTGCGTCCGCACCCATTGTCAGCGGAGAAAATATTTTGTGAAGGGCTGAGACTTACGCGAGAATTGTCTGTAGGATCACGAGACGTTCAGTGAATCCTATTGGCTAAGACTTAGACTTACCTGGTGAAGAAGTGGAGTCCCCTTTGGCGTGGGCCAGCGCTATTGCGCAATTAAGTTGTCACAATTACGATATCACCCGCGGAGGAACACACCTCCAAGGCCGGCTGGTCAGATGCGATAGCAGAAAAATGATTATTCCTACAGGCACAATCAGGCCATGATTTGGTAACGTCTGAAAATGACATACCAGAGAAAGCGTTTCATATCTTCACTTTGTTCTATTCCAGCGCTGTGTTTTGTTTCGCTAAGCGAGAGGGGCGTCAGGAGACAGATGGGGTTGCATACAATGTTTCCTTTTGCGAGCCACCGCCCAAATCCGCCTTTGCTTCATTGGTGCTGGCATAGTATTTCTGGATAAACCCGACACGCAAGAGAAGGATATCTCCTTGTCGGAACTCGACCCCTTGTTTCTTCGCGATAGCCTCTAGCTCGGCGACAGTGATCGGATGACTGGTCCAGGGATCGTAGGGTAGGGCCTCTCCATTGGCCGTGTAGTAGTTTACCACATCCAGGAGAACGCCGCGGCCGCATATGCCATGGTTAGCCCAGTCTAGACGCAGTGCTCAGTTGTAGGGAACAGGGTAGCAGTGCGTAGACTTACTGTGCATCCCAAGTTTGACTTTCGAATAATCGATCTCACTCGGATCATGAATTTCCATTTCGCCCTCAGAGAGGGAGTTGGCGGGGGTGCTAACAAGATTCGTGCGTCAGAGCCCTCGATGTACGACATCAATATACTTGTTGTAGAACACATTGTATTTTGCCACCCCAAAGTGCTTCAAACCGTCCCACTGGCAACCTGATTGTGTGTTCTGCAAATTTAATCAAGTGAGGTGCGATCCGCCGAGCGGGCTTGAAGGGGACGTACGATATGGATAACATCATCCCGGACAGGTATGATGGGGCCAGCCTTGCTGAACGTATTGATGGATGGAATCTTACGCCCGAAAACGGGCTTGCAAGCGAAGATCAATAAACAAATGAAAACGCGGCAATCACGGATTCGCTTACCCTTGAGGGGAAGTGAATTGGCCTGGTTAGTAGTATTGTAAAGTTCCAGATTTGTTAGTCTTTATGCAGGAGCCATATTGCACGCACCAATTCAATGAAACTGTGCGACCTAGACTAACGGCAGGACGCATTGTTGGATCCTATGACTTGTCTCTTTGAGATATAACGCACCGAATCTCCTCCTGGGCAGCTCGTGCCACAACCTCGGGAGTGAGCAGGTTAATTGTGCCTAGCTCGTCGTCCTTGCCCCACACATCCCACGCGCATCCCTTGAAGTCATGAAAACTTGGCAGTTCATCGAATGAGGGCAGCACACCGGCTGTCGCAGGCTCTGTATCAGGGATCACCCCATCTCTCTTGCCACCCTTCAGAGAGAACGTACGTTTCAAACGAGATGCCATGTCTGTTGCCATGTAATTGTAGAGTCATCTACACCTCGGTAAGTATATATACCCCACGCTTACGTGTGGAATAATGTGTGGATAGGGCACTAGCAATTATCCAGGCTTCCTTATTGTCCGTCATGCTTTGTCACACCTGAAACAACAGGACGTGTCAGGTACAAGTTTCATGCTGAAGATAACAATATAAATACACTCCGCGGGAACAACCTAGTACAGTCTGAGATACAGTGGCTATCCCCGGATGAATGGATGAATTAACGCCTCCTTGGGAGTAATCCGCCTTGCTGGATCAAGTGCCATGCACCTGTCCAACAAATCGATGAATGAAGTGAGCAACTTCATCTCGTCGTCCTTCATCTTGACTGATGCAGGTGGCATGAGACGGGCACGGAGATCGCGACTAGGTTTGGAAATGTGAACCTTGCGAACGACATTCTGGTAAAACAGTCAGCTGATGTGAAAGACAACGGATCGCATTGACTCACGGAACCAGTGACACGGTCTGTCTCTACGCTTTCGAACCCTCCCATTTCGTCGAAGTACATTTCTCCGAATTTCGCCTTCTTGATCATTTTGGTGTTGAACCTTCCTTTGAGCTCCATCATGAGTAAAAGCATTTGATTGTTCGACCGGCCGGGGAAAAGGATCTTTCCTGTGTACAGCTCGTACAACGTGCACCCAATGGACCAAATATCGAGCGCTGGATCATATGGAACTCCGAGGACTAAGTAAAATGACGTCAGTTTTCAGTGTAATGGTGTTATAAGTAACGTACTGATCTCGGGCGCGCGATAAAACCGACTAACAAGATATGGGGTAATGTCATTCTCCGAGGCATCGGATGCTGAACCTAAGTCACATAACTTCAGTAGCGTCTTCTGTTCATTAACCTGAATTGGTCGTTAGTATATCGGCAACTGCCAAAAGTATGTTGGACTTCACCAATATATTATCAGGCTTGATGTCTGCGTGCATGACGTTGACTTTCTTTAGAAGACTCAATGCAAGGAAAAGTTGGTGTGCGTAAGCTCTGACTGCCTTGATGTTCAGACCAACGTCCTTTCCAAAGCGCTTCACAACATCTCGAAGGTTCATGCTGGATGAATTTTTGTCAATTACCCAGGAGCGACATCAAGAACATATTCGAACCTCATAGACTCGAACACAAGACAAAGGTGCCCACGGTGTTCAAACGTCCTCTCTAACCGGACGATGTGTTTCTTGTCTTCGGGATCAGCCTGTTTTAACTTATTCAATATCTGCACTTCCTTCAGACCAGCGCGATGCCTAGGCATTGCTTGAGCATTCTCAGAAGTATCATATAAGAAAATGTACAAACATAGATTCCTGACTCCTGATGATTTTGATGGCAACCTCTTTGCCGGTTTCGCCTTCTTGAAGAGCGCGCGCCCGGACAACATTGGCAAACATTCCCTTTCCAAGAGAAGAGAAGACCTGGTACCGTCCGCCATCAAGCTGCTCACCAAGGATAACTTGGTAATAGCCCTCATGATCTGAGGCAGAGTCTAACGTAGTCGTGATAAGGGCAGGTGCTGCTTGTTTCTACATATAAAGGTCAGAGGTTGTTCGCAGACACAATGGATGTAGTACATACAACGACTTTCTTGACTTTCTTTTGCTTCTTCTCGGTTAAAGCTACTGCAAACATGTCATCGACGTCGTCCTCTTCGTCCTCTCCGTCCTCAATTGTTTCTATATTCATGGGTTCGTCTTTAAGGACTCGCCTTTGTTCGTCCTCTCGGCGATCTAAGCTGGGATCGTAGTCGGCAGCAGATATCTGATCCGGTGCGCCGTCTTGCATCTTCGCACGGACATCTTCCTCGTCCTCGTCCTTAGCAAGCTCGAAGATACTGTCGTCTGGTTGTGGAGATGCAGAATCGCGTTTGCCTGCGTGATACGATAAATTAATCGACGGGAGATGTTTTCTGGAGAGAAGCTTACTCATTGAATCATGCCTCGCTTTAGATGTCTCCGCTACTAAACTTGCAGAAGTATCTACAGCACTGTGGGGCTGAGGTGTGTCAGACACAGATGCAACAGGCTGAGGCGGTTGGACCGCACTGCTAGGCCCAGGGCTGGGGCTGATGCTCTTATTAGCACTGGCTACCCCGGAGTACCTGGCTAAGATGGCTTGACGCCTGGCACGGCGAGCAGCTCGAGCGGCTGCCTCTGCGGCAGCTGTATCGATCTCGAGATCAAGTTCTGGATCAGGTTGTGGAGGAGCAATAGATTGTACCGGCTTCTGAATCTGAGTAGCCTCTGACGGAGCTCGTGTGGATGGAGTCAGAGATGTCGCACGGGCACTAAACGTAGGAGATATTCTTGAAGAAAAAAACACGTTCAAGGGTATTCATGGACTTGGTGGTGTTGATACTCACTCGCCTTCTTCTTTGTCCGAGTAGTCCTTTTCCTGATAAGAGTGACCATTGGATGGGGCAGGTGAACGATGATTCCGAGGTGAAGTTCGACGACGACGCTCATCTTTTCGATCATCTTCTCTCCGGCGATGTTCTCTGTCGCGATCTCGGTCTCGTTCACGGCCGTCGCGTCTGTCTTTATCTCTGTCCCAGTCTCGAGAGTATTCGCTAGGCCTCCTTGATTCTTCTTTGGATCGCCCAGGCTCCCGCTTATCGACACTGTCTCGCCTGCTACTGCTAGGTTTGCTACGCTTATCTGAGGGAGACCTTAGGTGCACATCCCGCCAGTCTCTAGGTTCGTCTCTGTGTCTCTTGTGTGTGTGAGATTCGGCTGCGCCATGACCCTCCCAAGACCGCTTTAATCCTGCGGATGTGTTAGTCATCTTCTTCGAAAGCAATTGGGTTTACGGGACACCGCACGATCAACAGGAAAACGCTGGGAAGAATGGAGGCAGAAAATGAATGAGCTCGTCGCTGAGCTCGCTGACGAGGAATGTGGTGAGCAACCAACAGTCAATCAAGCACTCCGGATCCAGTAACCGGAAATGGTCCGTGCGCATCGGTACATCAGGTGATGAATCTCACGTACAATTTATAGGTATGTAATGTAAATTATAAGTACAGAATGTTTGATCGTCAATTCCCTCTCTTCTCTCGCAATCTGGCATCTGCCTTGGTGCCTGGAGAGGGGAATGCAGGAGCTTGGACTACGTGGCGTGTGGCTCGAATTGCAGATGATCTTGTAGTCACCTTATTTGAAGCTGATGCTGATGTATTCGGAAGACGACGTAAACCAGCAGATGCCATCCTAGCGATCCGTTGTTCGGCATGGTCCTGCCGAAGAATCACATGCGTAGCTGCATCATCAGAGTCGGATGGCTCTTCAGATGAGGAGTGCGCTGAGAATTCTTGTTGTCCACGATTAGAAGACTCGTCAGATGGCTGTTTCCTCCTTGCCCTCAAAAGATGATGCTCCACATCCTGCTCCTCCCGGAGTGTCTCGGTCTCCGGAAGGTGAGTCGGAATCTGTGCTCCCTCACTCGATTGCTCGCCGTGCTTAGCTGAACGTCCTTCATTCTCAGCCGAATCCAGGTCCCACTGTGGTCCAGACGATCCAGAAACAGCTCGACTTTCTGGCTCAACATCGTCATCCAAGTTCCGTTCAACTATCATCGCCGAAATTCGGACTTGAGAGTCCCCGGCTTCATCCACATTCTGTTCGGTATCTTCCTCAGGAACCTCCTCCAGCTCCTTCTCTTTCGATTTTCCCTTCGCCGAAACCACTCTCCGCCGCTTCGATGCTGGAGCAGGTTGTGGAGGCAAGTCTACTGACTGTGACCTCGCCCGAGTATGGCGATATGGTGCGTCAGAAGTTGCCACAGCAGGTTGATTACCGCGAGATCTGCTTGACGTCCAAGTGCGTTTGACCTGTGAGTTTTCAGTGCCGGCGGCAAGGGTGGGCCCTTCAGCAACTAGGCTCTCTTCTCGCTGCGCTCGGCTGCGGGGTGGTACTCGCGCGGCTCGCAGGGGTCGTGCAATCGGTGTAGCCTGTGAGCTCGTCCACGCCCCTTGGACGACGACGGTAGTAGCCCGGGCACTCGGAGCCGGTCTGGATCGTAGGTCGGTGAGTGAATCAACCATGGTTTCCTGCGTATCTGGTGGTACGTTGAGTGGAGTTTTTGGAACTTCGTGCTCAAGTGATTGTGGCACTGGGAATACATCGAGTCTGCCCAGGAAAAAAATACCGTAGAATTTTATAACGTCAAACCAATTAACCGGTCGTGACACATCGCACAACAAAAATACTTACTCAGATATTTGATCGATATCAAAACTGATTGCGCCATCGAGTGCCCTCCGGGCAAAGGGCTCGTCAATTCCTTCTTCCGGTGACCTTCGATCGTTCTCATCCGAATTTCGACCCGGACGGCCATGGCCACTCGCCCGTCGTCCCTTCTCCATAGCGGAGGAGGTGCGAGGTCCTGGTGGTGTGGCCGGACTGGCCACACGCTGTCGCTTCTGAGGCGACTCCCCTTGGAAACTTGCACGCTGAGATGTATCAGGATCATCGCGACGCCGCCTACGCAATTCCGGCTGTGCAAGGCCAGGTTCATGATCGGGGTTGTCGTTTTCTTGAACCTCATCGCGCGCCTGTGGAACGCCACCGGGCACCTGGTTATCCAAGTCCTCAGGCCCAGCGCCACCCGCTGCTTGTTGTTCTAGTTCCCGATCACCCTCCTCCTCCTCCTCCTCCTCCTCCTCCTCCTCCTCCTCCTCCTCCTCCTCCTCCTCCTCCTCCTCCTCTTCCATGCGTTGTGCTCGTACCTGCCTTCCACGTCTATAGCGATGCGAGCGTGGATCGCGACCGAAACCATGAGTCACGTTTTTAAGCTGCGCAGCATATCTGGCAATTTTAGGATCAAAGCGCAACGTATTCATCTTGTAGCGCTCGCGCCAGGATGACCATGTGTGTCTTTTTGCCCAGGTATATTCCGGCTCAAGAGCCTGGGAAGGAGTATTCTTGTAAATTAAGTCGCATATACTCCGGATTTAGTCACGTACCAGCTCCTCTGTCAAAGTCCTATACATCACATTCCCGGTGCGTCCCCCATCAGCAGCATTAGGAAATACAGTTGCAATGTAAAAGGCTAGATGTTCATCATCTTCCGCGGTAAAGGGTACGCGTCTGATGAGTGCGTCAGCAAACGAGACAGAAACGAACACGAAATGCCATACACGCGCCCAACCTGGGACCTTGGTGAGGCACCAGGCATACCCTTCCTTGGCGGTCGAAGATGCTCGTATTTTCTACTTCCAATGCATCGGCGTACAAAATCCCTAGGCTCGATATAGACGCCCTGCTGCCAGAGGACATCCGAACGATAGTAGCGCCGACGCATATGTTCGATGTCGATTTCTTCATCCACCAGGATCACTTTGGCTTGCTTCTCATCTTCGCATACTACTCCTCCATGCCTCTACAATAAGTGGTTGAAATCAACGAATTGAAGACTTTCGCTTGGAAACTGCATACCGTGATCCCCTGTTCGAGCACATCGACTCCTTGCCTGACACTCGAATGAAAAAAGAAGGCAACGGGATATCCGTCTTTCACGAATATTGCATCTTCAGCATTAGGTTCAGCAAGTCGCACAGCACCCGCCAAAGCCATGGTAGTAGGAAGGAGTTGGAAAGGATCCAAAGGAGGAAAGTTAGACAAACTCACAAGACGCTGAGTTCGAAATTCGGAACCCCGCATTGAGGTTAGGGTTAATGTCATTAGGGTTAAACTGCGACCATTACAAAAATCAAAACTCTACGTCAGATGTTTGATATTCAGAGCACTCTTCGATGTTCGAGACATTGTGCTCCTGCCAGAATTTGCACTGGGACCAACTGGCTTGCTGTTGATATATAGAACACCGAAGCGATTCAGATCGCTTAGGCTACTTAATTGATATCATTTGACTGGAGAGGTCGAACAGTCCCTGTGATAGAACAACCTCCAGGGACTGTCGCACCTCGTTACGATGTTGCTCAAGTCTGCAAGTGCGTCATACTCTGTTTTCATCAGTGCTGCGGCTGGTCATACATGGTTAATATCACTCGTCTAAATTCTTCATTCAGTTACTTTCTGAGTGAGGATGAGCATGCAGAAGTTATTGCGCCGACCTCATTCAAGTTTGGCCACTTGTATTTCTTTGCTGATTTTGATGGACACGGCGGTTGGGAGACTAGCCTCTGAAGGAAAATCTCCTACCAGCCGTGGTCGGTGTCCTTGCACACCTATATTCAATAAACCCTATGATGCCTAACGTGGCTATCGATAGTACCTTCCTCGGACTTAACGATAATATCGCCGAGCCAAAATACCACCATTGGATGTTGCTCTCCCGTCTTCACGTGAAAATGCTGTGTCTTTCCTTTAGGCTCAGGCCCGGGCATATGGCGGTTTCCGCGCTGTTCTTGCGTTCTATGATTCTCATACCCGTGCTCTCACAGGCGAGTCCTGAGCTTGAACGGAGAAAGAGTCACTATTTTGCTATGAAACGACAGCCAATTCCACCACGAGCAAAGAAACGTTCCGTGATATGCTGTTCCGCATTTCAACCGCAATGCACCGAGCGGTGACGATCCAGACTTGACGAGTGCTCACCAAGTGCTTAGTAGTACCGGCAAGTACAATACTCTACTTGGTGTCAAGATTGTCTCTATCTCATTCCTGCTTATCTGCTAGCTGTTAACAGTGCATGACAGCAATGTCATTAATGCTGCAATTTTGTGGAGACGAATTTGGCTGGTTCGCCATGCCAAAGTACCTAAGTACTAAAAAGTGTCAACGTTTCAAGAATGGCTCGCTGGATAGAGAAGTAACAACAACGCATATGAAAATGAGCAAGTCTCGTCGCTAACTGCTACTGACGTATCAAGCAAGTTCAGCAAGATGTCCGTGATGATTTCTTCCCGCGCACCGGGATACAAAAAAGCTGCAGGATACCTTTCAAAGGTCATCATTGTCGGTCGTCTGGCCAAGGTCGATTTCCACCTCGGACTCCGTGTAAAAGCTGGGGAAGATAGGAGCAATATCTTCTAGGTACCAGAAGCAATCGCGAGGATGCTTGCTGACGCGTGGGGTACGAGTCCTGATCTATCATAGCAGCGAGCAATTTAAACCCACGTGCCGCACAAACCAAGGCCGACATGGAAGTCATCTGCAGACGCTGGGTCGATGAAGACGATTGGGTCATCACGACAGGGATTGTAGGCATCAGACACATCGAGGTTATCTGCGAACGGGTCCTTGATGACGACTCCGCGACTGGAAGATGTGAGATTGGTTTAATGATATCAAGAAGTTCGTCTGTTAGGATGCGAACCCGAGGTTCCATCACGATACGTGCGAAGCGGCTTCCTAGGGACACCCGCCCCACGTCTGATATGCGTTACTTCCTTGCTTGATACGTTGGTAGCTGTTGGTGATGGGACTTGCTCATTTTCCTAGACACACGAATGATCAAAAGTTGCGTTATTGCTGCTTCTTTATCCAACGAGCCATTGTTTGGACGCTTTTTAATACTTAAGTACTCTGGCATAGCGAATCGGCCAGGACTCACTTGCGAGGGCACGTGTACGAGCAAGAAGAGCGGGAAAGCGGATTATGTTTCAAAAAGGAAGTACAAGAAGCGAAGACGAGAGCAACGTCGAATGATTTATGGTCGTGAAGTTCAAGGAATATCGATAGCCATGCCAGAGCTCATCATGAGATCCTGTGAAGAAACATCCTCCGAAGTCTCCCAACTGTTATGTCCATCAAAATCAGCAAAGAAAGACCAGAGACCTAACGGGAACTCGAAATATTCTACCGATTAAAACGGAGCACCTTTCAGACGGCCTGGTTTTGTCTCTCTAGAACCCTAGCGGTCCTCCACTCCATCTTGTGAATCATATCCTCCACCATGTCCAGGTAGCTATCCAAATTTGAAACTGCTGTTTCTGCGGGCGGTTTCCGAAACTCCTGTTGGAAGGGTTCTGCAGTGAAGCTAAAGACTGTTAGCCTAGGTCATGGAGACCATGGAACATTTTTAGTCTCCCCTAGCCAGACCAATCGAAGGAAGATAGTCGTTCTTTCGGAACATTTTACTAGTCAAGCACCAGTACTGTCCCTCGTTTTTCCTCTTGGGTCTGCCATTTACGGACCGCCGTCAACAAGCCTTTGCACTGTTGATATAGAACTTCCAGCGATTGTTTCTCACGATCAGAAAGTTCGTTATGAAACCTTAGTCAGGAGATAGCCTATGATTGCGGAGAAAGCGTCCCGGAAAATAGTCGTCCAGGAAATCCTCGAGGTCTTCGGGCGGTGACATCGCAAGGTGGTAGATGTGTTATTTTGGAATGAAGCTAAAATGAGGTCGAGCTCGCAACTTAAAAAATATACCAATGAAGATAGATTCATGACAAGCCAGATGTAAAGATCCCTGTCACGTTGATTGTTCATTTTTGATCAACTTCAACTGGGGTTGCGTGAGCAGACTGGTGTCAGAGTTGAGTTCTTTCGTGCAATACTCTTGCTGCGACAGCACAGTGGACGATGCCTTGACCGTGTGTCTCTGGTACATGTCAACCGTGGCTAGGAGGTTGAGCAAATCCGGAATCTGTCTTATAATCAGACAAGGGCGAAGGATACTGCGGATTGCGTAGAAGATGACCCGATGTAGTGCCTGTTGATTTGCGCATGAGGGTTGGTCTATGATAGAACTTCATAGAAGAGATACAGTCTGTAGCCGTGAGTAAGATGCGGGATAATGAAAATATCATAATGCACCTTGTATTGCTCGGTGCATGTCCGAGTCATGCTGCTTGAGCAGCGGTTCCAATGCGGATAGTGTTTGATGAAGAGTTTGCATGGTTCGACGGTATGAGCTGTACAAAGTAAGCTATGATCAGTGTCGGGAACCACTTACTAGTCGGACCATAGACGAATGCTAGTAGTATCAATTAACTTATCTGTGGAAAGGACTCTAGAGTGATATGATGTGAGAACAGACCGACGTGCATGATGACCGAAATACTGACCTCACATAGCCGGACGGCTCTTCAGATAATGAGATCACTGAGAATTCTTGTGGGCCACGATTAGGTTGTCCACGATTAGAAGGTTGCCCCAAATGATGACGCTGCCCATCCTGCTCCTTTCGGAACATCTCGGTCTCCGGATGGTGGTGCGGAATCTGCGCTCTCTCGATCGATCGTTCGCCCTGCCCAGCCGAACGTCCCTCATCGACGACCGATTCCAGAAACAGCTCGTTTGATGTCGCTGGCTTCATCTCCGGCATCTTCCTCAGGAAGCTCCTCGAGCTCCATCGCTTTCAATTTCCCCTTCGCCGAAACCACTATCCGCCGTTGCGATGTCGGCACAAGTTGTGGGGGCAACCCTACGAACCTGTCGCGGTATAGTGCGCCAGAAGCTGCCACAGTACGTCGAAGACCGCTTGACATCCGTGCGCGTTTGACCTACGAGTTGATTTCAGTGCCAGCAGTAAGACCTTCGTAAGGTGTGATCCCTTCTCGCCGTGTTCGTTTGCGGAGTTCCAGAATAAACGGAGCCGGGAGCTCGTCGACGCCCCTTGAACGGCTACGGCAGTGGTCCGGGCGCTTGGAGCCCGTTTGTGTCGTTGGCCGATGGCTGTCTCTAGCGGTGTGTCAGGTAGAACTTCTGAAACTTCATGCTCAGGGAGTACATTGAGTCTGCCCAGAAGAAAATATCACAACATCAAACTAATTAACCAGTCGTGACATATCGCACAACAAAAATATTCACTCAGGCATTTCATCGACATCAAAACTGATTGCGTCATAGAGTGCCACCCCGGAGGACTCATTGTTTTCTCCGTCCAGCGACCTTCGATCGTTCTCATTCGAATTTCAACATGTCCACTCGCGCGGCCCACAGCAGAGGTAGCCTCATTCAGAGGCGACTCCAAACTTGCATGCCGAGACATCATCGCGACGCCGCCCAAAAAAATGGACCTGCGGAAGGTCAGGTTGGTGGTCGAGGTTGAGATTTTCTTGGACCTCGTTGCGGACCTGTGGGGCGCCACCGGACTCCAGGTGATCCAATTCCTCAGGATCGCGACCGAACCTGTCATGGGTCCTGTTCTTCAGCCGGGCAGCATGCCTGGCAATCACAGGATCAAACCGTAGCATATTCGTCATGATGCTGGCGCAAGGATGGCCACGTATGCCTTTTCGCCCAGGCATATTCCGGCTCGCCCGCCTGGGAAGGAACATTCTTATGAAATACGACGCATATACTCGGGATTTAAATGACCACGTACCAACTTCTCTGTCAATTTCTGGTACATCAAATTCCCGGAACGTCCCCCATCAGGAGCATCAGCAACGACAGTTGCGGTATAATAAGCAAGATGGTCATCGTCTTCCGCAGTAAAGGATACGCGTCTGGTGAATGCGTTAGGAATGAGACGGAGAAACGAACGCGAAATGACATACACGCGCCTAACCTGAGACCCTGGTGGGGCACCAGGTATACCCTTCCTTGGCGGCGGACAATGCTCTTATCTTTGGTGTCTAATGCATATATGCAAGAAATCCGTTTGCCATGCTCGATATAGACGCGCAACTACCGGTCGGCATCCGAATGATGATAGCGCAGCGCAAATGTTCGATGTCTGCCAGTGCGTCTTCATCCATCAGGATCGCGTCGGCTTTCTAGCAGATGGGCCCATGGACATTGATTGTGCCTTGGTGGGAGGAATGGGAAGAAGGTGAAAATACGCGTACCACGAACGAGCCAATCTCTCTCGTTTTCGTTCATCCAGTAGGTGGCTTTAAGGTTCACCAAGTAGCGGATGCATTTCCGGGGTTGTACTTGGCTGACGCCAGAGGCGTTGGTTTTTTGTTCATCTTGCTGATCTACCAAGTCTAAGGGTGCTCCAAACATGTCTTGTAAGGAGGCGCTGTTTGCGAGTCCAAAATGTAGTAGGCATTTGAAGGTCACGCTGCCCTGCATCTCAATCGCAATGTACTGAGCGGTGACAATTCAGACTTGACAAGTTCACACCAAACCTCCCGCAGTACCAGTAAGTATAATAACCTGCTTGGTGTCAAGATTGTCTCCATCTCATTCCTGCTAATATCATGTGCTGACTTTTAACTGTAATGTCATTAATGCTACAATTTTGTGGAGACGAGTTCGGCTGATTTGCCATGCCAGAGTACCTAAGTACTAAAAAAACGACAACGTTGCAAGAATGGCTCGCTTGACAGAGAAGTAGCAACAATGCATATGAAAATGAGCAAGTCCTGTCGCCAACTACTACCGACGTATCAAGCAAGTGAAGCAAGATATCCGTGATGGTAATAAAACATATACAGTGATTATTTCTTCCTGCGCATCGGGATGCAGGAGAGCTGCAGACATTCAAAGCTCATCATTGTCGGTCGTCTGGCCAAGGTCGATCTCCACCTCGGACTCCGTGTAAAAGCTGGGGAAGATAGATGCAACATCTTCTAGATACCAGAAGCAATCGCGAGGATGCTTGCTGACGTGTGGGGTATCCTGATCTATAACACCGACAGAACTCTCTACGTCTTCGCAGCGAGCAATTTGAACCCACGTGCCGCACAAACCAAGGCCGACACGGAAGTCATCTACGGATGCTGGGTCGATGAGGACGGTCAAGTCATCACGGCAGGGATTGTAGGCATCAGAAACATCGAGGTTATCTGCGAACGGGTCCTTGATGACGGCTCCGCGACTGGAAGATGTGATGATTGGCTTCATGATATCAAGAAGTTCGTCTGTTGGGATGCGAACCCAAGGTTCCATCACGATACGTGCGAAGCGGCTTCCTAGCTCCTGCTCAACCGCTGCGGAAGGAGTGTCTGGAAATGATCCGACAGGCTCTGGCAGTATTACTTCTTTGACTTTGCGTGTCGAGAATTCGACAACACCAGCGGTATGTGACAGAGGCAGGCGAGTCGGGCCGAGGAAGGTAAGCAGTGAGTCAACTTTGATATCAGTCCATGAGACCGTAGTGTTCTGCCCTGCGGTAACAGCTGCAACCCAAGGGTCATCCACTGGAGGGAGGGCAACGTTCACGACATCACCAACGCCGAAGGTGTCATCCAAAACCTCCTTGGCCATCAATGAGTCAAGGACAACGTCCGAGGACACGATTTCAGCGTGATCAGCTTTGAGCGCCTCTTCGAATGTGCTAACCGCCGACGAAGCGGGCGTATCTATGCCAGTACATCCATCCCCGGAGTCAAGAGTGGCAGAGGTATACATGCTGAGGCCTCCTTTGGATCCCCAGCATTCCTTGCACGCAGCGTCGAACGTGCCCGGCAAAACCCGTGCAACCTTAGCTGTCAAAGGAAGCTCCTTGATAGCAAGCTCTGCGACAACCACCGCGCGGTTTAAATTATCGGTATAAGCTTCGAAACCAGCAAAAACACCGTTACGCTGCATGAAGCGAAGGAAAAAGTGCAGTACTGTGGGTGCAATGAAAAGGTTGCGCTCCGACCTGGATAACTCATAAATTCAAGACAATGGAAGGAAGCAGACAAACTTGCCAGATCAAACCTTTATCCCGCATGTATGAAGACATGAAGACCTTGATAGACTTCTCCATGTCTTCAAGGAAGGTTTCGAGTAAACGAATCTGGACATCTGTCTCTCCTTCACTTGGCTCTAGTTGTTTGCCTGGATGGGCGATCTGTTCCAGTGGATCTTGAATAATATTGGGATTTATCTCTTTAGCTTTTGGGGTATCATCGTCATCTGAGGCGTCACCGCCTCCTTCACAAGACATGTTTGTGGCACCCTTAGATTTCCTGACTTTGCGGTAGATCGGCAAGCTGGACAGAAGGCCAATGTACAGACGAAACTGTAGAAATCAATCAGAACACTCAAGTGACGCTGGAAATTTTGTACATGATCCCATAGCGTTCTGACTCCAGAGGCTATCGGAGGCCAAGTACGACCAACCCGGAAATCATCCGCGACTTGGTGAACTCGATCAACGAGGCTGTTCTGCCTAGATGAACGAAAATGAGTTATCTCACATGTGAGCAGGGAGAAAGAAGATAAGTACAGTTCTATTGGCTCGCTCGTGGTACGCGTATTTTCACCTTCTTCCCATTCCTCCCACCAAGGCACAATTCTGCCTGTGGCATCTGCGCTCTGTCCTGCATTTCTACGCCGTTTACGGTCTTTATTTCTTTGAATGACCTCTTCATCGGAGAGAACCTTCACGGTGGGCAAGCCACCAAGAGCATCAACTTCGATTTCTTCTCCAGTCTCTGTCGTAATGCGTTTGTAGCCGTACGGCATGAAATCTTCGAAAGGAATGATGGTGACGCCGTGCGGTACTGCCGGAAAGGGAGGAAAACTTGGAGGAAAGATGTTAGAACTTGGCATTTGAGGTTGTTGGATTCTGGGTTGATCACGATAGTCTTGGTTCAAGCTAACGGTTAACGAATATCTCTGTCGGATTTATTATTTACATGGATTTTTTGATTCCGGCCTCAAGTGCTAACAAATGCCCGAAATAGCTCAGCGGATGCTGTAGTATTACGTAGCAACAGATGGCACAGCTGGCGCCTACTGTCACTGATAGTATGCGCATGATGTGGAGCGCTACTAGTGATATCGCACTGCGCTCCCTATCTAAACGCGAAGCTTTGACATTGAAGTTAGGGGCAATCGCTGGAGTGGGTACATACATTTCTGATACTAATTCATCTACAGGAGTAACAATACACCATAGGGCCTCTCGGTAGTATCAACCACGAGCGTCCGACTTCACTCTCGATATGACCCTTCAACTGTGCTTGGCGAAAAATGATCCTCTGTGAACCACTTTCTTTTGCCCAGAGCGTGCCATACACTACACGTTTGACACAGTCACACGTAATGAACCCTTCTGTGGAAGCATAGCTACCACATCAGTCGCTCGGAGAGACATTCTTGAAGAACCGCTTCACGTGGGTAGCCAGCCAAGCACAATGACAGGCCCGCAGCGGTGGTTGGGTCTAGAACAATTAAGATCACCAAGACGGGACTGTATACATCGTAAGAAGCTTACTTGGGCGAACTGAATGCTCCGCGCTCATATGGCACAATCTGGACTAGTCCGGAGAAGTCCCACGGGAGTGACGACGAGTGGCAAATTCGCGAGTATCGACCGCAAGGGGCGCTCGCTCACAGGAATACATCGCCACTTTTATCACCACGCTGACGCGCACTCTGTTCAAACACAAGCAGTCTGTTGCGCTTCTTATCCCAACGGACGCCACACATCTTGGATGATATTATTGTCACTTTTATTTGCTTTGAGAGTCAGTGGCGAGAGCGAGAGCGAGCAAAATCTCGGTCGTGGGACACAGGTTATACTGCTGGTGTAGCTGTCTAATGGGACATTGTACCACTCATCGTAAATTGCATAGCCGTACGTAATTGGTTCCCTGCGATATTTTGTGTCAGATGGCAGACATAGCTCTGCTTTACAGGACACTACATCGATCTCGCGACGAAAGCTTTAATTTGATCTATCGTCGGACGGTCCGTAGGAGATACGGACAAACAGCGCTGGACGAATTTCACATAACCCCCATCCATCTCCGTTCCGGGACCAAGTGGATCCACCCCCTTGTGTCTCGCAGAGACAACGCGTAAAACATCATCCAGCCACCAGTACGGTAACTTTCCAGAGAGTACCTACAAGGCATCAGCTGAACTGATCAATTAAAAGCAAGATGTCAAAATGGCATACATGGAACACGACACATCCGAAAGAATAGATATCGCTGTAACAACTTGACACATTACCGGCCTCCTGGTCATCGTCGCTGATCAGTTCTGGAGGCGTCCAGCGCAAAGCACCGCAATGATAGGACTGAAAGAGATCGCCACACGTAGATACGACTGAAGACAGTCCATAGTCCGTAAGACGGACGGTGTGGTGACTGTCAATTAAAACATTATTCTACTTCTGCAGTCAGCGGGCTGCACCGTGACGGCCTTGGGAGGAGTGAATAGACTGACACTACTGAGATTGCCATGGATTATGTTTTTGCAATGAACTGTTGATTAATCGATGAGGTGTTGTCCAGTCGGTCAGATATTTTCCCACTTACGAAAGTGGAGCCCATCTGCGATATGAGATAGCTGAATGCGGGTTGAGAAGTAAGAGAAGTGTTTGTTTTATGAGTTGGGGGAAACACACCAGTGAAAGCTTTGCAGTGCTTGAGAGAGTTTGACCCCTGGCGCTCAGGTAGCTGCTCAAGGATCCATTCTCCGTCCAAGGCGATACCAAGCAGGGAAGGCTAGAACCGAACCCCGTTGTAGTACCGTAGATAGGCAATATATTTTCGTGGCGGAGAGACATCCAACCTTGCACTTCCGCCAGGATGATCTGATGTGTCTAGGAATTAGCGTTGATATTTTTACGGTATCGCTGGGGCTGACTATTCGGGCCCTCCGAATGCTCTCTTCATCGTCATCTCGTACCTTGATAGACTTGACCGCGACCTGGACCATTATCAGTACTGTAAAGAGGATGAATGAATATTGCTTGACTACCTTCTCCTTCTTGAAAGCCCCGTTCCGCAAGATACACTGGAAAGTATCGCCAAGGCCTCCCGGAGGTACGGCAAAGTCTTGCACTCTCGTCAGGGAGGCGGTCGCGATAACAGTACTAGGATTTAAAAGGACATCATGAGTCACACATGAGTGTCGAAGACTGACAAAAAACCCACAAGGGGCTCATAGTTTCTCGTTCGATGTTTGTGCCTCGCGGAAGTCCAGCCTGTTTCAAATATTTCGTTCGTGTTGTGCATTGTGAATATGTAGTGCGACCTCCCTTCTGTACGTTGTTGCGGCGGAGAAAATTCAAATTAAACTTGCGTGTCATCTCCGAAGAGTCTTTCCCTTTGCTAGGGATACCAGGTGTTAAGTTGGACAACGGGGATGCTATGTGTTGATTTGTGTTAACAATGGAACTCGTCCCGAAGGCATCTGTCAAGGGAATTTTGCTGACGGTGGTCTGGATGACCAGGAGTGAGCATCTCCGTAGGAACTTCGACGAAGAGATAAAGAGGAAACATACTTTGTACTGTAAAGATGTTGCAACTTCATCTCCATTGAAGCACTTGTTCGACCGATTCACTACCGACACTTTTTGATCTTCAGATATTTGTTAACCGCTTGTCGATGACAAACTTTGAGCAATACCTTCCAACTGTAATTCTATTTTAAGAAAGTTCAGGATATCACCTGTGGACGGACGAGCGGGCATTGCACCAGGTGGTACGAAACATTGTTGTATTAGTCGCCAATGTGCATCTAAGATTGGACCGCTGTCAGGCCTCTGTGGTGTATGCCCCTCAGCCACTCTGATAATGATGAATCTCTCATGCCTGACATCAGCCCAGGGCTCACTTCCCGAAAGTACCTATGAAGACAAAATGTTAGCATTTCGAATGGTGATGCAAACAGGTTCAAGACATACTTTAAGTGCGAGACAGCCAAATGAGTAAACATCACTTTGAGTATCGGGTGGGATAGATGCATCAGATTCTCTCAGATTCAGAAGCTCAGGAGCGCTGTAGCGAAGTGCTCCTGGTTGTGCACAAGAACGTTGAAGATATGAGCGGCCGGTGATATCTCCGAGCACGGACGACAAGCCAAAGTCTGTGAGGACAGCCCTTTTGTCGTTATTCAGGAGCACGTTGTTCTGCAAGTGATGTGATGAGATATTGAAAATATCTCCAAGACGTCCCGTCTCACTGGAGTTAAGTCACCGTGAACTACCGGGACACCATGCACTGCACCGACCATGAATACGCGCATGAACAAGTCATAGATACTTGAACGAATGTATACACACGATAATGGAGACCCGATGTAACATCTTCGAGCTGTTCGATTTGTAAATTTGTGGACACATATCATGCGGAAAAGCTTACTAAGCGGAGGCGATCAGACAAAGTGATGCCTTCATGTTTCCGGAGATAAACCATCAATGACCCATTTTCAAACCAGGGCGAGACCATAGATATGGAGGGGCTAAAACCTCGTGCTATGCCTAGTAGTGGCACGATGTTCATATGACCAAGTATCCCCCATGTTCCAAGTTCACGTCGCAGTGCCTTAATAGCCCGTAAGTAGTCAAGTCAGCATTCACTGCGGAAACGAGTTTTTTACACCAACCGTAATCCGAGGGAGACAATGTGTATAACACGACTGTAAACGTACCTAGCTCGTAATCAGACGTAAATCCGACATGTCGCAAATTTTGCTCGCTCGGTCTGAAGCAACAGATGTAAACAGACGCTTTTCCAACTTCACCAACACACTTTTTCGGACCTCCGTTTATTCTCTTCAGATACCTGCTATTCCACCACTATCCAGCCCAGTAAATTCAACTTCTCGATGTCTGCTTAGGGTAGACTTGAAGCAAGGTGAGTTTTTCGAAAATTTCGCTAAGTCCGTAACTCGAGCGCTATGTCAAATACTATCAGGCTCGAGTTGCCAGCTCATGTACAAGCTTTTACTTTTACCTTCGAAACGATGCGTCCGGGACCCACGGTGAGTACTAAGTGTATTTCTACGAGGCCACTACCATTAATCATTCTTTTGTAGAACGAGCTCCTTATCGGTGTGCTGTGCGTGTTCAGTCAGTCGTTTGACCTCTGTGACAAGATATGCAACGGTCTCATTCAAATTTGGCGACTGCTCAAGTGCCCCATTTCGCCTATTCACGTTCTGGTTCACGTGCGGAAGGTGAGTGGCAGGCTGTCGACCCATTGAATATAGCATCATAGCTTGATACTCCTCGCTTCCAGGAACAACAGATGGTGCCCGCGAAGATGCCTCACTACCCGAGTCTCCTGCGAAATGACGGTATGGTGTTTCGCCTCGAGAGGATGTACTATTTGAGCTGAAATTCTGTGGCACGCTACCAGCTCGCATGGACTGGACGGGTGTCTGGTGTGCACCGAAAAAAGGATACGGGGATGGCTGACGCATATCGGGTGAGTGCTGCGGACTGGTGGAACGAAACCTGTTGTTTAAATGATCTTGGTACATAGGTCCCCCAGCGAATGCGCCGCTGGTGTTGTGGTCACCGTGCTGTCCATTGCCTGACTGAATCGCATCCAGTAAGTCGCTTGACTTTTAGTGGGCGATCTACAAGCTCTTACCATCTCAAATCGAGGTACATTACCACTGAAGTATGGATCGTGTTGAGGCGGCTGATACGACACTTTCCCGGCGACCTGGGGTATATTATATTGAGGATATGCTTCTCCTGCCCCTACCAGTGCTGGCTGCTGAGAATCAGGAGTGGGAGCACCACTCGGGCGTCTCTGAGTCTGTTGGCCTTGGAACCCATACATTCTGGCGTGCAAGGTGGTGGGGGATATCAAGGACCGGGGAGCATATGTGGGGACCTAGCAGGACGAGTTCTTTGATACGGCACATGTCTATTCAGAATAGAAGCGGATCCGTTTATGCATAAATCCAGACATAAAGTAGACGTGCGGATCCTTATAACCTGGTCTGATACCGAGTTGGTTTAGATACTAAGGCAACAAACCCTATCCCTGCAAATCCCTAATATTCAGAGTCGGTTTTAGTTCTCAAACGAGTACCTTTTTCGATCTAGACGGGTAGGAATATGCTTGTTTGGCATTGTCCGTTTACATTCCGTTTACAGCCTCTAAACATACATAATTCCGATCCGTTCTAAATCTCGTTTCCGCAGTGATTGTAGCGTTGCGAATACCTTCTCATTCGGTGCACCGACCTCCCCATCTGGAAACCTGATCACTTTGACTGCAACCTGGAAAGATCTAAGATGGATGCGGATCATCTGCATCAATACGAACAATCGTACCACAATTTGCGTTTCATCAGTTTGCAGCATGCAGCGCCAAACATCACCGAACCCTCCTGCAGCTGTATAAAAATCACTAGTGCGTGTGATGCATTCGGTGAGGTCGACAGGATCACCGGTCGACTGCTCGGACAGGTACATCACTAGAGTGGGTGGGGGGGTTGATGAGTACAAGAGTCGAAAGGTCCAGCGTCAATATACACACCAAACCTGGTTTTATGATTCGCGTAAGGCCGCCAGTCTTATAAATAAGTGACCCATACCTCGTGTTCACTAGATTACGGATTTTGAAGCGAGACCATGTACCTACTACACCTATTACAGTCTATGTTACAACCTATACGGATACCGATTATGAAATCCAGAAGACGGGCCGAAAGGCCCATAGTCTGGTTCTCTACTTATAGTCTTAGGGGCTAAAGGCTCAAACACAAGACTCGCGTGTAGTGCCCCAATTCTGTAAACTTCTCCATCAATGGGTCATGAGTGTCGATTGCACCTGCTGGCTTGCCCGTTTTGGGAGCAGAGTACTGGAGCACGGACCATTTACTCCTATTGACAAAGGTTTAAGAAGGAGATTCCTACGTAGAACTAAAAGTACAAGCGGTAGGGGTAGCGGCAGCCCCCTGATGAGAGCTTTTGCAAGCTTGAAACCGCTGCCCTCCGCTTTACTGGCCTCTCCCTCCCCTCATTGTCAACAGCACCCAACGTTCGGGGACGGTGGTCTGCAGCAAGTGCGAAAGAGGTGGTCTGCCTAGTAGTACATAGACTGAGTTCTGCGCTCGCCTCGTTCCTCAGCAGCGCAGAAGATAATTTTAGATCTAGGCATTCTCAAATTTTACGGTTTCCTATGTCACTGACTTGACCTGACCCACTACTACTAGCCACCTGTAGTATTGGCACACCACATTTTTATTTCGGATACGATGACCTGTTAATAATCATTGTTCGCTAACGGAAAAAAAGCCCCGCCAGAGAAACATAGGTTTGGTTGGGATGTCATTGGGTAGCGTGACCATACCGATCTGATCCCGACAGGCTCTATCTGCGTCCAGTGACAGGTCGGGTGCTCCGGGTGGCTGGATCCAGCAGCTCTAAGTAGTCGCTGCCAGACAATGTGGTTGTATTCCTTCTCCGTTCGGGGGTTCTCATGGATCGCGAATTGACTTCTCGGCGGTTGACTTCGCTGCTTTGTAAGATTCATGCAAGGGCCGCACGCTGGGTCTCCCATCAATGTCTCCATCCTCCAAGCCAGCGCCACTCCATTCTCTGGAGTCCGTGGCCTTTTGAAGGTCCCTCGACCGATTCTCAGGATTCAAACCTCTCAGGGTCCCTGAGTGAGTCCAGCACTGCGGGCCTGGCCGCCTGTCGCTTACAGTGATTCGTTCACGCTCGCCGTCATTCGTTACGCGACGCTCAGCCTCGCGCATCAGGCTCTCTTGCCCTTGGTTCAATTTGAACTCTTCAACCACACTAACCTTAGTTTTCCTGGCGGTCGTCACCGCCGGACCCATCGTTTTCGGGGTCAATCTCAGGCCCACTTGAAACACGGTGGGGTAAGTTTCCATGAAGCTGGCACGTCAGCCATAGAGACCTGCTCTATGACCATCTCCTCAGAGGGTCCCTATGGATACTCTCCTGGATTACATCGCGGCAGGGGTCATCTTGTACCGTCAATGGGGACTCATAACTGATAGGAGTGGCGGGAAGGGCGCCGGGAATGTATGGTGCAGAGCCGAGTTCCCGGTTGATGTTACTTGAGCGAAGGTCGTAACGAGAGGTAGACATGGTGGTTGGATTTCGTTGCCAGAGCGCAGCCTAGGTTTTCGAGTGGCGAGAAAGAAGCAACGTTTAGAGGTGAAAAAATATGTCGCAACAATTCGCAGTCGCGGGACTTCGAGGTGGCGACATACGGAAGAACAAGATAGACAGTCCACGCAAAGTTACCAGATGATAGCTTAGTTGCAAGAACGCCGGGTCTACAACATGTATCGTACTGGGGCTTTTGTAGGTTTTCTGTAAACAAGACACGTGGAATGGGGAAGATGTAATAAGGCGTGCTCAGCACAATGCGATTGATCGGCATCCTCAGCACAGCCAGGGGATAAGTAACCAGGGCGGGATTGCGATACGTGAATAGATAGGCATGTGATGGGTAGGAGATGGGTGTGATTCATTGATGGCGAAGCCAGTGTATAGGACGTGTCCGATGAAATAAGATATCCAGAATAATGGGGTCCCGTGCTGTCAGAGAAACAACCCGGTGGGAATGACTCCATAAAGTCCATAGTAATGAGAATATAGAGAATAGGGTAAGCACGAGAGTTCCTCGTATATAAAAAATATCAGCTTATGCACCAAGAAGCTCGGCTTCCCTTTGGGCAAAGTGTAGTACTTCAGCAGAAGATGGGCGGTTTTCTGGAACGGTCCAGCACCATTGAATAAACCACCAGTGAGGATCCGCGATACGAATATCAAGTGGTCGCGAGGGTTTATTTCCGTTCAATATTTCGATGGAAACCTTGGATCTACTTCTGACCTCATAATATGGTTCGCGGCCAGTGAGGATCTGGGATATTATCAACCAATGTGTACGACCTCATATGCCTAATGAACGAACCTGAAGCATTATGCCTCCAAGGGAATAGATATCACTCTTTGTCGTGGGCGCGCTCACGCTTTGGCTGTCAAAGCGTTCCGGAGCTGCCCATCTCACAGATGGGGGAATATGTTGTCCTCGGTACGCCCAAGTAAGTTCGTAATCTGCAAGATGCGCAACACCTTCGGCGTCAATTAGGACGTTATTCTACACACGTCATGATAAGACACAAAATTGCCAGCGAAAAAAGATAGACGACTCACTCCATGTAGATTGCCGTGGACGACATTCTTGTAGTGGACTACGTCGATATTTCAGAAACTCGAGTCAGGATGTACGTCAGAAGTAGAATGTAGTGCTTACGGTAGCAGAGTCCAGCTGCTATTTGCTTGATCTATTTTATTTTACTAAATCAGACTCTTTCAAGAACAGAAAGACTGGACGAGACTTGCCAGACAAAACCTTTGCGAAACACTTAGACTGCCAGAGTTGTCTTCGAGGTATGAGGTCAATGTCCCGCCAGGCATCCACTTGTATACAATTGATGGAAGCGGTCCGAATCCATCAGCGAATCCTATGGGTGTAAGAATGTTGTCATGTCGCAAAGACATCCAGGCATTTGCTCGAACCAATAACTCCTGGGAAGAGAATTGATGCGAGTTATCTAATCACATCAAGATGTTACCGACCTGGCTTTCAGATTTCCCCGTGTTGCTAAACATTTCTACCCTCAGCGACTTCACAACAACCTATTTTTTTTCATATATCAGGACATGGATGGGGTAGAGTGCCCAAGACAAACCTGTGTGGGCGTGGTACCAATAGAACATGTAGCTCGATATACATTTGCTGATCTTCCGCCAATCCATTGTGCCTTTCGAATCCTCGAAGTGAGGTTGTGCATGGAATATGGTGTCGCATTTCTTGACAAAATTCAGTGAGTGATCCGTAGGATGGAGACGGCGATTACTTACGAATGATCATTCCTTTTCGACCTAATACTCGTTAAGCGTTGCCAGACATGTACAACAAAGTGAAACGGCATCTGAAGGTCAGGTAGACCCTAGCCAGAGAATTAGCAGAAGACGATGAATCGTCACCTTGCAAGCAAGGCGATATGGCAAGGTCATGTAATCTGAATCATTGCTGCATGAATAAATACAACCAAATACAACATAACATGTCTAGGACTTCCCTGACTACAAAGTTATAGTGGGGGAGGCGTTGAACGTTAACGTTAGGGGCCTCGAGGATTTAAACGTGCCCCCACGTGCGAAAACTGGCAGCCAAAGCTATTATACTTGGTGTGCTTATTGATTGTAACCTAACACTAGGCCAGTAAGTGGAAACATGCGACCATTGAGTTCGGTATGTACAAGTAGCAGGTGCTTGCGTTGCGGCAAGACTTTAGCGGTGGGGACGGTCTCGTTCTCGACGTGGTCTGGCGGAGTTTTAAAACGCAAAAACGCTGATGCCACACACACCAATGCCACACCTCATTGGTAGGTGGTTTTGGCGCTTCCTTATCTCGTTCCCATCGATTCAATCCCGACAGTCTGAGACTCTGGCTTTGTGACCCGCGACATCGGGGAGGTGCATAACTATGTTCCATCTCTTTTGTCTGAAGGTAGGCTACATACAAGCTGACACATCGAACATTGCTAATCATGACTTCGTTGTTCCATCAGACTGGCGGGGTTGCTGGACTGCAAGGACTATGGCATTTTCTGTAAAAGTTCATTTTGTCATATTGGTCGGTCACTCTCAAGGAGGTATTGAATAGGTCCGACGTGATTCAGGACAAATCGACGAAATTTCCTCGGACGTGTATCTTCATACATGATAATTTCCCTCATTCTATTGGAGATATAAGTGATGTCTACCGGTGTACCATGGTTTCAAAGTCCTATGGAAAAATAGAGGTAGCTTGACCTTCTTTCATGCGTCATCGCCAATGAAGTTCGTAACAGGTGGCCGTCAAATCCTTGAGGATCCTTGATTCGAGTGAAGACGCGATAAAGGCATTGCGCAAGGTACATATTGACAGGTCACTCGATATTCGTGCTAATGATGTATCAGAGGATCTATCGCGAAGTGCGTGCGTGGGCAACGTTGCACCATAAGAATATACTTCGCTTCTTTGGGACGACCTCAGGATTCGGACCGCTCCCCGCGTTCGTAACCCCTTGGATGGAGCATGGGTCATTAACAAACTATCTGTCTCTCGAGTTCTTCAATCTGTCGAGTAGAGACAAGTTCCTACTTGTGCGTCCTACTGCTAAATAATTACAGCTGATCACCTTGACAACGATTCCCTATAGCTCGAACAAATTGTGACAGCTATCCAGTACCGTTTGTGCTGGTTCATATTTTTTCATAAGCAGTCTTGACCATTCCCATAGTTCATGACAAACATATCATTCATGGGAACCTCACCGCGGTGAGCCTGTAGTTATGTGGGCGTGTCTGACAAGCTAAATGAGTACAGCACAACGTATTGATCGATTCCAGGGGAAACGCATACGTGACGGACTTCGGACTGTCGATGCTCCTTGCAGAATGTGATGGCTTGTCATTTGAAGCCTACCAACCAGGCTCCATACGCTGGGTTGCGCCTGAATTGATAAATCTTGCAGAAGAAGAAGTTGAAAAACCCACCACCTGCTCCGACGTTTACTCGTTCGGTTCTGTAGCACTTCAGGTATGCCTCTTCTTACTTTACCCTGCAGTAATTCCGTTTTGAGTTGCAATTCAGGTGCTATCCGGAAAACTCCCTTATCACTGGCTCGAAGACCCGCTTCATATCATGGCTGCTAGATACAAGGGTACGCACCCGATGGAAGCAGACAGCTCGGTTGATAGGCAACACATACCCTTTCTTCAAGGATGCTGGTCAAAGCCGTCTGATAGACCGACGATTGATCACGTTCTGGGTTACGTTCGAAGTGCGCTACCACCGTAGCGTAAGTGGTATGCATAGTCACCGCACTGATGGTGCAGGATTCTCTCAGTATTTATTTAACACACTATTTTGAAACTACGTATCATATTTACCGCCGTACCGTTGAGTACTATATATTCTCTCGATACCCTCTGTAACCAAATCTTCAATCAACCCGTGCTCAAATGTTTGAATTCAAACTGATGCTCACTGATCAAAACTCATCTCTCTTGACTCGTTTCTTCTTCTCAAGCAAAACGACGTTAGACACCCCTCCCTCTTTCTTCAAAAAATCCAGGACAGCCCCAGCTCGTTCTTTATCCTCCAGTCTATATACGTGTTCGTTTGACATCAAGCCGGGGCCCACAGCTTGGACGTGGGTGAGGCCTTGCAGCTCGGGATATGCGCTCGGGAGCATTGCGGGATCAGCGAAGAAAGGTGATGTATTGGATAATGTCAAAGCCAAATCGACGGGCATTGTGTGCGCTTGGTTGATTGACATGATGTTGTAAGGAGACAACCGCAAGCTTCAAGGTTATCTAGGGGCATCGCATAAGTACCCTGTGCATCGATAGAGACCGACGACAACCTAGACGTCGTTGTCTCCGAGTAAAGCTTGCCGGTTCAATGTGTTGTATCACCGCACCCAACTAGACTGCACTGATATGGTGCCAAACAGGATTCAGATGCACTAATGCATCTCCGTCTCCAAGAACAGTATGTTATAACCACTTTAACTTGCCGCTGTCGGATTTCGCTCTCCTATCGTCTTACCCTTCACGATCGACTGTTTGAACGTTTATAAACGATAAAATATGAGGAATACTTGTCTATCAAGTCTGATGGTGTCTCTCGCTTCGCAAGGTGTTTGTCGGCAGCACCCAACCCAACTTGAAGCTTGAAATACCGTGTACAACTACATGGAAACAACCAAAAATAAAGCGATATGAAAGCGAGCAAAGGCCAGAGAACAAAAATCCCCAAACTGTCCTGTTCGAGTCCAGGGATTATCACAAGTGTGCTTTACTCCGCAGCCCGTACTTTCTCTCCAGGAAAGCTGATATTTCTCGGGCTGGAGGGAAACCATCAGGATGACATGAACAAAAGATAAAGTATCACTTACCAAGCTCCTCTGGCGATTCTTGTGGAATCTGAACAACAGCCAGGTCAGTCAGACTTTTCACCAGGAAGCGAATCATGGGCTTACCAGATGCCCAGCAGAGTGAATCACTACATTAGACGAATTCGCAGGCCTTCGCCACACTCGGATCCTCGTGGCTTCTTCGCCCTTGAACCTAAAATGAAAGTGAGTGGAGCTGATATTATCACCGGGAATACCGCACCCTTTGTCTTCAGGCTTCCCTGGAACAACCCAATGTAATTCAATTCGCTCGTCTACCTTTTCCAGTAGCTCCCATGCTTCAAACGATCCTATACGACCTGCGAACACCAAAGCCTCATGCAGACTTGACATCTTCAGCTTCACGCCCCCGCGTGAATCCTCGCAGAGGCCATATGCAACATACAGCCGTAGAGCATCGGGATGCCAACCTGCGAAGAATGGAGACGTCTTGAGTGAGCGTAACGCCTCCTCACTAATGACTCCGGACTTAGACGCTTAGAAGTCACTACCACAATATAACGACTCACCGTGACGGCCAGCGGTCGCGCCTGGCAAGGGTGACGTATAGTCTAACCGTATTGGGGGGACCGTTGTGATTTTGGACAATTATTGGATCGACGAGAACCATGGAGGAGAATAAAGCAGGGAAATTGACAGCCGCTGGTATCCTGCATTGAAGTTGAAAACTGGATCAGAGTATTAACGCTGGCAATGATAACATACAAACAGCAGCCCCCGAATGAGTGCCCGACAGAAACCAGGGATCGGGATGAAAATCCTTTTGTCTTCCGGTATTCACTGATAGTCTCCGGCAGAAGATCTAGGTGAGTGGGTAAAGCCTTCGACGATGCATCTTCCGGTAAGTAGTGTAGCAAGAAGTGTACAATATCCCGCGTGCTGTCTAGCCAATCATCTAGTAACAAAGGTTCAACTTAGCCCCTTGTTATAGATAATAGCGAGGTGCCTCACATATGCCACCGAGATTTGCCTCGTTGACTAGTGCAGCATCACCATGCTGAACAGCCTCCCAAGACCACACCTCGTCAATCAGTGAGGCTGAGGGTGATGATAATAAATATCGCAGGGTTGTTTCCCATGTCTATATGATATTTAGTAGATGTTCTCGGCTATGATGTGTTGAATAGGTGTACCTCCTTGGGCAAACCGGTCGCATGAGTAAGGAACAACGTCAATCCCTTCCTCCCATCTTGAACTCTCTTCGCATATCGGTTAACGCAGTTCCATAAAGGTTTCTCGCTTCCCTCTCCACTTAACCTCCCATGCTCGAAGCGGTCTTGTCGCTCAGCAAATTCGGCAGCAAGCTGCTTGAGCTCTCGCTTCCGATCTGAGGCGTTTGTCGAGAATTTTGGGACTACAGGCAATGGGATGTCCGGAGCTAGTCTTGGGCAAGCAGCAGGCACGAGGTGGGTGCTAACAACATAATTGTCGTTGAACAGCTCGTTCCGAGGAGGGGACGGTAACGAAGGTTTTTCTAAGACTTCACCTCGCGTGAGCAATGGCGGGAGTGGCCTAGGGTTCACTGTCGTCCACTGGGGAGTCGGTTCAAAAGGATACGTGGAAGTCATGCTGGCGGTCATCGTCACTTTCGAGGGAAGAAGCAGCTTTTAAAGGTTGGTCATGCCAAGTCAACATGACCGCTCCCCGGTATTCGGGTTAATAGAATCACCCAACCAATGAGTCAATAACAAGTATCAGGTACCCTGTTACCTACGTATCAGAGAGCGTTCCGAAATACTTCGACTCCCAAATATCGAGAAGGAAAAGATATACATCTGAAAAACCACTGAAATGAACGCTTACGACTTCAGTAGCACACTCAAGCGATTGGTGGAGATGCTGAACATATGACCAAAAATGTGTGCTTACGAACGCAAACTTGAACTAAACCAAAAAGAATATACACACGAGCGTTTTGTGGGTGCTTTCGAACAAAGTCGCATTTGCTGATGCCTAGAGTACATCTCTGCAAGGGACATAAATTTAATGAAAGCTCACGCTTCATTATCTCGGACAGTATTTATGTTGATTATGGGAGCTCAGGTACGCCAACGGGCTTACACCCAGCCTTCGAAGCTTCACGGTGGAGCGGGGCTCGCCCACGAGTGTCCGGGGTCCCAGCGGTGTTCCGAGGTTGTAGCCATCAGGACTTAATTAAGGATTGAAGCTGCGTGCTCGCTCGAACAGTTATAGAGTGATTGGAGGTTCCGCACTCACGTTATGATAGAAGAATGGAGAGAATGAGAGAGTAGTATAGAACTTACATGGGTCATGTAAGCACTTTAAAGCTGCACTGCAGCACGACGAAACTGCGAAGGAGACTAATTAGGTCAGCTGATATCGCTGGCTAGTGGCCTGAAACGGAAGCATTCTAGTCGGGTTAAGCTAGAAAAGGGTTCAATATTAGATTAAAATCCTTTAAGGTTTATAAGAGGGTGCAAAATTATGTTGAGTTGCCGATGTGGAGCAAATTACGGCCGGCATCGCGGCACACCAGGTTCCACCTTCCTAAAGTAATCCGATTATTTCGGACCTACGGGAAGTCATCCATTTGGTTCTGCTGCCGCTTGACGTTTATCGTACGAGTTATACCCGATTTTACTGAGATGAACGCTTCTCCGTATTACGGATGCTCATGATAGCAATGATGGAGAGATGTGATTGGTGGGTTTAATTAATGCGATCATCACGTAGATTTGATCGGAACTAGTGTTGCCGCCGAAGTGAAGTGACTTCGAGGTAAATTCGCTTCACTTCGAAAACGTGAGACTTTGGTTGACTTCGTTGTTCCGAAGTTGGTCGAAGCGGCACTTCGTCCACTTCGAGAGGTGAATCGAAGTTACCACATAGATTACTTAATCATTATCACTGCACGTCTAAAGCCCTGTAGTATGTGCTTCCTGTCTATCATATTTCAATCATAAAACATCACTGTATTTCCTAAGTATAAGCCTCTCGTACACTGGCATGATCTCGAACATTCAAATCGGTTCTGCGATTGAATTGAATTTGTGAGAAAGGCTACCAACAACATCTTCACTACTCCCCCGGTCCACAATGTACCATCCAACAACAGGCTTTCTTCCTAGTAGCCTGCTCGCAGTTTCCTTCAGTACTTGCCTGCAACTGAGGCCCACAAGCTCTGACAGTCCTGCACAGCTTGTTTCACCATTAGTGACACCAAACAGTTCTTTCGAGACTTTGCGAAACTTCTCTCCACCTTTGCCTGCACCTCCTAGTAACCAATATGCCCAGTATATGATGCCAATGCAGCATGTTGGGCTGCTACAGCAGATGTGGGGCCCTGCACAGCCTGCCACTTCGACTCCACCTATCTTAATGTCGCAGCAAGACACAGGTACTATCCTGCGAGACTCGACTGCTCCTGTCGTTAACAGCGGGAACGATGGCAAAAAAGGGTGGCCGCAAACGTAAAACACCTGTTGAGGATATGGGTGGTCAAACCAACACTCGGAAGCAGAGCAACAAGAAGAGAAAGACGAACTGCAGGTGCTGGCAGCGCAGCCACCTGAAGCTGCAGCTGTTTGCGGTGTTGGTCCAGTCTCCAATCCTGCACCTGCCTGCAGCCTCACCAGCAGATGGAGTCCCTCCACATGGTAACACTAACGAAGGTGGATCTCACCGTCCGCGGGAGTCGAGAGCAGTTGCTGACTGATGTTTGGTACTTTTTGTGGGCTTTGAATGACAAGGAGAGGCCAGATAAGATGCCGGAAAATCAACCCTGATTGACAGCAAAACCGAACTGCAAATATGTGGCATGTCGTCTTTGTGGGTGAGTCCTACATACATTCCTTCGGTTATCAAAATTTTCAAACATCGTTGGGCAGCGATGACGAGAAAAACCCACGATGGAAGGTGTGGCAGCTTAGAGATGGGATGACCTCATGCTACCGTGAGCACTTCGACAGCCAGCATCACCAGCTTTGGAAGCAAATTTGCAAGAACATGTCACTTAAAACCAGGCACCGCGCACACCATTCTATAGGCGGAGACCAACGGGTCTTCTCGGTAGATATGTTCCATCACTTGTTGATGTGTTGGGTGGCTGTTGATGATCAGGTGTGTTTACGAGTTGACTTGAACATGTATACTGATCTTACAAGTTTTTTTGTGTGCAGAGCTTCAATGTTTTAGAATGTCCAGAGTTTCGGGAGCTTCTCCTGTACCTCGGTGATGGGAAAATTGATGACACCGAACTTCCTCACCGCATGAAAATAACGCAGATGGTCTTGGATGAATACCGCAGGGAATGCAACAGGGCAAAAGATGATATAAAGGTACTGTATCATGACTATTTTGATCCAGTTTGCCATTAATTATTTTTACCACTTATATAGAATGCACTGGGACGCATCTCGATGACCACGGACCTGTGGAGTGACCTGAATCGTGATAGTTACATGGCAGTGACTGCCCACTTTATGACACGGGATGGGAAGGACAGACTCAAGTACAAGACTCGCCTTGTTGCTTTTCGGTATATCGGGGGTTCTCATAGTGGTGCTAATCTCGGTCAAGAGTTTTTGAAAATAATGGATGAACTTGAGGTCACGATCAAGGTAAATTTAATGACTCGTAATTTGTCATATCAAATGAATTCAAACTCAACTCTAGTTTGGCCAGATTACTATGGACAACGCATCCAACAATGATACATTTATGTTGGAGCTCGAGATGGAGCTGGATAAGAGGGGTATTCCCTTTGACCACGCTGGCAATCGTTTACGGTAAATCTGTTGCTTATTTTTGGCAGCGGTGAGCTAAATCATCACGATCCTTGGATTCAACAGATGTTTTCCTGTTATGATCAGCGTTCACCAAATGGTAAAGGCCTAACACAACCACTAGGACTCGTCTAGGATAAGAGCAAAGAGATGTTATTGAGAGTGAACGTCTGAGTCTACACTGGGTAGGAACGAAGAGGTTAAGTCTAAGGAGTACTACTGACTACAACCTAAACTATATACTACTCTCTAAGCGGAGATATCTGAGTATGAAAGGTAGTGATATATCTATATAAGATCATAACATTGCGCCTAGGGTTCAGGGTGTCTTATCAACCAATCAACTACAAGAAAGGGTCCATAGGGGTTAGGGGTATCGGTGATTAAGCAGGGTTCTCAGGGACTGCTTCTATTCAGGGTAAGCGGAGATTAAGAAGGGTGAGAGAGTTCTGTGACAAGAAGTCTCGAGCGGTGATTAAGGATCTCGATAAGAGATAGGATCTGGAGATGTATCGGGTGCGATCAGATCTAAGGGTTTCTCCAGGGTCTTCGGTAATGAGCATGCTTCTCTATGAGTGGCGCTTCTGTGATAGGGTTCAAGGGTTTAGCTGTGACTGTGCAACAGGTTCTTATGTAAGGGATTTGGTGAATGACAGAGGTAACTCTTAACATGTCATGTGTGGGAAGTGAAGGTCTGCAATGTGAAAGGGTGATGACTCTTCGAGAGATAGCTTTGTAAAGGACTCTCGGTTATGGTTCGATCATAGAGGTGTGTAGATGCTTATGATGTAACCTGTTGCCTAATCGTAGGACTTCTAAGGATATGATGAGTTCGTATGTCTAGGGTTACAGATATAGATGGATGACGTCGATGTAGTATAGATGTGATGTTTAAAGATAGTGATCGTTAATCAGTTATCCATCTTATCTTATCAGGGATCTTATCTAATCTAATCTTATCGGATAGGTGACTTAGGTTCGATAATCGAAATTTAGATGCAGTTGGTAACATTCATGACATTTCCTCACGTCGTGAACCTCACAGTGCAGGCAATTCTGAAAGAATTGAAGGACAATCCTATTGGACCTGTGTTGGAAGCACCTGCCAGTCTTTCCACCTCGACGGACCTTCACGCTTATGCTAACAGCTTGTCGAATGAACCTGTCGGACAATGTCGTGACATTGTTAATTCTTGCAGGCACTCAGGGCAGCGACGGCGGTGGCTTCAAGCAGTCATCGAACAAGGGAACAACAATGGATATTGGAAGGGTAAGCTTCCTGATGGCAAGGAGAAATTGCCTGTGCTTCGCCTTTTGCGAGATTGCTCAACTCGCTGGTCATCAACATTCAAAATGATTGATCGTGTTCTCACGTTGCATCCAGTAACGTGTTTTTTTTTACCTCTAACTCTTCATTTGACATTTACTTCTTTCAATAGGCTATCCAGTCGTTCCTGCAAGAAATCCAAAATGCCGACATTGCCCACCTTTCCATGGACTCAAAAGATATTGATGTCCTCTGCGATATTCATCAAATTATCGAAGTCCCTCATGCAGCTCAAGAGCTACTTGCAAGCGAGCGTACTCCGACCTTGTCAATGGCCCTTCCTGCATACGAACTCCTGCTAACAAAATGGACCGAACTGAAGGGAACCATTTGGGAACTTGCCCATTATATTGGAATTGGCCTCGACAAGCTCACTAACTACATTCATCAAGGCAGGAAAACACGAATCTATGCACTAGCAATGAGTGAGTTTAAGATTATTTTCACGTTTGAAATTTTACTGAACTTCAGATAGTAATCAACCCGAGCTTGAAACTTGAATGGATGAAGGCCCACTGGGGTGAGAATGATGTGAGAAGAGCATGGGAATGGGCATTAGAAGCAGCATGTTAAATTTCATTGTCATTTTTCAGTAGGGCTAATGTTTGGTTTACAGATGACATCATACCGCACAGCGGTGCGCTTGGAACGGGATACAGTGCCTACACCATGCATATCAGCATCACAGCTTCCTTACTCCACTGATTCTACATCTGTGGCTGCGTGGTCGTTAATGGCAGGATTTGGGCGCTTGACAAAGATCAATACCAGTGTTCGGCGTTCGACAACCTCGTCATTAACCACCACTCTCACTGCACCACCTCCAAGTTCTTCCATGTCATTTGACCAGTCACTTCCAACACTCACGCTAGGAAGAGCAAGTGCAACGAGATTTAGAGGAAGACCAGAAAGATGCCGAGCAAGAAATGCAGTGCTATGAAGAAGCTGCGCTTCTTGATTCCACGGCTGAATGCATAGCCAATATTGTTCGTTTTTGGGAGGTACACACATTTTTTTCAATCATTCATCAAATTAACTTGAACATAATATTTTGTAGCAAAAAGAACATATATTTCCACTGCTTTTCCGCGTCGCAATGGACGTCCTTCCCGCGCAGGCTTCGTCGGTCCCTTCCGAACGAGTTTTCTCGTCCAGCAAAGAGACATGCACAGATCGGTGTGCTAACCTCTCACCAACTGTTCTCGAAGCTCTACAAGTACTCAAGTTCTCTTACAAGCAAGACCGGCTGAACTTCACATCCCATCTCATTGCGGAGGAAGTAGATTATTCTATTTCAGGGCCAGTATCTAGGAATGCCATAGATGAACTCATGGCAGCAGGCAAGCTTGATGAACTTGCTCAGCTGCTTGCAAACGAAAACGAGGACCACTTTTCGACTTAGATTATGTTGTAGCTACATTCATCAGTAAATCACGAGTTGTCTTTTAAACCACTTATATCCCACTTTTTGCGCTACATATTGAAGGAAGCAGCACGAAGTCAAAAAAGTAGAACCTACTTTTTTCCGTAGATCTCGTTACTCATATCCCGCTCATTCTCAGCTTTTTCGCACTTATTTTTTTGGGATGCGTTGAAAAAAGAACAATAGTGGGCATTAAAAGTTGACTAGATCAAAAAAAAGGTAGTCCAGGAGTGTGAAACAGTGGTCCAGAAGAATGAATAAAGTCCTCCAAAAGTGTGTATATTAGTAGATATAAACAACAGCTTGAATTGGGGCAGGGGTGTATGGCGTGTAGTGTATCAGTGTCTGGTAAGCGCAGAGAGCATAGGATAGTGCACGAAGACAAACATAGCCAATATTCTGCCGGTGTCGGATGTGTCAATAGTAGAGTACACAACGAGAAAAAAATACATACAAAGCAGGGTGCACCCACCCTTGGGTTTCAGCTCCTCAGCGGGAGCGTTCTTGAGCTTTTGGGCTGCTTCACAGCGCTGGTGCACCAAGGCAATGACGTCCATTGTATACTTCAGCCCCCGCCTCTTGATGGACTCGTAGTATTCCATCGTCGCCAATCCACAGTTGGCCTCCGAAAATGCTGGAAGGCCAGTGCTATCTTTGCCGCTGGATTTATTGCGCTTGATGGGGGCTTTGCGAGCCTTGCTGGTATTACCCTTTGCACTGCTAGTGCCTATGCTTTGGCCATCGAAAAGAGCCTTGGGCTTTGTGACAAAGTTGAAAGCACGTTCAAGCTATGAAAATGAATGGTTAATTTAAGTTAGAATATTTAGACGGGACCTACCGAGGCGGCACATGCAGCGATTACAGCCTGCATGCCCTTCAATTGCAGATCGTCTGTGTTGAGCGCAGGTACATCAAGGAAACCAGAAATCGGATTAATGTGACAACCGTCGATCATTTCCAACATAAATGCAGACCGGTAGATCTGGTTTGGGTCACGAGCCTCCGGATCTTCATAAAGGAAGGCCCACTCCTCAAGGAGGCTCGCTGCCAGTGTTTGCTCAAAGTCGGCGTCGTCGTCATCTTCATCCTCATCGTCTTTGGAGGTAGCCAGAAAATTTGCAACGAGGGCCACGGACGTGGATCCAAAATTACTGCGCCAGGAGCTAATGCGCTGATTGACCTTTTGTTGGAGATGACTTGCGGTTAGAGATATTTTCAAGGTGGATATAGAAGCAAGACTTACCAGACCGATAATGGGGCCTTTTGGTTGGACGTTATGATGAGTTCCTGGATAAGCGACATCGAAAATGGCCTGGGAAAAAATGCGCCCAGACCATTCCCACACTAGCCGACGAGCTCGTCATTCCGGACTTAGCTGATCTCGTTCAGGATTTCCTGATCGACCCCACACAAGTCCCCGAAAATATTATGGACCGCCCTCGTTACGAAGGACGGATATGAGTATATAATTCCGCGGTGTCGACATTCTTTGCACCGAGCGACTTAAGTGGCATTGGCGGGATGAAACGCGAGTACATTCGCGTGTCCCCCAATTGGAGACAAGGGTACGCACGCAAAGACTGCGTGTTTGTTATTACTGACCCAAATGCTCATGGAATGCTGGGTATGGATGTTGCCCAGGTACTTACCTTTTTTTCTTTTCGGCTCAGAGATAGATATTATCCATGCGCAGTCGTCCACTGGTTCAATCGAGTCGGCGACACACCAGACGACAAGACTGGCTTGTGGATGGTGGAGCCATCCTCTATCGAGAATCGCGCACACTTTGCGGTGATTCACGTCGAGTCGATTTTTCGTTCTGCACATCTTATTCCTGTGTACGGTACTGAACCACTCCCCTCGGTCATCAAATTTCACCACACCCTCGATATATTCACCCTCTTCTATGTGAACAATCATCATGCGTTCGAAATCGCTTCTTAATATGTCACTTTTTCTATGTCACTTAGCTTTATTTTATGGCGCATACTGTTTTCCAACTTCTCACTTTTTTCTCACTTTTCTATATTCAATCACACAAAGTTTGCGAGTCCAAAAGATAAGTGTGAAAAGGGGACAAAAAGCAAATGGTCTCTTATTAAATTGTAGAAAAAGGCTGAAAAGTGAACTCGTGATTTACTGATGTTAGATTACTAATCTGTTCTACTTGCTTGTGACTTCGCGAAGTGTAACGAAGCGCACTTCGAATAACTTCGTTGACATCGAAGTCTACCGAAGTGTCTCAATTTTCCACTTCGATTCACTTCAGTTTTCTTCGCGGCAACACTAGAACCAGGCAGTGAATCAAGAAAAACAATTGAAAAAAAGGCCACTCATTTTTGAAAAGAAGTGAAAACCATCGAAAAGTCCAAAAAAGTCTGATTAAGTAAGTCGAGGTTTTACTGATGCCTGTATCGGGTCTGTCAGCTGCTTGCACAATTATGCAGAAAATTATGCGATCCTAGCAAGTACTGCCTCGTCTTTGCTGATACGGTCACAGACTCACGAGAGGCCGTTCCGAAAGGACAGTCAAACGTCCTACAGCTTATTGGGACCCGGGTCGAGGAAGAAATTTCCTTCGACTGACTCCCCAACCGTAACCTACCCCGCTGGTTAGTGGTAGCATATCCCAAAGAGCAATCGATCTCGGCGGGGTAGCCCCCTGATGAGAGCTTTCGTATGCTCGGAACCGCTGCCATCCCACTTCTCTGTTATCTAGCCTCCCTCTGGCCCTAGTTACCAGCACTCGCCGACTCTCGGGGACAGTGGACTGCAACAGACGCTAAGGAGTTCCATGCCCGATGGCGCTCATCCGCAGGGTTCTTCGTACGATAGCATGATGGAACATCAATCTGATTGCATGATAAAGAACTAAATACAGCCAAGAGTGTAATACACTACGCATTAGAGCTCTGCATGGAAGAGGTATTAATAAGTTCGAGAAGTGTGAGATACCGGATTTCAGCAGGCAGGAAAGCGGGAAGCAGGAATGAAGGGGGCGGGAGGCGTCCAAGAGAGGTGTTGCCACAGGAATTGCGCCCACCGAAGCTGGTTCTCATAGACTGTGGGTAGTGGAAGAGCGCATTGGGCCAAAGCGCAAAGTAATCATGCGAGCAGCGGCCGGCTCTTTGGCCGTTTCGAGGTCCGGGGCGGGAAGGTATCAGTGGCGACGTGGCCAAGGCCAGGGATGTCATAACTGGATGGCGTTGCTGGCGGTGAGGTTTTGAGTGGGTAGGCACTTGGCAAACCTTGCGGCCGTTGTCGACAGAGGGAGTGGTACAAACGGGCGGGTGTGGGCAGAAGAGAACAGCTACGAACGTGGCGAGGAAGGCGCAAAGTGAGCCGTGCGCGAGGGAAGCAAACTTGGACAATTATCATGACCTGGAAATACTCTTGCCAAGCGGTGATTCAGAGGTCTTCAAGTGAGGAGTGACCTATTACTTCGGTTCCCAAATCTAAGGGATATGCCAAATGCAAAGAACAAATTACGTACCAGGCCAGGCCAGGCCAGTCACCTGCCGCAAGGGTGATACCATGGGAGAGAGACTGCTGGATCTGTATTGTTAGATTTAACGTTACTGCTGACACCGGTCGTCCATCAGAAATACCAGAAACCAGACGTCTTCCCAAGTCCATACCATAACATCGATATTTATGGGATGAACCGACAGTGTAGATTCGCCTGGTTTGTTTGTTTGAGATCGACAAGGAAAAATCACGGTCATATCAGAGCGCGGTATTTATGAATGACCTTCGCATACGTATATGTACGACATCCGTGGATACCGCGCTCCAGGCTCTGCTCTCAGAAGCAAGTACTTGGAGTCAAATCAGAATGTTATTCAGAGTACCCCATCAGCTCGGGTATGATATACAATGAACCACTTAGGTGAAACACAATCCAGAGTTATATATTCCGCTGAAAACCGAAGCCATTTCTTACGGAGACAGGTCAATATAATCAACAACAACAACCTCAGTGATTTTGAGTGGGCCCACCTTCACACAGACTCGCTTGCAGAACTAAACTGCCGACGGAGTAGACTCGTGGTCGGGCTCGTCCAGCCAGTAATGCTTCGCATATGAGACGAAGGTGGCGACAATGAGATCAATGACATTGATTCCAGCGGGGAATATTTCGAGGAAAGCTCGTCTTGATCGTGATATGATACCGAGTTTTGCATGTCTATATCGTGCTAGAGGAACGAGTGCATTGCCGGATACGAAAAGCTGGGTTTATGGTCAGAGGTAGCACAGAGTTCGGGTTATCAATGACTTACGACTGGAGAACGAAACAAAATTTGCCATGTGTAAGACTTATCATCTGGTCCACTAAAGGTCCAGGGTAACCAGGGTCTTGGCTATCTCAAACTAAAGTCGATGCATTAAAGCTGGTGCCTTACCTATTGACATTTTCGGTATCTTCTGCCCCCGATACCATCACAACTTCTATCGGACTCTCGCTATCGAGTAACCTCAACCGGCCACTATCGATTTCACCAACGACACAAGACACCCGCCCCGTGTGCAGCAGCTGGGGATGATTTTCGAAACGGCTTATCGTGATAGTCTGTCCCAGTGTCGTGTTGACCTGGTACATGACTATGCCGTCCGGGGTCATGAGCAACGTGTGTGTGGGGTCATTGTATCGTAGGCAGAGTTCCATGAGGTGATTATGGGTAGGAGATGGGCTATCACTTAGGCAGTGGTTTAAAAATGATCGCCCTCTGCCTTAAGAGGACCCAGGAATCAGGAGTGGGATCCTTGCGAGAAGGTAGTGGTGGGCTAGCCCCCAAGACCCATCAATGGGCGCTTGTACGTACTCCACGATCATATGACAAGCTCATGCTTTGTCAGGATAACAAGTAATATAATCTAGTCAAGCCTTCGTATCCGTCAGAGAGTAGTATAATCCAGAGTCATCGATGAGCGATAGCAGAACCAGTGGTCTAGAGGGATTCAGGGAACGACTAGGTCTTCTTCTTTGAATGTCTGACATACTACAGGTAGACGAACTAGCAGGAAAGTTGAAGAAAGCTGACATAATCATACCCGCACAACCTTCCTGATTTAGGACGTGTTCTCCTCGAGGTTCGAACTGTTCTGCTAAGTAGAACAACAATAATCTACCCCACGTCTCATGCATATATACCCTTAGACTCCAGTTCGCAATGCTTAATTTACTGCCTACTACTCTTCGCTTCTTACTTGGCTCACTACTTTGGCTCGACGTCCCTCAGCCACCCGCTGTTCAGCAAGCACACTCTTCGTTGTCCTTCCAGCTGCGGCACCAGCATGCTATAACTAATGATTCCCGGGTGATCTTCTCCAACACAATTCCCTCATTTGCCGCAGATCCATATACCGTGAGCACCTCGAATGTCCAAACACACAGGCCGCAATCGGCGAAGGCATTTCATGGCGCCCGACTGCGGTCTATTAGACATGATCAGAGCGAGCACGTGTTGTGGGACACAAACGACGTCCTTGGGCCGAACATCGAAGATAGAGAGGCACTGCTCACACTTGCGAAGATGACCTCTAATGCATACACAACATCTACTGCATCAGACTGGTACACACTGGAAGGCTGGAATAATGTATGTTTATCTTAGGTGATACAGATTTACATTTTGTTCACGAATGACAGTCCACGCCGTTTGGTTGGGAACCTGACGCAGATGGACTTCGAGGGCATGTCTTTGTCTCGGACGACAACTCGACAGTGGTGCTTTCGATTAAGGGCACTTCCGCTGGCTGGATTACGGGTGGTGGTGGCCCAACCGTACGGAAGGATAAATTAAACGATAACCTTCTGTTTTCTTGCTGTTGTGCAAGAGTTGGTCCAACTTGGTCGACAGTTTGTAATTGCTATCAGGGTAGTCGTAGGTGTGACCAAGAATGTCTGGAGAAAAGTTTGATCGGGGAGAGCTTATATTATTCTGTTGGAGTGGTATGTACATCTTCAAAATATCGAGTTCCAGCCTGATTTTCTTCCAGAATTTATATAATAACATCACGTATATGTATCCCAAAGCCAATATCTGGCTCACAGGTGCGGTTTAGCGTTGTCTTTCGATTGCTTCTCATTCTCAGCAAAAGGGCATTCTCTGGGTGGCTCCCTCGCCTCACTTATTGGTGTGACTTTTGGAGCACCCGTCGTTGCATTTGAGGCTCCCTCCGAGAAATTAGCTGCGACACGTTTGCACCTGCCTTCTCCTGTGAGTCGAAGTCTCCATCATTTTCACTTTCACATACTGATCCCGTGGATGAATTGCAGCCCTCGACTCAGCACGTCACGCACGTCTTCCACACAGCTGATCCTATCCCAATGGGCGTCTGCACCGGTGTTACATCGTCATGTGGCATCGCGGGTTATGCCATGGAGACGCAGTGCCATTTGGGCAAGGTTATACGCTACGATACCGTCGCTCACCTCGGGTGGTCTGTTGACGTGCGGACACACTCGATTGTTCAAATCATTGACAGGTTGTTGGGTGAGGATTGGACTCAGGAGGAGGGTAGGACGGTGCCTGAGGCAAAGGCGGACGAGGATTGTGTTGTAAGTCGTGTTTACATCTTGTGTCCTACTCCAGCGTTTACTGGAGTGCTAGGATTGCTACGACTGGGAGTTTGGAAGCTTCAAGGGCTAGAGCTAATTTCAGTACAGGAAGCTACGACATGAGAGAAACTTTCACATACGACGAATAACTATTTTTTTTTGGCCTGAACAATTGCCATCAGCACCCTCACCGGACAGGGGACTTTGTGCGTTCAATATCAAACCTGAAAGACCCCGCTGCACATGCACTGTAACTCTATCGCCCCATCCTCTTATTGTCGGCAGGCTTCTTTGGAGCGGATTCTCTTTGCCTCCGGGATTACGGGAATCGAGTAACGTCCGAGTGATGATAGGTAAATGAAACTTAGATAGAGCTGGACTGGTTGCACAATTTTCCGAATAATTTTGCAATCAGCTATAGGAGCATTTCAAAGCTGATTCAGAGCAGTATTGATTTCACTGAAAGTAGTACTAGTTTCTGCCACTGTCAGAGTACTGTAGTTTGAATCAGAACGTCGAGCCAGAAATTGCAGAATGCTCAGAATTTAACTTTGTACGTAACAAACATACATCCGGTGACCAGTTCAAGTTGCAGTTCCGATCAAACAGGCTACATACTAGTACATAGTACGCGATGATCACACTAATCCACCAATCATATCCCTCCATCATTGCTACGGTGAGCGTTCGTAACAGAAGCGTTTGATACAGCATTTTGGCAGATTGGCACTTCATTTTCAAGGACCAAGACTCCTCCGATAGCGAGTCGGATGCGAGTTCGGATGCGGGAATGTACCTGGTCTGCAAGTGTCATATATTACTGCAATGGAATGTACTACATATCATTCTAACTTCTGGCACCCAGTGCATACGCAACAATGGCGACGGAAAGAGATCCGCTGCTGGTGAATGAAAGCAATGCGCAGCAACATCGTCGTCTTGGCCCTCGAGACATTTCAAGTTCGACACGCTACGGAATTTTGGTTGGTCTGTGGTCTGCAAATTTCCTTGCGGTGAGTTTTGCATGTAACAGTTTTTTTTTGAATTTTCTGACTTGTCGGTAGTGTTTGAACTGTACGTTTCTATTTTCTCGTTTGGTGTCGCGGCTTTTACTAACGCTCCAAAATTATTGCTAGTTAGCCTGGTTGTGACTTGTACGGCTGTTACATTTATCCGAATGCCGATTTGACAATTTTGACAGTGCTATCATCCATCTCGTCTGACTTCAACAAGTCAAATGAAGCCAGCTGGCTTGGTACATCGTAAATACGATTCCCTTCGGCCAAAAATTCCGCTTACATTCCCTCTTAGATACTTGCTTGCTACCTGCACTTTCACACCTTTGTACGGACGGTTATGCAATATCATGGGCAGACGGGGTGCAGGTCAATTGGCTATCTCTATGACGGCACTGGGGACCCTTTTGTGCGGACTCTCCACGAACATGGAGATGTTGATTGCGGCGCGATTTGTACGTTTCTCCGTCGATTTAATACTCATTTATGACATGTTCCTACAGCTATCTGGTATGGGAGGTGGTGGTATTCAAACGACTTCCTCGTGAGACTCAATACCAGAGAAACCATTCAGTTCGTTACTAAATGTGACCATGACAACTTCAGGATCGCTACGAGTGATATGTATTCCATACGGGTATGTTGTGCTCTGTGCTTTCTCGCCGTTATCATGATCTCAGAAACACTTATAGTCGAGAGGGCTTGCGCAAGGTGTAGAAAGTCTGTTCAATGGCGTACGTTGGGACCCATCACTTTTTTGAACCCGGAAACTTATCGTGTTTAGCTTGGTATGGGTCTGGGAGGACCTATAGGAGGTCTCATATGCGATCGGTAAGCGCATACACCTTCTATTTCTACCCTATCCACCATGCGTTCTAGGTTTGGTTGGAGATGGGCGTTCTTGATACAAGTGCCCTTTTTTGCATTGTCGCTTGCCCTTACGACCTACAACTTGCGATATATCACCCCTGTAAGCACTTGGAAGGATCGTAAACTTAGCATGTACTCATTGGATTGTTAGGGTGACAGCAAAAGCACCAAAGAGGTTCTCAAGAGAATCGATTACGGCGGTAGCTTTGCTCTTTTAGTCTCTGTGAGTAGATATTATTATCTGCAGAGTGTTCTTCACTCCGTTCAGGTCGGATCATGCTTGGTGTTCTTGAGTATGAAATATAATGAGGATCTCCCGGTGAGTAATTATTCAAATAAGTATTTAATTGGTTAACCCTCGACCAGTGGTCGAACCAATGGGTATACGTGCCGCTCGCTCTCGCTGGCATTTTCTTCATAGTTTTTATTTTGGTAGAGTTGTTAGTTGCCCCCGAACCTATGATGGCGCCATCCCTCTTGAAACAGAAGGTTCCGGTTCTTTTGGGAGCTAGCAACGTCCTGGTGTCATCATGCAGCTTCTCCGTGTTGTATTTCTTTCCGATGTGGTTTCAGACAGTGGATCTCGCAAGTGCATCCACGGCGGGTATGTCGCTGTTAATCTATTTTAATACCAGCGTTAACCGCAGATAGGCTCGCATATGGTTCCATTCAGTGCATCCATGCCCCTTGGGTCCTTGTTCGCCGGGTGGGTGGATGCGTCGTTGCCATTTCCATTTTGACCCACACGAGCGCTAGATGGATGATTCACCGCACCGGAAAGTATAAACTTATCAACCTGATCTTTGGTTTCTTCCCGTTCGTCGGTATCACTCTCATCACTTTGATGCGGGAGGACTCTGGGCTACTGCAAAAGTGGCTGAGCACTGTGAGCGATGTGTTGTATTCTTTGACTGATATATGGATCATATATCTGTATCAGATCCCAGTCGGGTTTGGCAACTCCGTCGTTTTACAGACAAATCTTGGTGCGTAAGGCGTCAGTGATCAGCTGCGGCCGAGATGTCTAATTATGTTGTGCACAAATCATCAGTTGCGCTGCTCGCACACCTCCCAGGTGCGTTATCACGGCTCCTGTGCTGAGATTTTTTAACGGTGTAAAATATCCCAGAGAGTTCGATGGCTGTTGGCACTGGTTTCCTACAGCTTTTCCGAGGTTTGGGTGAGTTGCTAATACGGATGCTTGTGTCATCAAGGTTGACCGCTCGGGCGTAGGACAAGTATTGGGCGTTGCAATTTCATCCGCGTTATTCCAGTTCAAACTTGACCACGAGCTTCGGTCAAGGATACACGGTGATGGCGCAGCAGAGGTGAAATCTTGCCCTTTAATCAGTCCATCTCGATGCTATATTTTTCACATCTAGATTGTGAGTAAGATCAGGCATTCTACCACCTTCGTAGGGACGTTGCCACCGGACTTGCAACGCGCAGCAAGAGACTCATACGCCATAAGTCTCCGCGCCGTGTTCGCACTTGCCACGTGTTGTGCGTTGTTGGCGTATATTATCCGACTACCGGTACGCCTTCAGCCTGTTTTCTTTTTCAGATCTCCGTTGATGCCATTGTGATCCAGATCCCCGAGAAAAAGTTAGACCGTCGCCCGAGGGAGACTGATATGTCCACTAATCCCGAATCTCCTGCCAATGGGCACGCCGTTGAAGTCCGACGAGGAAGACAAGGACACCTTGCGGTCTCATTCACAACACGAGCGAAGGTCTTCTACACCTGAGTCTACAGAAGGCACACAAGACTTAGAAAGTGCCTCGATTGGAACTTCAGTCAGATAGCGCATCAATATTGTTACAAATAATTTGGCAAAGGATGACTAGAAAATTTCTCGAAGGGATGGTAGTTAGTACAATCTATTCGCAGTGAAACTAGTTTTCAGTGTAGTGGCGTAGTTGTTGTATAATCGGATTCGACATTGTTTGCACATATGTGGGATGTTTAAAGTATACAGTCTGATCGCCCGGTCTCGTGTTGTTTAGTGCGTGAGGGGGGAGAAACATCCCTCTGGAAGGGATCGCAGCTGGGATAGCGAGATTGTTGTGGGTTCATTGCGATCTTCTGACAGTTGTACTTGTGTAGGTGCGATCGACTCGCTGATTTCGCGATGACACACGATCGGGTGCTAACAAGGATGTGTACATCATGTCGCACAGCATCTACCAACTATAGAACATCATTGCCTACAAACCCGACGACTGTGCATCCTCTGTGTACTGCACACACCATTCATCTAGATTGTACGGGCTCTATAGCGCCTAGTCTATCGCTCCATCTGATTCTGAACACTCTCATGGACTCCCAATTGATCGAGTGTTCACGAAATTATCGAAGCGTTGACACCAAAATCATCACGGCGTCCTGGTCACGGCTACCTTGCAATGCCAAATGCGCCTGGTGTCTCGCCGCGCAACTGGGATTTATGGCAAATGCACTCCGTCCTGTGGTCGGACGCAATTTAATAGTGAAAGAATTGGACTAGTTATCTTCACCACGCATCTAAGGAATCCAGAGAATACACATGTTGCATACAAAGGCTCGTTATCATAAAAATCGCATAATTGTACTATGGTCGGAAGTCATTGGTTGTACACAGAAATAAGAACAAAAATATACATAACGCTGAGGGTGGGACATTATAATGTGGATGAGTACCAGCCGACGTCAGTGCGTCACTGGCTCGAGCTCCTTTTGGTTACGCTCGTACCCTATTCCTCTCTCGTCTCGGACGTCTCGGACTCCAACACTAGAAGCACTAACTTTCACCCTGACACGCTGGTGCGCTTCTGAGGTAAAACCTCACTGGCCCCATACCCGCGAAAATTGCTGCACTTTCCTGTCGGCCATGCGTAGTACTGATCTTAGAACACCAAATACCTAGTGGTAGGTTGGGTCACAACTCGATTAAAGTAGCAAATGAACGGCGTGACGGACCTGCTGTAGGTGAGTAGCAGCAACTTGACGAACAGATCTCCTGGAAAAAATGTGCGGCTGCATTGTACTGCGCTCATCCTTTGGTCTTGGACTGGGAGGTGATGCGCTCTACATGCAATAAGCGGTACGTGGGAACATGGTGTCAGAACAAAAATCAACTAATTGAGATGATAGCGACGCACATGAATGTCAAGTGCACATGGTAGCTGTGGTAGTCGATGCGCGCCGTTGGGCTGAACTGGACGTGAGCCATCAGACTGGATCAAGAAATAAGGCATACCACGATAGTTTCATGCCATGAATCGTGTCGCATGTGATTGCCGGCGGGGCGAATCTCTGCGCCAACCTGTGTCCAAACACTTAGTACAAGAGCGGACCATTGATGTGTCACGTACATCGAGGGAGTGACCAGCTGTAGACATTTCCAGCGATGATCCCGACTCGCTGTCCTTAACCTGGTGAACACAAATATGTCAATGGTCGTCAGAGGAGATGTCGTGACTTGAGTGCTTACATTAATATCTCCGCCGAGCAGCGCCTGAAAGTCCCAGATATACACGTTTTCGTTGACACTAGTGGCGAACAGTCCGCCGTTTCTTGCGAAGGCCGCGCACCTCAAGCCATCGGCATGCTTCAAAGGCCGACCAACTGACTGGTTGGTTTTTAGATCCCATAGGCAGACAGTATTATCATGAGAAGCGGTAGCCAGTAAGCTCTCATCTTGAGACAAGACGACGGCACGGATAGGACCAGTACGTTTGCCTAGATGGACGGCTTTCTCTTGGGTGTTGGTTATTGCCTGTACGATTCCATTACTAAGTCCCAGGAAAAGTCTATCTTCTGAGTTCCGAGTGACGCAATGCACCTGCTGCGAAGCAGGACACACTTCTACAAATCTGAGCGCCTGTCCTGTCCTGACATCCCAAAATGTGATGTTACTGTTGCATCCACTCGTCACGAGCGTTGTACCGTCAAGTGAATAGCGTACTGCGTACACATGTTCGTGGTCAGTTTTGATGGGTTCTCGCACGGGGTTGCCTGTGTTGGCATCCCAGATAATCGCCGTTCCATCTTCGGATCCACTGGCGACGTGCAACTCATCCGGACTCCAGCAGACGGACGATATTGCGTCGGTGTGTGCTCTCTTCCAATGTCCGGTCATTGGCCCGGTGCCCACTGCCCACAAACATATCCTGCCATCTTTGCTGCCAGTCACGAATTTCATGCGATCTCGAGATAGTGCCATGGCGTGGACAGCCACATTTCCTGGATCTGTCCAAGGGCCACCCACCACGTGACCTGTTACCACCTCCAGTACTTTGATGGAACCGTCTTCGGAGCACGTGATAATGTGTCGATCTTCATCTAGAAAATCAAGGCATAAAATTGTTGCAGAGTCGCTTCTTCCTGGCAGACATCTTGGGGTATAAGGTTGGATTAAAGTAGAGGACATAGTAGGATGATGTAACGGAGGTAAAGATTCGCTGCCACAAGGTAAGTCCAAGGCCAGGGGATTCGGCAGATTTAGTCTACTGACCGCTGTAGCTGGCTGGCAGTTCTGGCTATAAATTGGATGTACCCTTGTTATACACGATCCCATAATCTGAAATAATGAATACCCACTAAATCGGTGATTCGAGCTTGAGCAGCACAGTCAGAATAGGACGAGATGCTAAGTGTTGCAGGTTCTCTGGATGGGCTATTGCCACAGATTAGGTGCTGTGGTGAGAGATCTATGGGACGGGTATATTGGAACCTGGACGTGTGCAAGACTTTTATGTGGTTCATTGCTGCACTGCTTGCAGCCGCCTGGCTGTGTATTACAGTAGCTGGAAATGTTTGGCTTGTTCAAGTTACGTGCGCGCTGCTGCACTAGCATCGCGGTCACTGACAGACACCGTATTCCGTTCAGAGGCCGACTTCGTTATCTAAGGTTCAGAACAAATTCAGAAGGCGTTCCACTTGTCCAGGCCAATCCAGGCTGTGCTATTCTGTGAAAGATGCTATCATCAGCGCCTACCAGGAAAATTCAAACAAGCAGTTTCTTGTTTCTTTGTTGGCCTCCTAGCGAAGTACCATTTTGGGGGTGGTTGGAACCCGCTTTTGCGGATAAACACTCAGATGCAAACATGAACAGGGATTTTGAGAGCAAAAGCCTGAGAAACCAACCCATACTGAAGTGGAATGGTGACGTAATAACTTTTGTAAGTCACTTGAATTAAAAGTCAGCAAAAATTAACCGGAAAGTAGTCTTGGGGTACTAATTAAGCTGGGGTAAGTGCGCTAGTCACCTTACAGTAACAATGTGAGCACAGGTACCGGGTCGGAAAATTGACATAGTACTATCCGTATATGCGGGTATGGGTATGTATCGACCCGTACAACCCGTTTCCGAGTGCCTGCCCAGCCTTCCTATGGTACTATGCCGTGGCAGCTTAGTACCCTTCAAATTGTCAATACAAGAAATAACAGACGTAGGTCTATGCGGCATAGACTTACAGACAGCTGGTAAACTTAGATTCAGAAACGTGTCTCTGAACATGTGTACGATTTAGCAAGTGTTATCTCAGAAGCCATCTCACATGCTCCCCATGAACTTTGCTGCTACTAGGCGCCTTAGGCTCCTTGATTAGGCGCCTATCCCACCTTTCGCGCCACACTGCGAACTACAACCGCCACTGCAGTTATTGCAGCTTTTCATGATATGTGAGTGTAAAGTATATAACCTTACTTGAACAGCGCTCTTACAGCCCTTTGAAGGAACCCTCAGAAGGATGTCGAACCAACGATACTGTCAGTGCCTCAGAATGCTGGGATGTAAATTTTACTAATCTATACGGATACCTAACTCAGTGCTACTGATCTCATCAACCTAACGCTGAGCACCTCCGGAAACTATAGTGACGTATACAAGTGCACACTGACAACCGGGCCCGAAAATACTCTCGTTTGTAGTCGACTTCATTGCTGGATGAGCTCAGCTTGAACATGCTCTCTTGGCAGGTCGCAGTGAAGTTTATCCGATTTGGCAGGCATAAACAGTACTACGAAGTCGGTATTTCCATCTACCCTCCACCTAGCTGCCTATTCTTAGTGACACCTCAGCGAATCATTCGAGAGATACACTTGCACATGAAACTTGATCACCCGAATATCATTCAGTTGTTAGGTATTACAAAAGAATTTCAAGGTGGCAGCTTCCCTTCGCTTGTGTTCCCTTGGATGCCAAATGGAGACCTCCATTGCTACATCGCGTACCACGGGGCGGGGATCGAGATGTCAATCAAATTGTCACTGGTAAATCAAGTAGATGATTTACTTTTCGAGTGTAACACGCGTCCTTAGGCTCGCGACATTGCCTCTGGAGTCGCTTATCGTCAGTCCTATTCTATCGAAATGGGTGCTCACGCTAACTACTTGAATGTTCGCAGTCCACAAATTCCATGTGGTTCATGGTAACTTGGAGAGTGTTCGTTCTAGAGATCCCCTGATCATACAACATTCCTTAACGTCTTTCCAGAAAAATGTTCTCATGGGCCCGGAACCCGAAAATCGAGCATATCTAACCGGTTTCTCGTTGTCAACGGTGCTTAGTACTAGTGAACTCTCAAACGAGTATTCCAACAATCCAGGGAAACCTCGATCTGGTGCAGTGCGATTTGCTGCTCCTGAATGCTTCATAGAGGAGGAAGGCGACAATTCCTTGCCTATGATCAACAGCGATATATACTCAATTGGCTGCATCTTATTCCACGTGAGTGTAGCCTTTTGAATCATGGCTGATCTAAAGCTTGGCTTCAGGTTTTCTCTGGATGTTTGCCTTGGCATTATCTAAAATCGAACGACATTATCAGTGGACTTCGACAGCATCGTACACCTTCACGTCCCTGCGGTGGCGGTATTGATGATTCCCTATGGGATTTTATTGAACGCTGCTGGTCCTTCATACCGCGCAATCGGCCATCTGCAGCTCAGATCCTCAATTTTTTCGAAAAGCCGTACAAACTTAGTGGTAACGGACATGTTTCGCCATACGACCTTACAGAGATGCTCCCCAAAATTCTTCCTGCTCCCATTGCCTTTGGAAGTTTTGCAGATATACGGCGGTGCACACTGGAGAGGGACGGAAAACCCCTGCAGGTCTGCCAAATTTCCATCTGACAAGAGGGTATATTAATGGTATACCAGGTAGCTGTAAAATCGATCCGACCCCTATTCAATACTGAAAAAACCCAGCGGGTCCGGCGTTCCATCTTTGTTATTGGCATGGTCAACTCACGACTTCTTACATCAGCGCTACTTGCATGAACTCCGGATCTGGGCAGCACTTATGCAGGAAAACATTTTGCCTCTACTCGGAGTTGCTGTAATTTATGGTTGTTGTTGTCCCTCAATGGTTTGTCCCTGGATGGAAAATGGCACACTCTCAAGTTACATCCGTGCATATCCGACAATGGAACTACAACATAAGTTACGACTGGTATGTTATAGGCGAATTGCTACGGAAGAAGTAGCCTTTAATCAAGTTGCAGCTCCGCGACGTCGCTACTGGCCTTCGTTATCGTGCGCGCTATGGATTTATCATTGGTCACATATTGATTGCGAAATTTGTAGTCCACTCCCAACACGTTGTCCATGGAGATTTGACAAATGTGCGTGTAAGACTTCATGTCAACGTCTCAAACTTACAAGCGACAGAACAACATCCTCGTGGATGTTAATGGGCGTGCAGTCGTGGCTGATTTTGGCCTGTCCTGCCGATTATCTGAATTCAGTGGGAGTCCTCATTCGGCCTTGACTGCAGCTGCGCAGTGGATGGCACCAGAACTCATGCAAATCCCACGAGAATCCAAATCCCATATCTCCAGACATAGCGATATGTATTCCTTTGGTTCCATCATGAATTATGTACGCTCTATGTCGGTTGGGATGCCTGCAACCGTTTCATCTTACCTTTCTTTTAGGTCATCTCTGGCGAACTTCCCTTCCAAAATCAGGCACAACCCTATTTCGCTTTGCATATGGGGGAAGCACCCTTTACGGAAAGAGGCAAGGACGTATCTCAAGAGCATTGGAAATTTATCCAACGGTGCTGGGGGCCATTTAATTGTGACGACGGAACTTCCTCTCGCCCATCCGCTGAAGAAGCTTGTAACTTCTTGCGAAAGGAACTTGAATCCAAACTACTGATTACAAAATAGTCCTTGGGACATACATTACGTGCTCCTCATTCTCCTTCATCATAGTTTGCACTATACAACTATCTTTTTATACATACACAGGCGATACCAGCATCCCCATCGCCCCTCGAGGGAGTAAAGTGTCCTATTTAAAGGTCCCAAGCCAGCAGTATACAGTCTTTCGCAAATAAGCTGGGCTGAGACGCATATACGTCAATTAGATAGGACCCCCAGCGAGCTCCATACATATCGAATGTGGAACTCCATGAGGATATTATTGCAGTTAGCTGCACGAGTCAATGCGACCCTCGTCTTCTTATACCTTCTTTCCCGATTGCTGAATTTAGTAGGAAACCTATCAGTATTGGACATAAAAACCACACTCAGTATTACGCACTGCAATGTATCCTTCACGTCAGTCCACTTGCTCAGGATAGTGGGGTATACACCCTACGCGTAACAAGATCTTGACCCAGCGAGTACGTGGCACAAGAACAGCGTCCTCTGTGATCAGTTCGCCTTGCTGGTCGAGTGCGGCACTAAGCGGAGTGCTACTGATCCGCTGCGTTTCGATTGACGTTCGACATCAGTCTTTCAATGTCGTGTTCCGGTGAAAGGAGAGCACGACAAACCTGTCTCCGTGATGCAGCAACTTCGACATGACTAATGCTGGGAGGAGGTAGTACATGTAGTTCAGAGCGACGTGCGAGCCGGGGGAAAGGCAGGAGGTTCGGCATCTTCCACATTTTCTTGTCTTGGGCTGGTGTGGTCACTGACATGGACCCCCTACCTACGCTTAGGTCCTGCAGTCCAAACATTCATCACTTATGGTCTGATATAAGTTACTGTGTCAGCTTACATCAAAGAACCCCGGGGGGAGTCGCCTAGCCTCAACGACCGGTCTAGCAGGGGTGAGTCGGCGGGTCGGGTCCCCGTTTGTAGTTTGGCGGGTAGAGATTGGCGAGTCAGGCTATAGATCAAGATGTATTCGTGAGCTTATGAACCGTCCGCATATGCACCACATACATTAAAGGGAGATCTAGCATTTGCGTCTTCGTCCGAGTCGCAACCCTGAAGATGAAGGTGTTAGTATGATAGGTTGCGCATTTCGTGTGAGTACCCACATTCACATCCTCCGTTGCCCCAGAGAGCAAGTCTGGTAAATTCCAAACATAGATCTGGCCATCACAAGTGCCGGTGGCTACCAAGGTCCCATCAGCTGCAACCGCTGCACAGGTCAGTTCTGCAGAGTGTGGAAGTGGTTGACCAATCCGACGCTTGGCGTCGAGATCCCAAAGGCGGAGGGTATTGTCATAAGAGGCACTTGCAAGTACACGTTTGCGTGGAAGCGCAACGACTCGGATGGCGCAGACAAGGTCGGAGTGCCCTACAAGCTCTGACAGACGACCGTCTGGAAGTTCAACTATCCTTATCCTGCCATCTGTCGAGCCAGTGACAATTGCATGCCCATCTGCAGTCGAAGCCCATGTTGCACATGATACATGGTCAGGATTGTTGCAAATTTTGACGACTTTATCCAACTGGACCTCCTGTTTTCTCTTGTCGATTGTCAATCTCGAGATTTCGCGGTCGTAACCGCTGACGATGAGTTGTGCGCCGTCATGGGAATAGTCGATCGCATGTATGTGTCGGAGGCGAGTATTATCTGTCCTCATGGGGTTCTTGAGCTCCGATGCCGTGACTGACCAGACTGCTACGCTGCCGTCATCGAAGCCGCTGGCGATGTGAGCGCCACCATCGTGTTGACTCCAGCGCACGCAAGTTGCTGGAGCACTGTACCCCTTCGATTTTGTAGCTAGTACCTTGGCAGTTTTCCCATTCCACCTCCACACCCGTATTTTGCCATCTTTGCTAGCAGTCGCGACGGAATCACCCTTCGGTGATACGTCAAACGCATAGATTTGGCTTCTCTCTTTATCCTGCCAGGGATCACCCACGAGTTTACCGGTTTTTGCTTCTCTGACTTGGAGACAATCGTCGTGAGAAACAATGATGTATTTGTCTCCCAGCAGAAATTCGATAGCCGGCACCCTTTGCTTTTCACGATTCGCCTCGAAGGTTATCATTGGGGCTGGCGCGGGGCAAGGCATCAGGTTTGAACTTGGTTTGAACGTCAGAGAGCTTGAGGATTCGGTCGGCTGCAGGGACACGACGCGGGCTACCAAGTATTGTGCTTGTGAGCGGGCTGACAGGCCCCAATTATCCTACCATTCGTAAATAGGCTGGTTAACACTCACGAAGAGACGAAAGTAAGGGGACGGGGCTGTCGTCAGGTGAGTCTTGATTGCAGGGTTGGGACGAAATTGTAGAGGAGCTGATGTAGTACTACTCAATGCCGAGTCAGAAATGGACTCGCTGCATCCTCGGGCCCACAACAAGTATCGCCACCACACTGCCTACACCAAAGGTCTGAGCATCCTGTTCTATCAGACGCTCTGGATCCTGTATGGATCTGTGCCATGTATAGCCTACCATATTCAAATCCAAGTTAAGTTGGTCAGTTTGGGATAGAAGTTCTATTACAGCCCTGCCAGAACGTGCGACTTAGAAGTGCTGTGCGTAGCGCGCGCCTACGTATCTGATATAAGTTCTTCGCACTCCTGTGCATTCTCTTCGTTGCATCTGTCCATCTTCTTCAGAGTAGCGGCAACTGTGACGCCGGTGCTGCGCTTCCAGGATTGAACACTCGCTCATATCCATACACCAGGAAATGTGGGTAACCTGATTAGCGTATGACCATGTCACTGACTTACGACCATATCTGATCTATAGGAATATCACTATGTTCGTCCACATTTGGGCGCGTCCTACGTGCATCCTCGTCTCGAGAAGTCGCTGATCACAACTGCCTTCAGCTCTCAGGCTCATGATCTCACAAGTCAAAAATGGCGCCCAACAGGACCATGTGTTTCTGGAACATATGCTGAGGTGATTCAATACGATCTCAAAGATAGCCGGAACAGTCACAAGCTCGTAAGTTAGCTTCGTCTTGTGCGACAATTCATCAAATTGTGCTGCTCCAGGTCACAGTCAAGTCGTACAAGCCCATGTTCGATGATCGGCATGAAGACCACTCACAAGTTAGTGTATAAGCCACTGACATATGCATCAGAGACTCAATGCGGTTACTTTTATCATGAAGGAAATCCGTTTGGAATTACAGTTGCTGTCATGCCTTCCTCATCACGACAACGTGGTTCCATTCTTGGGCTTTAAGAAGAACGGAGCGTCTCTTTCTCTGGTCATGCCGTGGATGTCAGACGGCACTCTCACTTCGTTTATTTGCACTCATGGAGCAGCCCTTGGAACAGCTGCTAGTACAACGCTTGTAAGCTGCTTGCAATCACTGGAATTGTACTCTGAAACCCTTCTTTTCAGTCGCACGACATTTCCTCTGGCCTCGAACACCGTACGTTTTCTCTTAAATCATGAAACAACTGAAGCGAGCGGCCAGGTGAAAAAGTTCATTCAAACCTTGTGGTTCACGGAAATCTAGAGAGTGTATGATTTTACTAGCCGCGGTTTAGAAACCTGCTTAATCCTCCTCACAGGACAACGTACTCATTACTGAGCAACACAGCGCTGTCCTCTCTGGCTTTCGCCAGTCAGTGATGCTTTCTTCAAGGGATGCTGCATGTCCTTCATCTCAGATGCCGCCCAAGCCCGCAATCCGATTCGCTGGTCCGGAGTGGTTCGTGAAAGACGATAAAAGATTTCAACCTCTTTCCAAAAGTCTTCTTAAAAGCGATATATTCTCCCTCGGCTGTCTCGTCTTCTACGTAAGATCGAACCCGGTCTTGCAGCAGAGACATAACAACTTGTTTCTCAGATATTTACAAAATGCATGCCTTGGGACGATGCAACATCCATGGATATTTCCAACCAGCTCCGGGAATGCAAGCCGCCGCCCCGGCCAAAGGATCCGGTGGTCGATAATCGCCAATGGGCGCTGATAGAACCATGTTTGTCACTGTTACCAAAAGATCGACCTTCCGCATTGGATGTCTTGAGAGACATCAAACAGTATCTTGTTTTCATTGGCCCTCCCGATCTTACTGAACAGATCAAAATGTCGCAACTATATCCAAAAGATGCTGGGGGGTATGGGCTTGTCTACGAAGGTATCTGGATCAGAGAGACTGGGGGTAAAGGAGTCAAGGTTCCTTGTTTTCCCCTTTGCATATGTCGGTCGCCTGATGAAGGATAGGTTGCCATTAAGGTGCTGCGTGTTGAGAATTCATCATCAAAAAAAGTGACGGAAGAGGTAGTCGCCAAAGTCTATTGGCAGATATTCATGCGGTAACAGTTTGTTCACAGAGATTGAAACGTGAACTTGCGGCTTGGAGAAGACTATCTCACCCGAATATAGTTTCACTATTGGGCACTATGACAGGCTTCGGTAGTGTTAAAGGCATGGTTTCGCTGTGGATGGAAAAAGGATCACTCGATCATTACTTCAAGTCAGATACCAGGAATGACGTACTACCTCGACAGCGTCTTCTCTGGGTAGGTGCTTTTCACTTTTGTATCATCTCTTTAATTGAGTATAACAGGTGGAGGGTATTGCTGAAGGGCTGAAGTGTCGTATGTCTAAATTCCTGCTTATCCTTAGAAATACATTTCTAAGTTGCGGACAGTTCATGAGTTTCCCATGATTCACGGAGACCTAACACCAGTAAGCCTTTTTCCTCGATGTAGGTACTTTTTTGATAATTTTGTTCTTTTAAAGTCGAATGTCTTGATTGACGATGAAGGGAGGGCCGTGCTTACTGACTTTGGCCTCTCAGTCATATTAGGCGGTGTTCCCAATTTGTCGTGCACATACACGGATGCAAAGCCAGGAACAATAGCCTGGGCGGCCCCGGAGTTATTGCTTGACGAAACATCCCCTAGTGGTAAGGAGGTACAATCTGAGAGTCCAGGTCCAGAAAGCGACATGTACTCTTTCGCATATCTCATGTATCTGGTACGAGACCCACCGCTAGTACCGTCTTTCTTTAGTTCTCACTTTACTTAGATCTTTACTGGATCCCACCCGTGGGACTCGGATATGAAGGGACGCGGCGCTGGAATGCGAATTATGCTCCGTGCAAGGAAGGGCGAAAGACCTTCCAAACCTGGCAATATTGATGCTCGACATTGGAGCTTGATTGAGCAGTGCTGGGCTCAGGTGCCAAGCTCACGTCCAAAAATCAGCGACGTCTTGCTGCGGTTGTCTTCCGTGCAAAAATGATCAAGAGGTCGACATGTTATCTTGGTCAGAGTTAATTTGTAGCTTAGTGGGGAGCCGACTTTGGTTTTTGACCCAAGACAGAGTATATATATGCAATCTTATTTGGATACCCATCCGTGTCATGTACAACCAATCTGGAACATGAATAGTGTCTGGCCCCAATTGCAAGTGCATAGAGGGAAGCTACGACAATTAACACTTCCACCAACTGGGACTGAGAGCGGATGTGAGATGGTACAAACTAGCTTTTAGTGTGCACTGAGATATGGCTAACTTGCTGCAAGTGCGATTACTGGCATAAGTATCTATCAGGGAGCACTCGCAACGGCGTAAACAATAGCAGAATCTTCAGATAAGGAGTAAGACTGGTCACAAGTAAATTGAAACTAGTCTCCTGTAGGGACCAAATAGAATAAAGATATGTAGTTGTTCCTTGATTGGAAAAAAATAAAATAATCAGAGTTGATTACGCCAGTCAATTCCAACCCAACGCTGCGTACATGGGTTGGGTCCGGTGCTATCGCAGCAGCTGCGTAACCCTCTTTCTCATGCTTCCTTTCCCCCATTGCTTCTCAAGCATCTGGCGCATGTGCCAGGTCCCAGAAAGAAGAGTTTTGCCCTCATCCACGTCCCGGGGCAGAGAAACTGAGCGTGTGCTGTGAACATCTGACAGAGCGCCATTCAATACATCTTCCCCATTCTGGGCTGGAACGTGTTCGGGATCCCCATGCGGCCTGTACATTGGGGGCGGAGTCAGGCTCTCGCGCTTAACATGTGTAGCATGAAACCGAGCATGCGCTTGTGAGAACTCGTGATGATGGTCATCCAGATCGAGCTGCTCTGCGTCGTCGGACGCAAGTTCAGGTTCGTTTCCGGCGTCCTGCTCGGGATGTGACTCCACCGCATCCTGATCTTGAAGTCCCTTCAGTGGAGATTCGGGAAAGAGTTTCTCCACAACACTCTCCTCTTCTGCTCGTTCGACATCGGCGTTGGCTTCTTCATCCTCCTCTCCCGAGGCGACTTCGCCATCATCATCTTCATTAGTGTCGACAGCAACATCCACCTCTGCCACCTCATCTTTTTTACGTCTGTAACGCCTGATCGCACTCGCCTTCCGACTGGCGCTCAGACGGCCACCTCCGCCCATCAACGCCCGATTATGCAGCGCTGCCTTTGTTGTAGGATGAGGCTGATACCCCACCTCATATAATCTAGGGTCATGCTGTACCTGCAGCCCGTTCGGCGTCGGCTGCTCCGGTGGTGCTTGCCGCAAGGATGATCCATGAAAGCCACGAGGCGCTTCGTCGCTATCATTGCTCTCACTGCTCTCCCTTCCGTTCTCCCTGCCACTCGAGACTCTCCTTGCTCTACGGGCCTCCCGATCCCTCTGCTCGAGCTTATTTCCGATCCACCCCTCTGAAGCTTCGCGCATCCCCTTTACATACTCCTCAGTGTCCTTCAAGTTTCCGACGCGATTGTAAACATTCCTCACAACTTCTATCGTGTATCCCTGCGCGGCAGCGATATGTGATAGTGCGGCGTCCAATCCGATGGAGGCGCATATGGAGAGGTCAGCGGGTGTCATGAGCGCAAGTGGAACTGGCGGAATTGCAGGGCCAGGTGTGACAAGGTAGCCGGGGAGGTTAACTGGGACAGTCGAGGGTGTGGAATGGGCGGAGAAGGTGTGACGATGAGGTATGTGAGATGCTGAGGTTCTGCCTCTGGAACGAGGGATTCGGGAAGTCGACGTTGCTGATCGAAGGCGTACTAAGTCAATGCTTGGGTCATCATGTTCATAGCCACCAACTGTCTGTCTCCGATGTTGCTTTTGGATGCGAGTGAGCAAACGTTGGGCATGTGTCACTGGAGGTTCAGCATCACGCTGTTTCCCTTTGCCTTTGTCCTTATTGGAAGGTAGGAATGGTGAATTTGATATAGGAAGCGGAACCCGTGTCTGTTGAATGGTAGCTGTCGAACTCGAAGCAGATCCAGTTGGAATTTGAGCTAATGACGGTGCATTTAGCAAGCGTGTATTTTCATCGCTCCTTGGTGGAGCAGAAGGCACTGCGACTGGCTGACCATGCGGCAGTTCGGCAGAGGACGTGAGACCCGAAGGCACGGCAGCAGTCGTGAGTCTGGAAGGCCCAGCCGCAGGTTGAACCGTAGGTGGTACTGGAGGGAGGCCAGACGTTGAAGGACCTGTAACATTGTCTCGTTGTCTGTCCCGCGAACTTCCAACGAGCTGGCCCTCTCCATTCGTCGAGCGATGCTTCAGAGGAGACTCTGCTGCATCTGCACCACTGCGATTACGTGGAGAAGGAAGAGGGAGTGGAACCTGGCGGAAGGGGTGATGTTCACGCTCTGGACGATGTTGTACAAGAAGAGCAGAGGGGTGCTGATCTTCTGACTCGCGCTTTGGCACTACAGCCGGTTGTAGTGTCCGGGACACGACTCCATTTATGGGATGACGTTCCTGTTCCCGAGGCGCTGAAGGAATCAACGCAGTCGGTCCAGGGGCTGCCTCTCTCTCCTTGCCCTTCTTCCCTCGAACAGGAGGCCAAACCTCCTCACCTTCAGAACGACCACCTGGTCGCACATGGCCCAGCCGATCGGTCAGCGACGTCGTAAAGTGCCCTTCTACCACTTTGGGGAGAATTTTCTTCTTCAACGGAGTAGAATGATTGGGTGTCGGTGATAACGAGCGGAAAACGGGGGAAACGGACTTGTGCTTCAAGACTCGTTTGGGCCCTGATGGCGGCTTTGGCGTGGCTACCTGTTGTGAAGATGATGCGGGAGGCTGGGAACTCGGTGGGAGCTGGGACGAGATTGGTGGCTGGGTCCTGGCAGGAGAATTGGGTTGGGATGATAGGACAGGCAGAGTATCACCGCGAGAAGGGAGCAGGGGGATATTGAGAGTGCTTGCGAATTTCGGAGGTGGAAGCACGTCAGACACAGTTTCCGACGGTCCCTGAACAGGACTGCGAGCCTGGTCACTTGTTCCAGCTACAGGAACTTGGCTTGTCTCTTCGGTCTTCTCACTATCTGGCTGGTCTCTGTCCAGTTTCGCTCGCTTTGCTTTCCGCTGCTCAGAACTGACTTGTACGCCAGCGCGCTTTTTCCCTTTGCTAGTCTCTTTCGAGTGGACCCTCGCGGCTTCCTCTTCTTCGTCAGAGGGCGAAAACACAGGCTCCCTCGAGGGCTGTTTCTCCGAGTTTATTCCTTTCTTCTTTTGATACCTCGCTATCTTCCTGTCAAACTCGTCCGCATTTTTCACATATCTGTCACGCCAGGACGGCCACGGGTGTGTCTTGGACCAGTTCCATTTCCCGTCGACCTATAGCAGCATTAGGACTTGTTTCACGATAGAAAACATGAGAGAAACTCGCATTTTCAACAAGGCGCTTGTACAACGTGTTTCCGCTTCTGTTTTGCTTAGTGGGATTATATGTCGCAATGAACTTCACGAGGAGGATGTCCTCGTCTGTGGTAAAGTCCGTACGAACTCTAGGAGAATATATAAGTCAGTACTTTGATTGTGCAAAGCAAAGCACATACCTTCTTCCTGTGCCTGCCATGTTTGCTGTTCAGCATATGCATATGTAGTTGTGATCAGTTCGCCTGAGGTGAACGATGGAACCAGGCGCGTCTTCATAAGTGACGCGTCGGAATCACGCGGATGAGGTCACGTCACACCTTCCAAATATGGGTACAGAAGTCCCTGTGGACCCTGTGGTTACGCCGAACCGCACATTGTTATGAGCAGAAAAATCTTTGGTCGAACGGCAACCGAATGAATAAGATTACCTGGGTGGGCACCGACATTCCAATTAATTCACGGTAAGGTCTAAACGCCCGACAGTATCTGGAACTGTTTTGGTCGCATGAAAACTAATGGAGCACATTTAGGATTTGCCCATTCACGCAATGAGACATCGTCACGTTCTGAGTGTCGGCAAGCCACACCCAAACAATAATGTTTGACTGTTGACGGTTCTGTTCCGAGATGCTCTAGCGTATATACTAAACACAGAATGACTAACGAAAAGCAGAAGTGCATGTGGAAGCCTACGATAATGAAAATAAAGCTATGCATCACGATCGAGTCAAGTACAGGTAACAACTTCATATCATAGAGGTAGCGATCTTTGCCCTACGTATGGTAATACGGCATTGACAATGAGCAGGATCTGGGCAACTTACCATCGATAGAGTAATTCGCATACCTTGGCAATGACTGGTGGCCAAGTGCTGGCACTAGAGGACCGCCGTCATTACCCAGAGGTCATGTAGTACAACCAACACAGGATAATGCCGAAATGAGCGACAAGCCTGTCGCCGCGCAACTAGTGTGGTACGAAAGGGAACGACTTTATAGCCCGGGTATCATTTCACGAGGTTGCATCCAACGGCACAACTCGATCTGTTGAAAAGGCAGAATGAGTTAGAATGTCACCTTGGATCCGTAATCCAACTCTACCTGACAAAAGTCGTCCCTCGTGATCTTCCAGGCGGAGCTTGCTCCCATCAAATAACTCCAAGGCGCGAATGAGGGTTTTGTGATGATTCTTCAACAAGTCGTTTACATTCGAAGAGCCTGTGAATCGAATGGTGCGCAGTGTCGGCATTGCGTCTTTAAGATGAGCGAGAACGGAAAACACGAATGTGTAATTTCTTTTGGATAATTGGCCTTGAAGATAGCGTAGACCCAGGTACTCGACAGGAAGCGGTTTGATTGACTCTATATCGAACGACTCCCAAGAATCTAAGGTGATCGTAAGGCGGCGAAGATGTGGGCAATGCATTGCGAGTAGTGGGTTTATCTGGCTGAGATATCCAGCCCAATGCAAATGGACTGAACGCAGCTTGCCCCCGTGCCTCTCCAGAGATGGAATGAAAAGGGGGTCGGACTCCACGGAAAAAGAGCGGAAGACTAGTTCCCGAAGTGCAGGTAACTGAGTTGAAGACATATGAGAAAATATGTCATTTGCTGGAACAGTCAACGTCGTGCACGAGGAGAGGATGCAGTTAGCCATCGCATCTGTCTGGCCAACCACAAAATAAGGACAGTGTAGAATATGCAGCTGCTGTGTTGTAATGACTAAGTCCTGCAAACTGTGGAATGACGGCAGCAAGCAGTGTGAGGCCCAGTCGATAATTTTGAGACTAGGGGCGACATCAGTAAGAGCATCCATTACAGTGTCAGGCATGGACAAAGAGCGATACTGAGATGGAGTGACAGCAACTGATACAATGGCGAGATTTGGGAGACACAAGATGACTTCTGCGAGCAAGTCAAGATCTGCGTCCCCATGAGCCTGACTCTTGTCGCGCATCGCGATATCTAGCCTCTCGGTATAAGAGCCCAGAGACCGTTCACCCAGAAGCACGCCTTTTCCGCAAGCCGATAATGCAAGTGCGCTGGCGAGCGATAATAGACATCGACCTCGACCGATGAAGATAGATCTGTAAAGAAACGGCGTGGCCAGGTGCCACCATTTTTTGCAGACGCGAACGAGGTAACGCTTGGTCACTAAGGCCTGTCTGATGAGAGGATGGTGGTCACGATTGAAATGGGATCCAAGAGAGCCCGAATGTTCGTAAATCTCGGGGATGAAAATGCTGGGGACATAGGTGGCATGATCAAAAATGATCTCCCAAAGTTCTGGAGGAAGTGTCGCAATGCTTGCGCGACGTCTTGACTTGAGTGCAGAAACAGAGTTTGGGATCATCGTGAGTTGATTTGACTTCATAATCACTCTATATTAGCACATGGAAACGCACAGGAGAGTCAGAGTGTCACTGACCCTCTATTTTATTCGAGTGCCAGTACAAGTTCTCGCAGAGGGTCAAGGGGTGCGTGACACTCAGTCACTATGGGTCACGTTGATGTTACCCGCACGTGACTCTTCAAGTTAGCACGAGCTCGTCACTTGACGCAACGCATACACGAGCTGCTCGTCGAATTTGAAGATGGAGAAAAGCTCAAAGTCGCATCGCGTTTATTCACCCTGATTTAGGAAGGTATATTATTCCTCTTAAACTTTACCACTCCTCAGCATTCAGGCCTACTCCAGGCTCAATCTACAGTCGCTCTATTATATACCCCAGCAAACGAACACTTCGGAATTGGACCAGTGGAGGGGATGATATGTAGTCTACCAATATTTGCCTGCGACAGCGGTGGCCCCACAGAGAGTATTGTTGACCAGCCAGCAGATCAGGGGACCGGATGGTTCTACCGTCTCATCGGTGTGGGCTCAAGTATTGGTGGCCTTTTCGGTATGGATCGTTTTCGGGGTAGCTCTTTGATTACGAATGGACAGGATTTCTTTTGGAAGTTTAGATAGGTCAAGATCCTATCAGGAGTTGTGCGTCATGGCGAAGTCTTTGAACCACGCATACTGTTGTTTGGGAGTCGCCCAGCCGTCTCCGTGCCCGCCGAAGAAAGTGCTGAAGAAACGTCTGACGAAGCCGACTGCTTGCTGATTGCTGGAATCGCTGGTAATATTACTCAGGACAGAGATCCTGTCAGTGACGAGGATTGACTGCACTGTTTCTTGTGCTGTAGCCGTTCCTGCAGCCAGAATTCCCGGCAGACCACCTTGTGTTTGCTGTGGAGTTGGCGACGTGGAAGATTTGCATGTGATCTTTGGTTTCGGCTTCTTTTTCTGCTGAGGTGCGTCACGATAAAATATGTCCGTCCGGTTTGTCGCCTGCTTCCCGTCCATGAACAAAGTGAACGCCCCATCCTGCTTCCCAGGTGTGTTGAGCACGATGTCCTGGCGCAAGTTCGTCCAATTGCCTCTGCTATAGTGGAACGACCCCCTGCCTATTGAGAGCCCATACTCGTAATCGCAGACTGACTGGGGATTGGAATACAAGGCCTTTGTTTACTTTTCTTTCGGAGCGTACTGTGAACCAGGTCAGCCCTTTTCATAACAATGCGAGTGGATCGACAGTCGAGATATGGTTCCCCGGCACCACCCGGCCTCCACATGAGTCGTGTGCTAAGGCAGTCTTCGGCGGCAGCACCCCCAGAACAACCTGTATGGCCACCATATAAGCCAGGCAGTTTTCCGCCTTTCACTCAGTCGAAATCCAAGGGAAAGAAGACGCTATATTACATTGTGACATTCTTGGCATTGCTCAGGTTCAATGGCGTCGCTTAAAACTCGGCCCCACCTGGAGATTTTGCTGGAAGGATTGACAGAGTCTGCTGGTAAAGAAGCTGTAGGGCTGCGGTAAAAGCCCGTAACGTTCGTGATGTCGTGTGACTCATTTATATCTTGTTCATATGCAGATCCTCCTGGGACACTGGCAAGCGCAGAGAAGCCGTTGATGATAGCGACGTTTTACTTCCCGCTGGGGAAGCAATGTGACGTTGAACGCAGATAAATCTGTCATTTCTGGAGGAGCTGCCCATGCTGTACGATCGGCCCACGGCATGCTAGTGGTGGTCACAGTGGTTGTTGCAGTCGCTGTCTCGACGACTGTAGTCGTTGACGTCGGAGTGATTGCAACCGTGGTTGTCACTATATCGGCGACTATGATTGTGGTGGCTATTTTGACGACAACCTGTGAAGGAGACAGTGACTGGGACAACAGGTAGGTTGTGTCGACATACGTGGATTGACAAGGGTGTTTGGACAGACTGGTCAACGGACGGAGAGATGACCACAGAGACCAGCTGGGCAACTGTGGCAGTACTGACACCTACAGGGTCTGCAACTGTCTGCAAGTGCAGGTAAAACAGTTGGCACTACTATGAACGGCGGACCTGTCGAGGACATCCTGTAGAGATTCGAGAATATTGGCGCTTCTAGAGACGCATGCGTATGACCTGCGCCACACAGACATGCACGAGATTTGATTTGAATCTGGTTGCCAAGCCAGATCTAGCACAGTTCATACGAACTTATGGACGATTTGCGGGTGATACGAAAAATACATTAATCACGCAATAAATTAACTCGGGAAGCGCCAATTGTGTCGCCAAAAACCTTGCTTGTCACGCATGCGTGTGCGTGATCGTACATACCTACGGACCTTCGTTGTGCGTTCCTTGTCTTGCACGAGAGATCGTGGTGTCAAACAGCGTTGTGACACATGAAATAAGTAATCATAATAAAATAAATCACAATAAAATACATCAGGTAATCATCATAAAATAAATACAGTTGGCGGCTGGCGAGGCTAGCGGTGATGGATGTAACACGATGCCTAGGTAGTTCTCCGATGATTCAAATGGACCTCATTGATATGACGCCACATGCAGTCGCGCCGCATGACATGAATTGAGGGGTCACCGCGCCGTGTGATATTCACAACCTTCCCAGCGGCATTGAATACACGCATCTCGGCACTCACGGAGATGGCTACGTTGACAATGCTGCCTTAATTGCTCCACTGTTCCTTCATATCCGCAGCGGGTATCGCCACGCAACCAATAGCAGACGAAGAAGGGATATGAGGTATGTTTTTGAACGAAGATCGAAGGTGTCTGGCTAGCTGGTGGCTGTGGCTGGCTCGGGAGCTGAGCAGTGAAAAAATTCGGCCACTGATGGAAGCCGTTATACGATGAGGGATCATATGTGAGCATATCAGGTTCAGGGTTATCTGAGTTGGCTATGGTGTATTGCGGGGGAAACCAGGGCATCTGAAGTGTGGTCATTCAGATTCTGTCTGTACACGAGGGTCATTACGAGCAAAAAAAAATGGTGACCAAGGGCATACGTTTGCGATGTGTATGAAGATGAGTAGTTGCTTCCCATTGCCGGCGAACCAGATCTCTCGAAGCCTCCTAGACCATCCAGGGTTGGTGGATTACACAGGGAGCCATCATGATAATATAAGACGGTCGATGGACTGTCTGACGTCCACGAGACAGCACTACTTACAATGTTAGACGCATTCAAGAAAGAGAAGGAACATACTAACTTGGGGCTTGATATCATAGGGTCGGCGAAAGGCATTTCAGGGGCAGTCCCAAAGTGTCGCGATGGCACAAGCGAAGTGTGGCCATTCGGATTCAACCTGGTATGAGTATGAGGGTGATGATGAGCAAATACATTAAGACGAAGGGCACACGTTTCCAATGCGTATGAATATGAGTGGTTGCTTCCCATTGCCAGAGAACCAGATGTCCCGAAGCCTCCTAGATTGTCGAGGGTTGGTGGAATATACGGGGAGAGGGGCATCCACGAGACAGCACTAATCACGGTGTTAGATGCATGCAAGGAAGAGAAGGAGCATACTAACTCGGGGTTTGGTATCATAGTGTCGGTGAAATGCATATCTGGGGCGATCCCAACGTGTTGTGAGGAAGCAAGCAAAGTGTGACCAATCGGATTCGACCTGCGTAAGAGTATGAGTGAATGACGAGCAAATAATTATGATGAAAGGGATACATTTGCAATGCGTATGGAAATGAGGAGCTGTTTCCCATTATCATAGAACCAGATCTTCCGAAGCCTCCTAGATCGTCGAGGGTTAGTGGATTATGCGGGAAGACGGTCGATGGATTGTCCGGTATCAACGAGACGGCACTACTCATGATGTTAGATACATGCAAGGAAGAGATGGAGTATACGAACTTGGGGCTTGATGTCATAGGGTCGGCGAAATGCATATCTGGGGCAGTCCTAACGCGTCGCGAGGACAGACGCATGGTGTAACCAATAGTACTCGGCCTGTGTATGAGCAGGAGGGTGATTACAAGCAAATTGTTTGCAATGCGTATGCTAACAAGTAGTTGCAGGGGAACTAGGGTGCTAGTGTAGTAGGTCTAGTCGATGGTTAGGGACCGTGCCCGCAGCCTTTATACACGGTCGCTGGAAGGAAGACGCCGTCGGGCGAGCAGAACGCATGTCGTACCTGGTGTGAGTGTTCATTTGGGGACACCATGAAATTATTGTATCGAAACACAGCCCAACACACACCTTCATTAGAAACCTCACCGCATGCTGGCTTTTTGGCATGGTTGTATAAGAGAGCAAGCCATGATTTGAACCTATATAATGATTAATGCATGTGTTCGGCGAGGAACCAGACCATTGAAATGATAATCACCGAAAACCAACATGCAGCCACAATATCGTTCACTGCGGAAACAAGAAAATGATCGAACGATCTTAACATAGTCCATCTGTACTCAAACTAGATGCACGTACGTGGGGAGTTAGGTGGTCGCAAAGTCTGACTTTGGAGAAAACTGGACGAACGTGACGGAACATTGATTAACCGGATAGAAGTGATACTAGCTAGTAGTGGAAGTTCTAACTAGGCGGCAGTCGCAAGCCTGGGAATGCGACACTCGAATTATGAGTTGGGTTCTGAACCGACGAACTCTGACTCTGTAAGTAATTATAAACTCCCAAGAAGTCGATTACCAAGGTTAAAAACAGTCAACACATAAGCTTTAGCATATTTATCTGTAGCGATATATCAACTCCACATACATAGATATCAGCAATGGGATCCGTCGCCCTGTCCAACATTACTCGATGATAAAGTGATAATCTTCGTTGGTGGAGATCTCTGGACGATCAGGCTTGACACGGGCCCCGAGTGTGGTGTAGCCTTCTTCTGTTGAGTCAACGTGTGTGTGTCCACAAATCCAAATTATAACTCGAGTGAGTGCCCTTGTAATCCCCGGCGCCGTGCAAATAACGCGATTATGGCGCGCAAGATAAGGGCAGTCCTAGCGAGGATCGCAACGGGAATTGAATATACATTTTTTTCAAGGCACACACCGGATGGGGTGGAACCTCAATTGGTGAAACGCCCATGGCGAGAAGACAATTCAAGCGGAAAGCAAGGAACTCGCTGATTTCACACGACTTCACTTGGACCAATCAATCTGTCGATTTGGAAGTATTGATCGAGTCGAATGCGCCAGACGCCTGCAGGCGCACTCGTTGGAGTCGCTGTTCAGTCACCCGCTGTTCCACCTGCTCAACTACATATCATGATCATGGCTGACCCCGGAGAGACCAGTAGCCAGAGCCCCGGATACCTGGAAAAGCATTTATGCGATCATCCTTTCATCGTGTATGGGGGGCACTCCTTCGAAGCCAATGAGTGACGTTAATCAACCCATTATTTCATCGCTTCAATCTGACGACTGCGAAATTCTAGGGAAATGTGTCAGTCAAAAAAAAAATCTGTCAATCATAATCTAACCATTCGTCCTTTTTCATGGCGTCGAACTGATCGTCTCTGTGCACATGCGTTCTATGTAGTATTTGCAAATTCACACGCTGAAGGTTACACTCCAGATTATCGCCCTCGGGAAATGTGAATTCACAATTGTTCAGTCATCCTGTATGTCCTATGACATCTGTTATCTTCCTTGCGACCCTAAGCTCATAGCCACACATAGTGGTGTGATATAAGTTATCTTTGTAGGCATTCTCGTATTACATTTTGAAGTTAGTTGGACCCTCCCCCCAGTCCTGGTGCTGGGCATGTGCTTCTTCGCTGGCGGCATGCGTTTTTCGGAACAAGGTTTCAGATAAAGCATGTATACTTTCCCAAATTAAACCTTGATTCTTACTTCTGTGGAAGGTACGGTGCGATTGAGTTCGTCGCTGCTCACCGTCGGTGTCATTTTTGTTTGCTGTCTGGCACTTTCCACGTAGCATTACAGGGCCAGCCGTCATATAGCGATCTGTCGATGGATTGCATCATACTGAAGACCAGCCATGGGGTACGTGTCCGATATGTCTTACATGTGTAAAATTATCCTCACACTGTCATCCAGGTAGTCATCATTTTACTCTTTAGTAGGTCAACCAAAGCACACCTGCTAGTCACCCAATCACCTTTGTTTTAGTTGACGGCCCGTATCTGGGTTTCCAACTGTTCACACACACAGCCCTGTATGATGACAACAATGCGAATCCAAGAGCTGTGAGGAACATCATCCGTGGCTTACGGTCGAGGCCTTATCGTGAGCCCCTTCAGTGAATTCACCCGTCTCAGACGGGCAGCCGGGCGTGACAATGTACCAATAGAGACGGGCCACCCGGTGCCGGCCCATGGCAATAATTGTACTGTGTTAGACGAGTGGGCCGAGGGGGTGGAGTGTCCAAGGCAAACGGATGGGCCGGGTGTATATAGTATAGATGGTAGTATAGCAATGTACTATATAGGAAATTATGAATAGTAGTAGTGAATCCAGTGTGTGATAGATGAGTGGGCCGGAGGAATGGAGTGCAATATAGACGAGTGGGCCGGGGAACTGGGGTGTGATGGAGACGAGTGGGCCGGTAAATGAGGTGCAATGGAGACGAGTGGGCCGGTACATAAGGTGCAATGAAGATGAGGGGGCCGGAGAATAGGGTGCAATTGAGACGAGTGGGCCGGTATAGCAGGTGCAATGGAGACGGGTGGGCCGGTATAGCAGGTGCAATGGAGATGGGTGGGCCGGTAAATATGGTGCAATTAAGACGAGTGGGCCGGTATAGCAGGTGCAATGGAGACGGGTGGGCCGGTATAGCAGGTGCAATGGAGACGGGTGGGCCGGTAAAGGAGGTGCAATGAGGACGAGTCGGCCGGTGTTATTGGGTGCAATGAAGACGAGTCGGCCGGTGATATGGGGTGCAATGAAGACGAGTGGGCCAGTGATATGGGGTGCAATGAAGATGAGTGGGCCGGTGATATGGGGTGCAATGAAGACGGGTGGGCCGGCATTATAGGGCGCAATGGAGATGGGTGGGCCGGTGATATAGGGTGCAATGAAGACGAGTGGGCTGGTGATATGGGGTGCAATGAAGACGGGTGGGCCGGCATGATAGGGTGCAATGGAGACGGGTGGGCCGGTATTATGGGGTGCAACAACGACCGGTATTTATGTAACCGGTTGCTTGTGGTAACATAGCACTCAATCCGGCGATTCCACCGGTGGTCTGATCATGTAAAATGGTTAAGATTTGACAAAGTTATGAGCCCTACAAGGGAAAGCCATAAATTTAGAGGATATTATGATATATTGTATCTAGACCATTGCAACCGGTATTTTTTGACCGGTATTTACATGACCGGTTGCTTGTGGTAACATAGCACTCAAT